CTAAATATTTACATATAACTAAATGTATATGTGCATATATATATATATATATATATATATATTATTATATATATATATATATATATAAATATATATAATAAATATAAATATATATATATATATATATATATATATATATATATATATATATATTTAAGGTTAGATTGGTGTAGATAAAAAAGATATTTGGTTTTTTTGTGAAATAATATATGTAAAAATAGAAATTATTAGTCCTTAGTATTTTTGTCAGTTTCAATTAACTCCTATTACTCCATATATTAGATAAATTTTCTTTTTTTCAACTATTATACTATGTTAAACATTTATATACTACATATAATATAATAATTAATAATTAATATAAGATAATAGTTGGAAAAAAAAATGTATGTTATATATGAAGTCGTAGGAGGCAATTGAAACTGATGAAAATACTAACGACTAATAATTTCTACTTTTACATATATTAAAAAAAAAAACCAAATGTCTTTTTTATCTACACCAATCTAACCATAAATATATTTATATACACACACATACGTTTAGTTATGTGTAAATATTTAGTTACGTTGGGATTCATAAAACCTGATAATAGCTACCTAGTATTGGGTTTTTTGAATTGACATATATTTGATTGAATCCAAATAAAATGCTAAAATCAAGTTTGGTTTTGTATGATTGCACCAAAAGTTAACAATAATAAAATTATATAAAATGGAAATATGTTAGATATGTCATAAACTTTTGATAATATGATAAAGAACCAATTTGCACAAAATGTTGTAATGACCTAAATAAATAAATAAATAGAATTCATTTCCTATACATATTTACTACTTTTATATATATACAAACACATAGGATATTTTCAAGGAAATGAATTGTAATGACCTAATAAAATGTTTCCATTTATTAGGTCATTACCACGTTTCGTACAAATTGATTCATTTATATATATATATATATATATTATATATATATATATATATATATATATATATATATATATATATATATAATATATATATATATATATATATATATATATATATATATATACAATATATATACATATATATACATATATATACATATATATATATATACATATATATACATATACATATATACAAATATATGCATATATACACAAAATAATGATATACATATTGAAATCATCATTCTGACTTGATAAAACTGTTGGGAAAAAAATTGTACCTTCAATATTCAATATTGCATGAAGTCATATATTAATTTATCAATAGTTATCTAAAAGCAAGGTATTCTTACCATTAAAACTGTAATCCTAACTAGATTTAGTAAAATTAAGCAACTAAAACGATAATATTAAATCTTAAACTGTAATAATGAGCTGAGCAGTGGATTAACCCAAGCTAAAAAAGAATATGGAGACCTGCAAGTGAAATTGCCTCCAAATCTAAAGAATTGTTGCCACAATCAATTTGCAATTAGATAATTTTTTCTACTCAAACTTTAAAACAATATCAGTTATAAGTAATTAACTACATTTAACATTATTTTACCATTAATAAAGTGTTATATTTCTGATTTTTTTGAAGAGAAAAAAATTGAATATCTACCTTTGGTGTAACGAATTTCGAGAAGGGAGAATTTTTTTCAACATGCCAACATAAAAAAAAAAAAAAAAATGTTTAAAATACATTTTTATATATTCAAGTTTATTTATTGTAAAAAAAACAATGGAATTATAAGAAAAATTATTAATAATCCAATTTTACATTTAATTTGAATAATTTTCAAAATTATGAGTATTATTATGAACTATGTTATCGTTATATATTTACTCTATAAAAAAAATTAATTCACAGAGATTGAATTTCTTTGCAACTATATATAATTTATAATCATTTTATTTTTATTAAGCAATAAATACAGTACTTAATATCGTGCTAAATTGAACACGCAATTTCATTACTGAAAAACGGCCTGAATATTATATATTATATACTATATATTTTTTAAATGTTTTAAACCAATTGTACATTTTAGATCTAAATAATTATTATTCAAAAATAATTTTAGTCGTTAAGTATTGTTTAGGAATCCAAATAAGGAAACCATTATTCGTGAGTCATAACTCAGTTTGCGAAGCTGGTTATTGAATTAAGGCACTTCCATCATAACAACGAAACGTTCTTCAGAAATATCTACATGCATACATTTATCTTTCTTTTAAGCATTATTTTATTATTATGTCTATCTAAATGATAATATTTCATCAATTCCAAATTACAAAGCAGTCTAATATGATAAGTATTAACTCCAAATTGATTGTACTAAAGAATTTTTATGAGAATTTTTTTTGATCAATTTAATTAATATCATCTCTTCGATGAACATATTAACGAAATCTAACCGTATTAAAACCGAAAGAATGTATATTTAAATAAGATAATACTAATTAGATCTCTTACAATTTAGTATTTATACTTTCACTTTTTCATATCATTACACTATTCACATCATATACACGTATAAAGACAAGGAGGGTGGGGGGGGGGGGCTCCAAACGGTTAAAAGTTTTAGACCGTTTCTTTATTTGAAAAAATATTTTCCCATAAGTTTAACACGTTTCTTTTATATGATTTTAGTTGTTTTTTTTTTTCTTACAAATTCATTCATAATTTTAATAGTGCCAATATATATCATTTAAAACATTTTGTTCTATAAAATAAAGAATAATAGCCATATTATTTAATCTTTCCTCTCCCTGAGAGTTTCTAAAATATTTGTTTATACGCTTTAAAACATTAAATAGTCTTTCTTTTGATTTTTACTTTCACTTGCGTATATATGTAATAAATATAGTAATAAACACAGTAAATAAATATAGTAAATAAATATAGTAAGGGTAAGTATTGCGATCGTGAAAATTTTCGAATCTCAGTTTTCAACGGAAATACATGTTTTGAGATCCCCTGAGTTCAAATAACCAAGTGTCCCAAAATGGTCTGTGTGTGTTAACAGTCTAGCTCATAAACGAAAAGTAGTGCGAAACTGATTTTAAGTATTTAAGGTTTCTGTATACCTGAGAGGTTACAGCAATTTTTTCGTCAAAATCGACTAACGGGAAGTGCCAATTTATATAATCGATGAAACACATTTTTACTATTTTCTCGAAAACAACTCCAACCGTTTTTATTAAATTAATTAAAAATCCATCAAGTTTTAATATTATGTAGGTTTCATGGCTAATTTTCAATATTATCTTCCTTCTGAGGTACCTTTATTATTTTTTTTTATTTGAAACAAATAACCATTTCACATTGATCTCTAATATAAAAAAAATAATAGTTAAATATAAAATATTAAAGAATTTGATAATTAACTAAAGGAGAAATAAGAGATCGTAACAGAGAATAATTGTAATGAAGGAACCAAAGGGATAAGATCCGGTTAATATAATTGGAATGATTAAGTCGAGGCGAATAAAATTGGCTTGTAAAATCGCTGGGCTTAGTAACGAATTCCTAAAAAGTTAATATGCGCAGAACCGACTGGCAAGCGTCCGAAGGGTAGACCAAATTGAAGGTGGGAAGATAGCTGATTTGGCGGGGTTGGGTTTATACGGAGCCCGGTGGATGGAAGAATGTGGATATCGATTGGTGGTATCGGCATCGAACCTTCAGGTTCTCTAAGCCTTATTATTATTATTTACTAATGTATATACATAGTATTTTAGATGATGTTACTTCTTCTTTACGGTAAAAAATTACCAGTTTAAAACAAGAATTATCACCTGATGCTCTAAACTTGTTGATAAATTAATTTTTTTTATTTATTTATTTTTTTAATATTTTACTAAACCAACATCCTATAAATAGTTTTTTTTTTTTTTTTTTGTAATACATAATTATGTACAAACATAATTAGTAAAAGTAACTAATTATAATATTTTGAATACAAATTTTTATGGATTTCGTTCATGTTTTTTTATTGCGGATTGAATGGTACCTCCTCTTATATGCAAAGGGGGGGGGGGTTGGTTTGCCGAAAAAACCTGTAACCCTTTTATACGGTTGCTCCTTTTAAAATAAGTGACCTAAGTAAAAGTTGCTGGAAATAGGGTGTGGAATCAATTAAAAAAAAAAATAAAAATTCTGGGCCATCCTGTATATCAAAATTAAAATCTGAATTCAGAAATTGATTCCTCGTTAAAAAATAATGGGGGTTCATGCTTAACTTTTTTTCGTACGGACAACAGACTGGCCGTAAAACTACAATGTCCAATAATTTAGTGTTTTGCCCCAGTTTGCGTTGGTTTGAAAAAATTATGCAGGGCGCTGTTGAGTCAAATCCGTCCTCAAGTACTCGTGAACTTGCCAGGGAATGTGGTATATCGAAAGATACTTTTAGTAGCCGTATACTCTCCAAGATGAAGGTAAAAAAGAACAATATAATTGAAATGATTAAGTTGAGTCGAATAAAATGGGCATGTGAAATCGCTGGGCTTATTAACGAAAGAATTCCTAAAAAGTTAATATGCGCTGAACCGACTGGCAAGCGTCCGAGGGGTAGACCAAAGCGAAGGTGGGAAGATTGTGCTAAGGCTGATTTGGCGGGGTTGGGTTTAGACGGAGTGGATGGAAGAATGTGGAAATCGATTGGTGGTATCGGCATCGAGCCTTCGGGTTCTCTAAGCCTTATTATTGTTATTATTTACTAATGTATATACATAGTGTTTTAGATGATATTTTAATGTTGTTGTGCTTGGAGTAGGTTTTTCACTGCTTCCTTGGATAATGAGTTTGCTTTACAAACTCGATAGGATCGCCTGAAGCGGTGATAACTACCACACAATCAATGACCGTCCTCTTGTTTACAGTTTCCATTTTACCAGGACAGGCCGCCGTGACAGGATCAATAGAGGGCGCTATTAGAGCGAAGAAGCTAATCGGCTCAGTTATCGCCCCCGGAGGCGGTCGATGAGGCCATTTCCACGACGACGGCAGTGAGTGATGGGAGGCCTCAGGGGTGTCACTTCCGGTCTTCAGTGTGTCCAGCTCCAGACCGACGGTTCTCCAGCAGCCTCCAGTCTGCACCAAGAGTTGGTACTCTACCTTCCGCTGGCGTACATGGCCGTCCAGGCGATCCTGTGTCCGTGGCTCCTCCTCCACGACTCTCCGTCTTCTGTGCAGCGACCCTCTGGGGTTGGCCTTAGAGTCATCTTGGTCACCTGGCAGCCACCTTCCCCTGATGACCTGCAAGTGAGTAATTTGAAGATTCTCTCTTTTTACTTTCACTTACGTATATATATAATATATAGTAAGGGTAAGTATTGCGATCCTGAAAATTTTCGAATCTCAGTTTTCAACGGAAATACATTTTTTGAGGTCCTATGAGTTCAAATAACCAAGTATCGCAGAATGGTCTGTGTGTGTGTATGTTAACAGTCTAGCTCATAAACAAAAAGTTGTACGAAACTGATATTAAGTATTTAAGGTTTGTATATGAGCCGGATGTGACAGTAACTTTTTCGTTAAAATCGTCTTACCGGAAGTGCCACTTTATATGAACGCTGAAACACATTTTTACAATTTTCTCAAAAAGAGCTCTAACGATTTCGATTAAACTCTGTGTATCATTGTATAATTAAGTGATCTTTAATATTATTTAGGTCTTATCCCGGTTGATGTCACTTTACAGGGCTTAAATGCCCATTGTTCATATATGTCTTCCTGTAAAGTACCTTTAATATGGTTTATTTTAAAAAGTTAATCATTTCGCATTATTCAGAGTTAAAAAAACATGCTACGTATAACTTTTGAAAGAATTTGATAAGTTAATAAGGGAGAAAAAAAAAATGCAGAAATACCTGCGTTGCTATAGACTGTAGCGCCTAAACGAATGTACCGATTTCAATGAAACTTCGCTAAAGTAATTTTCTCGATACCCTTTAAATTTATCTATATAACATACTTCAACGGAAAAAAAGTTACGAGGGATGGTAAAATTAAATTCCGAATAATACAAAAAGTATACACTTTTTTGTTGATATTGTATATGGCTTTTTAAAAGTTTATGGAATTTCCTAAAAAAAAACAAAAAAAAATGCGTTAAAATCGGACAATTAGGAGGAAAGATATGGTCTCTAGTTTTTTCCCCTGAAGAGGCGAAAATTTGTATAAATTTAAAATATACTTTTTTAATTGTAGAGACTAAATAAACTTTTTTCCTAAAGATATTTAATAAAGTATCTTATCTCAGAACATCTTTCATAAGAAATAAGTATCTAAATTTATACCTTTATTCTCAGTTCTATATTTCAACACTGCAATCACCACCTCCGGAATCAACTTACTCACTGTCTGCATAGATAAATTTTTCAACTAAAAATATTACTAAATTGACATTACTCAAAAATGTTGAAATTGGAGTTAGTCATTCTGTGGTTTATAAAAGCAAAGAAAGTTGTGTGGTTTATAAAAGCAGATGGAGTGACTAGATTTTTATTGCCTACCGTCGATATATTAAATAGACATTTTGTAATTATAATGGTCTTAATGATTGGTTATCTGTAAGCTTTAAGCTTTAGCTCCGTTTAAAATGCACTTAAAATTTTATAATAGCCCAGCATTGCCAGAAAATAATTTCCATTCAAACTAGAGTGATAAATGAAAGTTGAGTGTTGCGCGCACCAGATTTTTTTCTTAAATAACACAGGGTAAAAGTACCAATACCTGACATCCACCCCGAAAAAATTGGAAATAAGATTTCGTGTCCTTCTGAAACTCTTGTGACGAAAAATAAAATACAAAAAAAAAAGAGTTCATAAAATAAGTTTTTTTTACTAACTCGAAGAGGGTTAAATATAAAATTAAGTATTTAATATTAGTTTTAATAATAAGTAATTGTTTATAATAAGTCTTAGTTTTAAGTATTAGTTGTAAATATTATTTTTAAGTCAGTGTAACAGCCAACAGCTGATTGGGAGGTAAAACAAAAGAGGGGGATGGCGGAACTTCGTGAGTGTTGAGGCACGCTTAGGATTTGGTTGTGTGAAATACTTTAGTTTTACGGTGTACACCGGATTTTCTTTTGATATCCATGAACCTGTGTTTATCAGCGACGAGTGCCGTTTGATTTTACAAGTTGATGATTGATGAACATTTGACAGCTTGAGGAGATAGACTGGGGAGACCATGACGACGCTAATTCGAATAAGTTCCCGCTTCTTCAGATAACCCAATGTGCCAATTGGACGGAGTTCAACCAGTGGGATATTGTAAATATGTACATATAAGTTTTTTTTTTCTACCTATTTTTTACCCAAATATTTGTAATTGGTTTGTTGTATAGTCGTAAGTTAATGTTTAGTTTTGTAATAATTTTATATTCTTTTTTTATAATTAAAGTTAATTGTATTTTGTTTGTTTTCTTATAAATCTAATTTTTTGTTCATAATTTTCATTTCCTTTAACAGTTATTTAAATCAATAGAAATAAGTAAATTCATCATTAGTATTAATAATAGCCAGTTTTATTTTCTTCTTTTTCTTCTTCAGTTTGTTTTCACGTTTTATGTATATATTATTTTTTTTTTTTTATGTTTAATAAGGAATTGTAAAACCCTATTCGAGGGATTAGGGAAAGTCATTATTAACCAAGTAAGAAGGTTCGATAGGTTATGAGGTTAATTAACATATGTTTTTAAACCCAAAGCTTACGAGTTCGTAGCTCACTCCGCGTCTCCTAATCTTTTTTTTTTTTTTAATTAAATTTATTTAATTTTTTTTTTAATGGTTTTCGCTATTTTCTGAATTATACAAATCAAATAGCGTGTCCCCTGTTAGATAGTAATATTTAATTGACCCTTGATTTTTTTTTTTTTTTTTATGAACCCTGCTATCTCTACTGAGCATGCAGCAACTTTGTCCTGGAAACGATTTTTTCCAAATTAAAGTCCATAACACTCTATTTAAAAAATTTATCTATATTTTCTCCTCTTATATTTGTTTACTTTTAGTTTTTATGGAAACTGATGTAAAAATAATGGATGGCAAATGATTGTCATTTTCATCAAATTATTAAATCATTTCATCAAAACTTTGTAATTGGTTTTATCTTTTCGTAACCTACACCTTACATGTTTTCCTTTTTACTTTTTTCTTTCTCCACATCCCTTTATGTCCATTTTTCATATTATATCCTTTTTCCTTTTCTTCCAATCTCTCCTGTAGATCTGAAGGAGTATATTCACAATTGCATATATTATATTATATATTATACTACAACAATTGTTACCATCTATTTACTTCAGTTTAGGATCTAATTACTGAGCTTACTCAGGTTTTACAACTTATTGTTCTTAATATTTTAATGTACTTAGAGTTTATAATTTTTATAAGTAAAGTTTATTCACATTGTTTATAATTTTTTATCTAAATGTGATGTAACTTCCACAATTCTCTTTATCTTCTTGTATCTTGTCCGTTCTAGCCCTGAAGAAGTCCTGCAAAGTCGTGTCGAAATGTTAGCTTTTAATAAAATAGTTTTGCCACTATTTAGTCTATTTTTGATCGTCTCCCAGGACCATCTCCTTTCTTAATAATAAAAAAGATCAACTATTAAGTATTCAATTCATAAAAAATAGTTTATTAAATTTTAATTGTTCAATGAAATTCGATATCATTAGTACTAAATCATTTTTACACTAATCTCAAAATTTCGAACGAATGAAATCGAACAATGAGATTTTGGATCTAAAAGTTAAATGTACGTTTTTAAATTAATAGATAGAATTGGATGAAATTGATACCTACATCAATATTTGTTGACAAATTCCCAACTCCCTTCTGAATATAATCCAAATCGGACGTTTATTTTCTGAAATATCTCTTAAAATTTCATGAAAATGAGAGTGTGGTATGTCGAAAGATTCTGTTAGTCACCATCTACTCTCCATTTAGAACGTAAAAAAGAGCAATAGACTTGTCCCTTGCGAACTTACTCCTCAGCAATCAGCTATGAAATTAGAAATTTGTGAAAGTTTATTGAAAAAAAACTTGCCTGAAATCTCCTGCCTCATCCACCATATAGTCAAGACCTCGTACCATTGGATTACTACTTATTTAGATCCATGACCCATTTTCTTCTAGGGAAAAAATTGATAATTTTGCGGAAGTTGAAATTGCGGTCCAAGAGTTCTTTGACAGCCATCCCAAAGAATGGTATCAGCGAAGGATCGAGCAATTGGCTAGCAGATGGCTAACGATGGTAAATAACAATGGACTATACTTTGAGTATTGATTGTATTTTATAGCAAAGAAATAATAATACAAATATTTGGTAGAAAAGCGGTCTTTTTTTTTTATAACCCTTATTAGTTGTATGATGGACCTTATCACATTTTTAAGTTCGTTATATGAGAGTATTATTCAAGAACAGCATATATGTGGTCTCATGTTTTCAATATCTGATATGGCGAAACGTTAACGGTTTGTAGTTTATCGTTGAGAGTTTTATTTGAGATCTTATAATAATATTCTAAGAAATTAAAGTGTAAAAACTTATTTTATGAATATGATATGTTGGCAGAAGATATCTCACTACTTCAACCGATCTACTTTCTTATGGGTATCTGAATTGAGGGGAGTAGAAGAAAAATACCTCACGTTCGAGAATGAGTCGTTAAAGGAGATAAATGAAACTACAGCAGCGAGCATCTTTCAAATCAAGGTAAATTTAAATAATTACAAACATGTATGAAATATATAAAATGGACATTTATACATGTTTCTTTTTTCTTTTAAACAGAAATTAATCAATTTGCCTCATTATAAACAGAAGATTTTTACCATAGCCACAAACAATTTCTCAGTTTACAGCCAGGTTGCACAGCCTGACGAAAATGATAATTTAAGTGAGTATGTCCCAGAACTTACAACTTCATATCACAATAATATGCATATTATATCATATGTAAATTATGTTTATGTAAGTTATACTTTTTTCAATAGAAAATGGCCAAAATTTAAAGAAACTTTTTTTGCCAGTTTAATTTATTTTAAGTGAAATTGTTTTTATAGATTTGTAAAATTAATGTTAGTTATGGAATGTGCTCTCTCAATTCTACTATAAATTTCCTTAATTGAAACCGATTGTAACTTTGTATATTGTAAAAATTTGTGAGATACCTATTTAAAGAGTACTGGTATTATTTTACTTCCTTATTGTCGTACTTTTATATATAAATAGATGCCCACAACGCCTATTCCCAAATCTTTAATTAATATTCATAGCTCCTCTAATCTAGCTGATAAAGTAGAGAAAAAAATTCCTACCCATCAATTTATTTGAAACAATTAGCACTGTACACAATCACGGAACGTTGCTCTAACTATTTACAATTTATACAGACGCATCAAAAACAAGTAACCGAACTGTATGGTCCAAGTAGCTGTGTATAATCCTTAAAATAACCAGAAATTTTCATTATCAATACCAATTGAATTCAATATTTTCAGTGCCGAACTATATGCCATTCTCAACGCCATAATATGCAGCGAAAAGACATACAACAACCAAAAAATAGTTAATCTGACAGAGCCAGTACCTGCTTGTAAACACCTAAAATCAATTTATCAAAATAAAGTACTGACACACAAGTCTTTAAAATCATATCACTAATATATATCATACAGCAACAATTACTTTTTCCAGTGGGTGACGGAACACGTAGGAAAACATCGGATAAATGCTAAGGTTCCTTTACTGGATTTGATAAGAGTAGTGAGGGGGAAAATAATGAAAGACTGGCAGGGTTTCTACGATTGGGAATGTTCTTCGAAGGGTAAGGACCATCATGCAGTTCAACAGAAGATAGCACTGGTTCCATGTAGGGGGCGGAATGGACGAATGGGCTAACGCGTGTGCACAGCACCGCTTGTTGCTTGGCAATCAGATACCAGTTCGCTTGCCGGTGCCGGAGGAAATTTTAAATTCCCCGCCCTCACTTCCTGGTCCGGGAAAACCCCATATAGCCTAAAAGGCAAGGGCGGATCTACGGGGAAGGGGGGGGAGGGAGGGCTTTCAGGCTGAAGCCCTCCCAGAAATGGTAAAATATAACCATGTTTATTGTTCGTGTAATTACATTTAAAAGGACTTAAGGAGTCACTTACACACCATTTCATATAGGTAGTTAGTTTCTTTCTGTTTATCCGAAGTAATTATCGTTATTTTTATGGAAAAAAAGGTTTGGTTTACATAGTAAAGCTGACCAGGCTTAGGATAAATCTTGGTAGAACTAATAAATATCTACATCTAATGGGTATAGCTAAGAGTGGTCACTGCCCAACATGCCAAGGCTACGTTGGCTTCAAACAAAACATTATCCAATTTTTTTTATTTGTGCCAACGTTTCAACCCAAACATGTGGGTCATCTTCAGTGCTCGAACCACACCCTGAAGATGACCCACATGTTTGGGTTGAAACGTTGGCACAAAAAAAAAAATTGTATAATGACTACGTCCTGACTATTTATTATCCATGATACATAGAACAGTCGAATAGCTTCCTTCGATAAGAATTAGTTTAGGATAGGAAACTGCGGATGATGGAGCTAACTTTCTTCAGTCGATGAATAAAGTTAACGTCCATGATTTAATAAATTTTTTGAATGACGTAAAAGCAGTTATACATTAAAAATTGCCTCTTATTCTCATTTAATTGTTATGAAACTAGTGTCACCTCAGTTTTTAACTATAGTCTTTCTAGTTCATGTTCTATATAAGTTACATTCAATATTTAGTTACATTCAGTGATCATATATCTAGAAATCTTCAATAAATACCTAGTTTAATTTCATCTTGCAATGGCAATTAAAATATTTTATTGGCAATATAAAACTTGCTTTGACAAATCTTAAAGACAAAAAGTATTAAAAAAAAATAAATATATGTGATTAAAAACTATTCCAGTATATTTCTTTTGTAATACCAGAGTGGACCAAGGGTTTTCAACTGATGTATTTGTTCCTTTTATGTGAATCTGTGGGTTTACGCCCAATTGTAACTAAGGCTGTGAGATGGGACAGCTTTTACAAAAACGGAACTATTAAGTGGCATGGTTTGCAGTCCGAAGCTATAACTGGTAATGTTGACGCTGCTGTAGGCGGGATTTGGTATAGAGCCGAAATGGTAGGTGTGTCAGACATTTTGCCTCCCTGGGAAAGAGGATGTTTCAGGTGAGTAATCATAAATGAGGGTTTCAAATATTGATTTGTTGTTTTCTATATATAATAATATTATTTATTCAATCCAGGTATCTGATCCCTCGACCTAAGAGAAAAAATTTCGATTGGACTTTGTTTCTCGGAGTTTTTGGAAACTGGGTATGGGTTCTCATTGTCGTTTCTATAATAGTTGTACCACTTACTTTGATGTTAACAACAAAGCTAAGCCTGAATCCAGAACTCGAGAGAAGTGAGTGTCTTTAAATGACTTTTTTTTCTGTTTTCACATTTTCCTGTAATAATATTTTACAAAACTATTTGTCTTTTGTAATGTGTGAATACAATTCAATTCAATATTTTTTAATGTGGGTTGATCGTTGAATGTAGTGAATAATTGAAGAGAAGGGTGGTTTGGATGATCAGTCAAAATAAAATAGTAAAATTAAATAATTGTATTTATTTTAATATTCACCGACGTTTCGGCCGGAAGTTCAAGCCTTCATCAGGGCTAAGAAAAGAATCGGATAACAAGTAGTATAAGAAACTATAAAAATTTAATAATAAAGAATTAAAATTATAAAAGGTGAAATGTATAGACTAAAAATTTAGGTAGAAAAACTTAACGTAAAATGAATTAGATAGAGTGAATATTAAGGTAAAATAAAGTAGGTAGAATAATAACAGTAACAGAGGACTAAGAAATAAATAATAATAACGGGAACTAAGCACGGACCAATGAAATAAACATAATCAAAATAAGAAATGAAAAATGGTAATCTTAGAATAAAATGTAAAAACTGATAAAAAAAATATGAAGTTATAGTAAGAAGACTATTATAAAGAGGTAGATAATACTATAAGAAGATTATTCTAAGATTACCATTTTTCATTTCTTATGTTGCTTTATTTTGATTATGTTTATTTCATTGGTCCGTGCTTTGTTTTAAATAATAATAACATTTATTTCTTAGTTCTCTGTTACTGTTATTATTCTATCTACTTTATTTACCTTAATGTCCACTCTATATAATTCATTTTACGTTAAGTTTTTCTACCTAAATTTTTAGTCTATATCTTTCATCTTTTATAATTTTAATTCTTTATTATTCAGTGTTTATAGTTTCTTATATCTATTGTTACCTGATTCTTTTCTTAGTCCTGATGAAGGTCTGAACTTTCGGCCGAAACGTTGGCGAATGTGAAAATAAATACAATTATTTATTTTTACTATTTTATTTTGACTAATCAACCAAACCATCCTTCTCTTCAACAATTCAATCTTTATTTGTAAATCTAAATTTCCAATAAATTACAAAAGACTCATACATATGATTACAATAAGATCTATTTGGACTGATCTATTGAGCTGTGGGGCTCCACTAAAACATCAAATTCTTCCCGTATCCAATCCAAAATCCTTCGTAAAATCCTCAATGCTCCTTACTTTGTCACCAAATAAGATAATTCATAAAGACCTTAATGTTCCACATGTTTCCGATTTGGTCCAATCCAAATACCTATCCTTCCATAATAAACTTCATAACCATCTGAATCCGCTCGTTTCTTACCTTGCTTCCTCTTCAATTCCTGATAACCCTCCGGAGGTGTCTGAAAAGAAGATGGCCTCGTGATCTCCTTATATAGAGATATTATTAGAGTACTACCAGTGGGTAGTTTCTCAATAAGCGTTTTCATGTGATTATGTTCTTCTTTACCACATTTATTTGATATGTTTATATTAAAACAGTTGTAAATATCATAAATAAATATTTAAAAAAAAAACTGCCAGTGTAATTTCGGGACCAGGATTCGAATCTAAAACTGTCTTTTATTCTTTCTGATAATCTTTTAGGAGTTTGAAGGTTCTTAAAACATTTTCTATAATAATATATGAAACGGAAACTTCAATTAATGGAAATTTATATTTTTCATTTCTAAATTAGCTGTTTCTTAGTACCTTGTTCTGTTTTTGCAGACTATAAATCACTTGGGTACACGTTTTTCTTCGTAATTTCCGTACTAGTACAAGTACCTCAGGTGAGACAGGATTGGAGAGGCGTTCAGGTACCCATCTTCTACAGCTGGATGTGGGCGACCATGGTTCTGGCAGCAGCCTTCAGTGGATCCCTAAGTGCAATGTTGGTCATCCCATCTTATGAAGACAGACCCAAAAACTTAAGAGATCTTATCGATAGAGGATACACCTATGGATCGCCTTATTCTTCTTCTGGTTATGTAACCATCTTCGATGATGATATGGTATATTATACTATGTTATAACTTTGTATTAAATTTTAAAAGTACGCTATTGTAGAAGTGGCCTTCTGCTTTGATGGGTATCAATGGTCTAATGATTACACCATAAATGGAATCCCGAGAACGGCCGAGAAGGTCCAAAAGTAGGCGGAACGTCTGATAAGACCCTGACCTCAACTGAAAAGGGCACGTTGGGGATTTGCTTTTTCCTTTTGAGCGAGCATAGCAAGCAGCAGTCGAAAGCAATGATGTTATTAAAGTCATGATTTTAACTGAAACGGACTAGTAGGAAGTTTGCCAAAGTCATAAATAGAAGTTGTGTTGCGAAAACGTTATCAATCTTCGGCTATCATCGGAATACTATTTACACTGTGATCATGAGATCTTTGCCGACTCGTCAAAATGGAATGATACTTCACCCATAAATTCAGCGTCACCCATAAATTTATTTCATTAGTTGAAAGATAATTCTTATGAAATTATAAATAAGATTCAATTTCAACCTACAACTTCTTACCTACAATATCCTTCAATGGTATTCCATTTGTCCCTGTTGAACAAATCCTAGGACTCCACTTGGATTCCGCATACTAGACTGAATTGACAAGAAACTGCTGTATGTTTCAGACTGCTCCAACACTTACTAGACACACGCTCTAAACTTTCAATAATTACAAAAGACTCTTCTACTTAACCATAATAAGACCTATATGGAAATATGGAGTTGAGCTTTTGGGCTTTACCAAACCATCGAATTCCTATCGTATCCAATCTTTACAATCCAAAATCCTTCATCAAATCCTTAATACCCCATATTTTGTTACAAATAAAACCATTCATAAAGACCTTAAGTTCCATATTTCGTTGTTTTAGCCTAAGCCAGGTGCCTATCCTTTCATGACGAACTCCAGTCACATCCAAATCCACTTGTTTCCAGTCTTGCTTCTTCCTCGATTCCTGATAATCCCCCTAGGCGTCTGAAAAGAAGATAGCCTCGTGATCTTCTTACTTAGAATTAAATAGACAATGCTACCTTTGGTAGTGTTGCCCAAAATCGGTCTTAGTCTTTGCAAGATCAAGACTAAGACTGCCTCACTGATGCAAAACCAAGACCAAGACTGGTAAAAAAAAGTCAATTTTTTAAAATATAAATTAAGGCAAAATAGTTACTAATGCTTAACAATTTTAGTTACTATATATATGTAAAGAATTGTTATAACCAATATGCTTTTGAATATTTAATAGTTGACTGTTGTATTATAAAGGAAGGAGATGGTTGGAGGTGGCGTTCATAAAAAGGCTAAAAAGTTGCAAAACTATTTTATCGAAAGCCAGGCTTTTAATAAAATCACCATTTAGCCTTTTTATGACCACCACCCCTAATTTTTTCTAATTACTTCATTTGGGTTTAGTTAGGTTTTCCCTGTCTAAAAAAATACAGTAATATCTCCATAGTATTAAGCTAATTCATTCATTCATGTGTGGCACGACATCCCGTTACCGAGACTGGGCCTCCTCCAAGAGCCTCCGCCAGTTGGCTCTGTCTTCTGCTGCAGCTCTCCAGTTCCGTACACCAAGCAGAGTTCTCGCATCATAGGCCACGTTGTCCAACCACCTCGTCCTCGGCCTTCCTACCCGTCTTGCGAGGTGCAGCTCCTCCATCATTATTTTCTTGGGTATCTCAACGGTGCTCATTCTGGCCACATGCCCTGCCCACCTTAGTCTGGCCAGTTTAATATAGGTGACTATGTCGATGTCTGCATAGAGAGAACTGAGCTCCCTATTTTTTCTTTTCCTCCAGACATCGCCCTCCTTTACTGGACCATAAATCCTTCTGAGGACTCCTCGCTCAAACACACTCAGCTTCATCTCATCGTTTTTGGTCATCGTCCAAGCCTCTGAGCCATATGTCAAAACAGGCCGAACAAGAGTCTTGTATATGATCAGCTTGGTCTTCTTTGAGAGGTACCTACTTCTTAAGTGTCGGCCAAGTCCATAGACACATCTATTGGCAGCCGTGATCCTTCTTTGTATTTCTTGAGCCATGTCATTTTTGCTATTAATTTCAGACCCAAGGTATATAAAACTTTTCACTCTCTCAAACTTAAAAGAACCTACCTCAAATTGAGAGTTCAGATCCACCTCACCACCAACTCTCATATACTTAGTTTTCCTCTCGTTGACTTCTAGACCAAGTGGTCTTGCAGCTGCTTCAAGGCCTATAAACGCTTCTCTGAGAGCCTGTTCAGACCTACCTATTATGTCAATATCATCATCAAAACCAAGAAGCTGTGTCAGGCGATTGAAGATTATATCGTTGGTCTGAATACCGGAGTCTCTTACAGGTTTCTCCTCTGCCAAGTTGAACAATAGACAGGCGAGGGCATCCCCTTGCCTAACCCCACTGCTCACTTTAAACTCTTCGGAGTCGTCAGAACCGACGCGTATTCTACATCTCAAGCTGTCCATGGTCATCTTGATTAGGCGTACGAGCTTCTGAGGGATGCTTAGCTCCTCCAAGGCACAGTATAGTTGCGTTCTATCAACGCTGTCGTATGCTGCTTTAAAGTCTAGGAATAAATGGTGGGTGACTACCTTATGCTCCATAGTCTTTTCTAGGATCATCCTCAGAGAGAACAGTTGATCAGTCGTTGAGCGTCCTCTTCGAAATCCAGCCTGATATTTCCCCAGTTCCTTTTCAGAATACGGGAGAATCCTCTCAAAAAGAATGTTAGAGAGCAGTTTATAAGCACACGAAAGGAGTGAGATTCCTCGATAGTTAGCGCATTCTGTTTGATCTCCTTTCTTATGTATTGGGCAGATAACGGCTGTTGCCCATTCCGTAGGCATAGCTTCCCTCTCCCAGATGGTCAGCATTAAATCATGCAGAGCTTTCTTAAGTTCTTCACCTCCACATTTCAACAGCTCTGACTGGATTCCGTCCGGGCCTGGCGCCTTTCCATTTTTCAATTTCATCAGGGCATTTTCCATTTCCTCCTCATCCAGGGGTTCAATAGAATTGAGGGAGTCTTCCTTCATTACTCCTACTTCTCCAGGCACCGTTCCTCTGTTTAATGCGTCTTTAAAATGTTGTACCCATCTCCTTAGTACGTCATCTTTGTGGCTTAAAAGAGATCCGTTCGTGTCTTTGCATGCCGTCACTCTGGGCCTGAAAGCTGCCCCACCCTCGTTTATTCTCTGAAAAAACAGCCGACTTTCATTTTGGCCGCGCAATGCCTCTATATCCTCCATGTTCTTGTTTTCCCAAGCTCTTCTCTTTCCGCGGAATAATCTCTTCTCTTTCCGCGGAATAATCTCTTCTCTTCGCGTCTTTTTCTTCGATATGTTTCTTGGAAGAGCCTTGTGGGACACTGAACCTTCTTCCTGTAGGCTTCATTTTTCACTTTTACTGCTTGAAGGCACTCAGCATCAAACCATGGAGGACTCGTCTCGGTCTCGTATTTGGACAACACTAACCACTGGGTAGTATCTCTTAAAATCTGTTCATGTCATTATTTCTAATGTGAGCATTTTCACTAGTTTTATTTTTATACCGTTGTAAATTTCATTAAATAAATAAAAAAAAGATTCAATTTAAATAATTATTTGCAGTATATGAATTATGTTTTATAGGCAGTATATATTAGGTTTTCCCTATCTAAAAAAAAAGTAATATCTCCATAGTATTAAGCTAATAGGTAACTGCAAGACCGTTGCGAGATTCTTGCGCAAGACCAAGACCTAGACCAAAACTGAGTTTGCAAGACCAAGACTCGTCTCGTTCTCGTATTTGGACAACACTAACCACTGGGTAGTATCTCTTCAAACCTGTTCATGTCATTATTTCTAATGTGAGCATTTTCACTAGTTTAATTTTATACCGTTGTAAATTTCATTAATTAAATAAAAAAAAGATTCAATTTAAATAATTATTTGCAGTATATGAATTAGGTTTTATAGGCAGTATATATTAGGTTTTCCCTATCTAAAAAAAAAAGTAATATCTCCATAGTATTAAGCTAATAGGTAATTGCAAGACCGTTGCGAGATTCTTGCGCAAGACCAAGACCTAGACCAAAACTGAGTTTGCTAGACCAAGACTCGTCTCGTTCTCGTATTTGGACAACACTAACCACTGGGTAGTATCTCTTCAAACCTGTTCATGTCATTATTTCTAATGTGAGCATTTTCACTAGTTTTATTTTTATACCGTTGTAAATTTCATTAAATAAATAAAAAAAAGATTCAATTTAAATAATTATTTGCAGTATATGAATTATGTTTTATAGGCAGTATATATTAGGTTTTCCCTATCTAAAAAAAAAGTAATATCTCCATAGTATTAAGCTAATAGGTAACTGCAAGACCGTTGCGAGATTCTTGCGCAAGACCAAGACCTAGACCAAAACTGAGTTTGCAAGACCAAGACTCGTCTCGTTCTCGTATTTGGACAACACTAACCACTGGGTAGTATCTCTTCAAACCTGTTCATGTCATTATTTCTAATGTGAGCATTTTCACTAGTTTAATTTTATACCATTGTAAATTTCATTAATTAAATAAAAAAAAGATTCAATTTAAATAATTATTTGCAGTATATGAATTAGGTTTTATAGGCAGTATATATTAGGTTTTCCCTATCTAAAAAAAAAAGTAATATCTCCATAGTATTAAGCTAATAGGTAATTGCAAGACCGTTGCGAGATTCTTGCGCAAGACCAAGACCTAGACCAAAACTGAGTTTGCTAGACCAAGACTCGTCTCGTTCTCGTATTTGGACAACACTAACCACTGGGTAGTATCTCTTCAAACCTGTTCATGTCATTATTTCTAATGTGAGCATTTTCACTAGTTTTATTTTTATACCGTTGTAAATTTCATTAATTAAATAAAAAAAAGATTCAATTTAAATAATTATTTGCAGTATATGAATTAGGTTTTATAGGCAGTATATATTAGGTTTTCCCTATCTAAAAAAAAAAGTAATATCTCCATAGTATTAAGCTAATAGGTAATTGCAAGACCGTTGCGAGATTCTTGCGCAAGACCAAGACCTAGACCAAAACTGAGTTTGCTAGACCAAGACTCGTCTCGTTCTCGTATTTGGACAACACTAACCACTGGGTAGTATCTCTTCAAACCTGTTCATGTCATTATTTCTAATGTGAGCATTTTCACTAGTTTTATTTTTATACCGTTGTAAATTTCATTAAATAAATAAAAAAAAGATTCAATTTAAATAATTATTTGCAGTATATGAATTATGTTTTATAGGCAGTATATATTAGGTTTTCCCTATCTAAAAAAAAAGTAATATCTCCATAGTATTAAGCTAATAGGTAACTGCAAGACCGTTGCGAGATTCTTGCGCAAGACCAAGACCTAGACCAAAACTGAGTTTGCAAGACCAAGACTCGTCTCGTTCTCGTATTTGGACAACACTAACCACTGGGTAGTATCTCTTCAAACCTGTTCATGTCATTATTTCTAATGTGAGCATTTTCACTAGTTTAATTTTATACCGTTGTAAATTTCATTAATTAAATAAAAAAAAGATTCAATTTAAATAATTATTTGCAGTATATGAATTAGGTTTTATAGGCAGTATATATTAGGTTTTCCCTATCTAAAAAAAAAAGTAATATCTCCATAGTATTAAGCTAATAGGTAATTGCAAGACCGTTGCGAGATTCTTGCGCAAGACCAAGACCTAGACCAAAACTGAGTTTGCTAGACCAAGACTCGTCTCGTTCTCGTATTTGGACAACACTAACCACTGGGTAGTATCTCTTCAAACCTGTTCATGTCATTATTTCTAATGTGAGCATTTTCACTAGTTTTATTTTTATACCGTTGTAAATTTCATTAATTAAATAAAAAAAAGATTCAATTTAAATAATTATTTGCAGTATATGAACAAGAATGATATGAAGAATAATATATTCTTATTCATTTCATGAGCTAGAGCGACGTCTGGAAGGCTTGGACTTATGGCAGATTCAGACTGAGTAAAACCTTTGAAGAAACGGTTGAAAGAATGAAGACAGGGAAGTTTCTTGTGACAGGTGAAATGGTTCAAGATACCTTCTTCTTCTTGGGATCTCCCTTGCCTCCGGAAGATTTATTGCAGAAGTTTGAAATCAATAAACAATGTCACCAAAATTTCTTATCTGGGTATGATTACGTTCAATAAACTATAAAATAAAAACTTGCACAATATATTTGCAGGTATGGCTGTGTTTTTAATGTATTTATCTTAAAGTTATTTTATTTTTCATTATATGTACTTTTGATTATCATTTAATTGTTATTTTGCTTTTGTTTATTTTATGTTTTCTGTATGTATGGTGTAAATGTGTTCTTACCTCACTATAATTATTGTCTGTGTGACATAATGTTATATTATTGAATAAATAAATAAAAAAAACATATATAGGGTGTTTCAGAGTTAAGTGACCAATCTGCAAAAATGAACTAAGGACCTCAAAAAAAGAAACCTCTGAAGGTATGTCCGCAAAGGCTTTGTTTAGAAGATATTCACAGATTTTCGTTGTTTTGAATTATTTTGCGTTATATGAAATAAATAAAACCTATTTATTTGTTCTAACTACTTTATTAATTAAATGTAAACATTAACATTCATATTAAATGTTGTTCAAAGTGAAGGTATTTCCGCATTTCTTGCCGCTTCGACTCAATGCGTGCTCATTTCTGGAATTTCTTAATAATGATTACTATGATTTAGTTGAACATATTGTACTTCAACTGAGAAGGGACATGTGGCTTCGATTAGATGGTTGTCCTGCACATCACGGAAGAGGTCCACGACAATGGCTAAATGTTAATTATCTTAATCAATAGATTGGATGGACCAGTGGCTTCGCCTGTAAGCTCTCCAGACCTGACACAACTGGATTTTTTTTGTTTTGGGTGACATTAAACAGAAAGTCTATGCAAGTCCGGTCAATGGCCTTAATTCCTTACGAAAAAGGATAATTGAATCTTATGAAACAATAAAACATATCCAGTGCTGTTCTGCCACTGCTGCTGTTGAAGAAATATGCCGAGCATATCTTAATGCTCAAGGAAATCACTTTGAACAAAATTTAATATGAATTTAATGTTTAAATTTAATTAATAAAGTAGTTGGAACAAATAAATAAGTTTTATTTACTTAATATGACGTAAATAATTCATAACAATGAAAATCTTTAGGTGTGAATATCTCTTAAATAAAACGTTTGCGGACACACCTTCATTGGAAGTCCTTAATTCATTGATTGAGTAGCGAAATTGATTTCATTACAGGTGGTGGAAATGATAATCAAGGGCTTTTAGACTACACAATTTTTTTTTAAATGGATGTTATAGACAGTGATGAGAAGAAGAAATAAAAAAAATATATATATTCACAAAACACTTCAAATTAGAATAATTACTCGAGTTACACTATTGAGCTTGTTTTGAGAATCATCAGTATATATGTAGCATTGCTTATTCATATTAAATATATAAATAGTACATTTTTAAATAAATCGGTTCTCTTTTGGAACTGATATGAATAGAAATATATACTGTATCAATCATATTAAATATCCTGATTACACATAAATACTGGTTTTGCAAACCAATAAAAGAAATCTATCAGCATTGATGAATGACCACGCTTTCTATTTGTATCTGTCAAATACTAAACATTTTTTTTTTTAAAACAACTGTTTGTCCTTTGATATAATTTTTCGTTATACTATTATAATGATCTAGGCCTATCTTCCCAGCTGGATCAGCTTACAGTGCTGCATTGAGCCTGGCGGATTCTCGATTGCAGTCTGGAGGTATCAAAGCAACCTTCATCAGAAATATCTTAAGGCTCGATCCAGTACTCCGCCAGTTCATTCCGGAGACCGATCTTACACCTTCTAAAGATTACAAGAATCCAGCCACTCCGCTCAGCCTAGGAAGTTTGTCTTCTGCTTTTTTGATTCTGACTATAGGTGTCTTCTTGGCTACTTGCTCCTTTCTGGTCGAGCTTGTTCTGGGTTATGGGGTATTAGAAATTTAAAAAGTTGTTTGTTCTGTTATATAGTTCTATTAAATTGTAAATATTATTTCAATGTGATAAGTAAAAAATCTGAATCACTGAAGCTTTATGTTAACTTTATCAGAGTGTATTTGATTCCTTATATCATACAATTATTAATTGTATTGATTCTTCTAAATAAATTTTACTAAAAGTTGTACAACAGTAGTAAAAGGCTTTAACTGTTATTTCATCTATACCTGATCAAAAACCTAAATAACATCTATAGTTTGTTTGAAAAGAATTGCTTCGGTACTGGTATATTAGCCGGGTGGAACCAAGGTCAGTAAAACTACAAGGTTCGCTCACTCAGAGAGAAAATGGTGGGGAGGAATTGAGCTCTGACGTAGCCTAAAGACTGATTTTACCCCTCCGGCCTTTGTTTCTGGACATTTTAAGATTATTATTTACTTTTATACATTAAATCAATACTGCATTGCCAACTAACTTATTAATTTATTAATTTTAATAAATTTGAAAGGTGTGAACAAGGTTAATTTGATATTTGGCTTATTCTGAACCAAATAAAATGTAATTTAGCAAGTTGATGTATGATTTTTTGCAAAGTACCACAATACTACTTTTTAAATATTTCAAATAAATACAGAGCATATTATAAAATAATAGAAGTATTGAAAAAAAAAAAAGAAAAAGTATTTAATCTAACATTAAAGAAGCATTTTCTTTCCGTGAATTTTTGTAAATATTACATTTTTATGTCATAAGTAATCCTATGTAGTGATTTTTCTAAAGTTTTTGTTTTGATTGTATGTTTTCTTAATTGTCGTAAAAATCATTGGGTATTTAAAATTTTGATTCTATTAAATACCCGTTGCTGAAAGAAAGGCTTTCTTTCTTCATTCATTTCTACATTTTGTTTCCTAAGAAAAATATAGTAAATTTTTTTACAATATTTGTTTGTTTTTTTACAATATTTTTACATTTACATTTTAAAATCCAATCTTTTCTTCGAGTGTCCATTGGAAAAGTATGAAATGAAATTTTCTTTTCCATATTCTTTGTGTCAATTAGATTATTGTTGCAAGATAATCACAACTGCGCATATTGTACCTGGCATTCTATAGGATTCTATTAATAATTATGTTATTATGAGAAATACTAGAAATACTAATAAGAACAAACAAATTCTCTGTAACATGTTATTAAAAATAAAAAATAAATACTCGTTATAATATTATTTTAGAGACAGATAAGTAGTTGACTGTTAAGATTATAAGGCGAAAATAAACTATCAGGATTTGCAGTAAAATTTGTTTACTTTTTTAATTAAATTTATTTATTTAAAGAAATTTTGGCTGCAAATCCTGACAAAGATCTTCACCCTTATAATATTATTATAATATCATTACAATTTTAAAAGAAATACCCACGAGATCTACAAACAAAATTACACAAACATTGTGCTAAAATGTTCTCTAAATAAATATAAATCTTAGTTTTTTCTATTTATGCAATATATTTACATATTATTTACAGAGATTTTAAAATAAAGAATTTATAAATAATCTTAATATCAATTTCATTCTTTTCGTTTCAGGCCTGGCCTGTAATTTTCATAGCATTTTATTCTAGATTGATAGCCGTATTTATTTATTTACCTACTTGAAATTATCTTCAATCAAATGTCAAAATCACAGAAAAGTATTCTTCTCAATAAATTAAACAAGAAAAAAAAAGCACAATAATGTTGAAATAAGCCTTCATTGATAGGCTTGAAAGAATAATAGGTAGGTCTGACAGTCTATTCCTTACGTCATATTTTCACTTTCATATTCTTTATTGATAGATTTGGAAAAGTACAAAATTCTCATCAGTGACATGACTAATATAACAGAAGACAAATGTATATATATGGTAGCTTTTATTTAAAACATCTTTACATTTTATTATCAATGTAAATATGACAACAATATTTTATACCATTTATGAAATGTCTTTACAAATAAATATTGAATGTAATATGTATGTATGATTCAATTAAAACAAATCTTTGCTATAAAAAGTAAAAATAATATTTAGAAAAATACATATAGCAAATATTTATTTCAAAAGAAGTTAAAAGAAATACACATATTTCGTTAAGATCAGATGTGGCCAGGAGGATGCAAGTTATCCCACCAAAATTTTTGAGGGAGGCTAAGTTTTTATGGGGATTTGAGGTTATGAATCATTAAAGGGAAATATTTCAAAAATAAAAATAAATTACAATTTTTATAATTGTATAATTTCATTTACACTGCTTTTAAGAAGAGGAGAACATGAAAATTTATTGGGAGACGGGTCATGCAGGCCTTTGAGCGGATAGGCACTACTAATTAAGATATTCTCTCTCTTCAACTCGTACTGGCTTGAGATTAACAATCTCTTGCATGAGGTGTGATTCATATTTAAAATCTTCAAATTTTTGTTGTGAAAAGAATTTGCATTTCCTTATTATTATAGAAATAATAGTTTTCAGTTCTTGTCGTGCATAGGTCATACCTTAAAAAAAAAAAAAGAATACAATTGTTTTAGTGCAATTATTCCTTGGGTAAGAATCTTGTTGATTCTGATTCACTTCTTAAAATTTATAATCCTTTATGAAAAAATATGTAATAAATTAAAAATCATTACTATCATTATATATATTGATTATGATTTAAAATATTATAATGTAAAATTTAATAGAATATTAGTGAATCTTCAGACCTGGGCAACTTCTTACACCAACACCAAAGGCTGCGAAGGCATATTTTGGCTGATCTTCGAAAGCACGATCTGGATTAAATACTTGAGGATCTTTCCAAAATCTTGGGTCCATATGAGCTTTACCCAATAAAAAGTAGACCACTGTTTCAGCTGGAATAGTAACTCCACCTGTAGGACAAAAAATAAAGGATTAATCTATTAATTTGTCTTTCATTTATTAAAAACATTTCATTGAAAAAATATATTAATATAAATTGGCTAATTGTATTAACATTTCTTCAAATGTAAATATGCTCACAACCCAATTTTAATATTAATATGAACAATCCAATACTATTTGATATGATCCTCCCTTGTTGAACATAAGGAATTCAGAGTTCTTTCTCTGTTTAGATTGATTGATCCTAAAATTCAAGCAAAACTCAGAACAATCCACTAAAATTAATTATATAGCTATGAGACATTGAAGAATTCAATTGATTTTATGTATAAATAATAATTATCTTTTAAAACAAAACTTAACATTCTATAAAATTAAGGAATGATCAAGACTATAAAAACAAACATACTTTATCTAGTGGATTCAGAATTTCGTTTTGGTCTGAAGGATTTTTTTTTATATAATTGTAATTACTTTAGAAGAAAAAGGAAGAACTACAGAAACAATAATGATTTTAGAGTTTTATATATTTGTATTCTTGGTACCTGCTTAGATTTAGTTTAAAAGATTATCATTTAAAAACAGTATGAAATACTTATTATTATTGTTTAAATATTTCGCTCAGACCAATAATATATGAACCAATTGAATGAAAACTACAATATGAAAAAAAAAATAGTTTGAGAAAGAAAAATGAAATTCAAACAAATGAAAATTGGATAAGAACAAATGAGTTTTTTTTACTTATTTTTCTGTATCTAACTGCTCTGTTCCTGCACATTACGTTTCTATGGCATGTAGAGGGTTCCAGGAACCGAATTTATTTCTATTAAATGCATTTGGAATTTATATTCGTATTTCTATCGGCTCCAGAAGCGAACATAATTACTTAAAAATAGATGAATGGTGTATTTAAAGATTAGAGACCACAGACCCCCTACTCTAGTATTCTAGATTGAATAATATAATTTTAATTGGATATCTTTTCATAAGGTGTTATGTTTAAAAATTTTCTATTTGTATCGATATCTAAGTCGTGGCATGCAAGGGAGGTTGTTATAATATCAAGATTGAATAATAATTAATCTATTTATAAATACAAACAAACCAAAAACATACATGTAGAATCATATTAGGAGAACACTAGTGAATATGACTGATCGAAGTTACTAATAAGTTATTGATTCTATTATTGTTATTGTGTGCCAGCACGAGTTTACATAGGTGTGTCTAAATGGATATTATGACTTATCTGTTGTCACTGCTAGCTAGTGGTCGGCTGCCTTAATGTTTTCTTTCCCTGGACCATCATCTCCAAGGAAGCCTCCTCATCCACTTCGTCCGAGTCATTGCCAGTGCCTTGCCTCAACTCCCGGACTGCCTTGCCCTTTTTCTGTCTCAGACTCCTCTCTGTTCCCAGACTTACTGTCTCTCTTGACTCTATGCTCACTGTTTATTCTGACTGTCTATCTCCGACTGACACCTCATCCCAGATCTTTGTTATTCACCTTCTTTTTCAAGTTTATTACTATTGGTTGAAGTTTTCATAGCAGAGGGGATGAATATGCTTTAAGGATGTTTTGATCCCTTCTCTCGCTGGATATCTATTTGCCTTATGTGAACATTCCTAAGGGTTTTAGATGTGTGGGGTGTTGTGCCGGAGTTGGGTCCTTTAGTGTTTATTGCACCAGACCCAGGATTTGGATACCGCCCCAGGGAGGCTCACTAAGGTTTTCCAGGTAGATTGACCTGTGCTGTTCTATTGTATTATTCTATTCTTTTCTATTTATTTATATTATATTTTAAATTTAGCTCTTATGATATATAGCACAACCCCCTGCTGGAGTTCGGTCAGTTCCTTCTGACTCATTCTGTATACTAGAAACTACTGACTTTAAAATAAAAAAAATGTATTAGCTATGAGCCCCAACTTATAAAAATTATTTTCAAATAATTTCTGGCCATCAAACTATTCACTGTCATTTAGTTGTATATAATTCACAAAAAAGTTCAATAAATGATATAAGTAGTCATTATCTTATATTACAAGTAACGAACAGATGAATTATTGATTGTATGCAGTTCTAAGCTTCATTTAAACATTTCCATGGCTCTACAACTATTTTAGGGCCTTGGTCTCCTCAGTAATGCCTACCCAATCATCTCTGCTTTGTTTATGTGTAACAAGCTAATTAAATTTAAACAAATGAAAATTTAACAAGAACATATGAATTTTTTTTAGTTTTTTTACTGTGTGAGATCATCATCGATACAATACTGCTGTGACCTTCTCCTTTTTTTGTCTCCTGGTGTGCCATATATTATATATTTTTTTTTTCAGGTATCTTCTCCCATCATTTCTATGTGTTCAAGCCATCTTAAGGTTTGGCTTGACATAAGTGACTATGTCTGATTCATTATTTAGTTCTTGGAGTTCACTAGTATTTTTTATCTCCCATTCGCTAGCTATACATATTGATCCTAAGATCTGTTGAATGACCTTGATTCGTAGGATCCTCTCATATTCCTGAGTCAAGTCCCTTTTCTCTGCGTAAGTGACTTTTAATCTTAAAATTGTTTTATAAATAAGTAGCTTTGTTTTCCTCGAAAGGTAACAAAATTCCAAAAAAAATTTCCGTAATGCAAAAAATCATCTGTTACCTGCAACCATTCTAGCCTTAGCCCACACAAATAATTTCTAAGTGTGTGACTTCTAGGTTTGACTACAGGCAGACCAAGGTTAAGTGACACCCATTTAGTCCCCAGGCTAAATGTACTCTCTCAATAATGTCTGTAAGAAGACCAGGAAGTGCTAAGACTAAAGGTCTATATGGCCTGTATATGTATATAATTTTTTTTTTCAAATTAGTTTATACTATAGTTACAAATTGTTGATCTTACCAACTTTTATTTCCGCAGTTGTAACCTTTCCTATGAATGCAGGACTGAAGAACCTCAATATTTCTTTTATGAACCTTAGAAATGAAAAAACAAAACAAATATATATATCAATACTCTATACAACCATACAAATTAAATGCATAGTCATGATAATTAAATATAATTATCGATAAAACAACATAAACAAAACTGTAATTCTAAATCAATAAAATCAAATACATATATCAACTGGCCTTTCAAAGCATGCATCTTATAATAAACAATGATTTGATTTTAAAAACACAAAATTATTGAATCTATGTGTTGAATTATGTTTCTAAAAGTTTAAATAATTCCGTAAACAACCAATAATAATATAAGTGATAATATAAATACTTTACACACAAATATAATTATCAATACTTCGATATAATATTATTTTTTTTTTTTTTAGACATTATATTCTGTCTCTAGGACAATAATTATAGTGATAAATGAACACAATATATATATATATATATATATATATATATATATATATATATATATATATATATATATATATATATATATATATATATATATATAAAAGGAGCATCGACTATTGTTCAGAGGACTTTGGATTGGATGCGTTTGCCGTTAGAAAATTTTGCTGTTCCCCAAAGTTAAGTCCGTAGGTCCATGTTATAATATTAAAAATTAAAATTAAATTTAAACCACACTTTTTTTTTTTTTTCTGTGTTCCCTTCCTTGACTTTTATTAGGATAAACGTGGTTTTTCCCAGCGGGGTGAAATGGAAGGGCGGTTGGGAGGAGAGTGTTATGCTGGGTTTTTGAATTTTTGAGGGAAGCAAATTTCGACAGGGTTACGAATTTTCGGACTAAGGGACAAGAGGGAAATATAGAACAGACCGCAGCAAGTGTAATTATATATGATCTACGATTTTTCTAATTCTACCTTCGCTACTTCTGTTTTTAAGAAAACGTAAACAATAAAATATCTTGGGTGGAAGGAGGCAGTTAGGTACTTCGCCATTGACCTTGAGGGGGATGGGCAGTCCTTGGTAAAAGAAACAGATTTCCATGAAGAAATAAGGAATCCCGATCCGAGAGGTATAATTTACATTCATTAAAATTGTTGGTACTCATTGAACTTGATGCTCTACAACTTTGATTCTATGAGTTTTTTTTCTCATGAAAATCGGTTTATTTTGAAACATTGTTTCTCGAAATCTCCCGCTGCTGAGAGGTGAAAAAGAGGCCTATACACATACAACAAACTCTAAACAAGAATAACTCACTAGAATAGATACTGTTCAAATATTGAAAATCACACATACCTTCGTTACCAAAATCCAGCCAACGAATCGATTTTTTACGGACTAAGTGACCTCCAATTAAACTTTTGGTACTCAGTTTAAGCAGAATTTGATGCTCTACAACTTTGATTCAATGAGCTTTTCCTTTTAGGGATCTCATTTCAAAGCTATATGGCCGTTTACAGTAATTTGTCTCAGTTTTTCACGAATTTGCAAAAAATCAGCGTTCGTTGACCGTGACTATAGCTAAACCAATTATTATGTTTAGGCATTCGTTCGAAAACAAATTCAACGTTCTTTAATTTTTGTAAAGTGTACATTTTTCACTTCAATGCACCGTTTAAGAGTAATATTTGAAAAAACAAAAAAATGACGAAAAAATATGTTTTTTAAGACTGTAAAAAGTGTTCTGGTTGCTCGAGTTAGGAATTGTTTGTTACATGTTTCCACAGGTGGATTTACAGGGGAGGGATTTCGGGCTGAACCCTCACCCCCCAAAACGGTAAAATATAACCATGTTTTATAGAAAAAAAATATTAAAAACTATCTCTTAAAGTATTATTGTTCGTGTAATTACATTTAATAGGACTTCAAGAATCTCTTAAACACCATTTCGTATAGATAGTTAATTTTTTTTCTTTAAATTAATTATCGTTATTTATTTGAAAAAAAAATTTTCGGGCTGAAGCACCCCCCCAAAATTAAATCCTGGATCGGTTAGTGCATGTTTGATTCCATATATACAAGTTAAAAAAAATAACGCTTTTCCCACAAAACATTACTCGTTTCGATTCTCAAGTAACTGGCCTAATATTCTTTAAATCAGTCGCCATTTTAGAAAGCAGCGGCTCTGGAATGGCAAAAAAGAGCCATTTTAGAAAGCAGCGGATCTGGAATGGCAAAAAAGAGCCATTTTAGAAAGCAGCGGATCTGGAATGGCAAAAAAGAGCCATTTTAGAAAGCAGCGGCTCTGGAATGGCAAAAAAGAGCCATTTTAGAAAGCAGCGGCTCTGGAATGGCAAAAAAGAGCCATTTTACTTATACCATTAAACACTTTCGTAATTTACATCGAAACCTTCGCCTGCGATCAGGTCGATTTTGGGTTCTGGCTCCAGGGCTATAATGAACTTGAATTTCATCGGAAACACTTATCACGAAACTCGTACAAAGAATTGTATATTATTAGGTTTATATTAGTAGATTTTCATAGATTTTCGCATGAAAACTTTTTTAAAAATTTAAGGATAAGGGATACATAAAAGTTAAACCAACAATATGAAAGCCCTGTACATAAGGGTATCGGAGATCTGTAAATAGAGGAGATCGAGAAAGGTCGTCGCTTTCGGTTGTTACCGTATAGCTTCCAATCCTTATTTCTCCGTCAATTACCAATCAATTTTCTTCATTCATTATACTTAACCATTATTACATCAGTTTACAGTGTGAAATGGATAAATATTTAAAATTAAAAAAATAAAGGTGCTTTACAGGAAGAAATTTTGAAAATTAGGCATTAAAACCCTGTTAGAGAAAATGAATGAGAAAAAGATCTACATAATGTTGAAAACTGCTGAATTTTATACTGATATAATTAATTTAATCAAAATCGTTACAAAAAATGTGTAAAATCGATAAAGTGGCACTTCCGGTTAATCGATTTTTATGAAAAAGTTGCTGTAATATCCCAAGTATGTACAAAACCTTAAATACGCTTCCGTACGATCTTTTGTTTTTGACCTATAGACTGTTCACACGTATACAGACCATTTTGGGTAACTTGAGTATTTGGACACAGAGGATCTCAAAAATTTTCACGATCGCAATACTTTCGTGTACTATTTATTACATATATAGATAAGTAAAACCGAAAACCAATAAACCATTCGTGGGAAATAATAGACTTGACTTTATGAAAACAGAAATGGGTACTTGTATAATAGCGGGTAGCGTCAAAACCTCCCTTCTTGTCTCCTCTAACTTAAGTTATTCTCTTGTTTATTTTTGGTTCCTTGTGTAAGCTGTGAGTCAGTGTTGTCACATCGTGGGAATTCTTCAGAAGAATAGGCTATCAAATATTTTCAAGACGCCGGGATATATGTTGCAATGGTTTTTTAATTATATATGTATAATGTTTTGGTCTATTTAATATATATCTTGTAAAATAAAACTATTTTTTTATTATTACATTTGTTTTTGTTCACAATTTCAATAATAATGAAGGTAATAAAAAAATAGACAAAAATAAATAAATAAAATTATGGAACCACACATAAATGAATTTTAAAGCCGCTAAAAAAGAAATCATCGACCCCTCTATCCACGTTCCTTTCCTTATATCACTTATAGAAACCGTTTTGTTACAACTACGAGAGCATCTCCATTTAATCTTCCCGTCCAACGTCATCTGATGACCATTATTATTGAAAATGTGAACAAAAACAAAAACAAATGAAATAATAAAAAATAGTTTTATTTTAAAAGATATATATTAAATAGACCAAAACATTATACATATATAGTTAAAAAACATTACGAAAACATTGCAACATATATCCCGGCGTCTTGGAAATATTTGATAGTCTCTTCTTCTGAAGACGGCAATTCCCACAATGTAAAAACATACATAATTAAATAAGACCAACTCACATTACATGTAACATGCCACATATTACTATTAATAATAATAATATACTACATATTATTATTGATTCACAAAAAGGGTCCGAGGACGGATTGTAATAACTATCGAGGAATTTCACTCCTTCCGGTATGTTATAAAATATTCACTTCAATCTTAACCAGTCGAATCACGGAATATGCCGAGGAAATTATCGGAGACTACCAATGCGGATTTAGACGGAATCGTTCGACAATTGATCAAATATTTTCTTTACGGCAAATATTAGAGAAAAAATTGGAGTATAACGGTATTGTTCACCAGCTGTATATAGATTTTAAAAAGGCTTACGATTCTATTGACCGCCAGAAACTGTATAATATTCTAATCGAGCAGGGGATTCCAAAAAAACTAGTAAATCTAGTCAGGATGTGCTTGACGGAGACACTCAATAAAGTTAGAATCGGTAATAATTTGTCCGAAAAATTTGAGGTTCGTTCGGGCTTAAAACAGGGGGATTCTCTTTCGCCTGTTCTGTTTAATTTGGCATTAGAACATGCCATTAGGGAGGTAATGCGAACCGAGAAAGGGTTGGATCTGGGCGGGACAACATCCGTGCTGGGCTATGCTGATGATCTGGTATTGTTAAGCGAAGACGTTGAAACTATAAAACTAAATACGACAACGTTAATGGAAGCCGGTAAAGAACTAGGACTCGAAATAAACGTGGATAAAACAAAATATATGGTTAGCTGCAAAAATGGCGATACTACTGGTGATATCGATATAGATGGTAATATGTTTGAACAGGTAGATAAATTTAGGTATCTAGGTTCTACGATAACTAGAAAAAACAAAATTGAAGAAGAGATTAAGGTTAGACTGAAGGCGGGGAATGCTTGTTATTTTTCTGTGACAAAACTACTTAGTTCGCGCCTCTTGTCCCGAAACTTAAAAATTAGAATCTATAAAACAATTATCTTGCCTACAGTTCTTTATGGATGCGAAACTTGGCCGCTTACATTAAGGAATGAGCAGCGTCTTAAGGTTTTTGAAAATAAAGTATTGCGTAGAATATTCGGACCGAAGAAGGATGAGTTAACCGGAGAGTTCAGACGGTTACACAACGCCGAATTGCGTGAGCTGTATCCGGGTAATATAATTGAGGTAATTTCATCGCGGCGAATCAAATGGGCTTGTAAAATTGTTGGGCTTAGTAACGAGAGAATTCCTAAAAGGTTAATATTTGCTGTGCCGAATGGTAAGCGTCCGAGGGGTAGACCGAAGCGAAGGTGGGAGGATTGGATTAAAGCCGATCTGAAGGGACTGGGTTTGGACGGCGAACGGTGGAGGGAGGTGTGTAACAAGCGATTGGTGGTGTCGGCATCGAACCTTCGGGTTCGCTAAGCCTTATTATTATTATTTATTATTATTACATATTATTATTAGTCTGTTATCATAGTTATCAGTGTTAATGTTATAAACATTGGCGGATAGCAGTCGGACGCTACCCGCTAGTATACAAGTACCCAGAAATGAGTAAAATGAATAGAATTATTTTAACAATGTTTATTGTTTCAATAAACATACCTTTCTAGATAAGTCATCTTTTTGAGATCTTCGATGTTGGGATCCCTGTCACTTGTACCAAATATTTCATATTGTTCTTTCCAAACTTTTTCTTGTATTTCAGGAAGAGTTGCCATGAATGCGAATGAAGTAATCAGTACGGTACCAGCCGTATGTGAACCCTGAGGTATGAAATGTCGGAAATGAAAATCCAAAATTTGAAAAATATATATCATGCTTCATAATATTTCAATTGACAATTAATATATACATACTGCCAATAGTAACTCATATAGCTCTTTTTTCGTTTCGAATTTGTCTAGATTACGGCTTTTATTTCTTAACGAAATCACCACTGATAAAGTTGAATATTTAGGTGCTGAAAATAAAAAGGAGAATACAATTACAAAAAATATGATTTCGCTTATCCCATGGACAGGACTTAAGAGCTAATGATTCTAAATTCTAAATCACTTCAATCCATTAGTCCTTTCTATTTACTGCTCATTGTTATTTGATAGGCGCAGATTAAAAAGAAAATGACCAAGAGACCTACTCCTACAATAATAACAAGAAATATCTTATTGAACATTTAATAGTTGACCGTTGCATTATAAAGGAAGGAGATGTTCCGGGGTGGCGGTCATAAATAGGCTGAATAGTGGCATAACTATTTTATTAAAAGCCAACGTTTCGTTATTTCATATCCTTTTTCCTTTTCTTTCAATCTCTCCTGTAGATCTGTAAAACTATATTCACATATGCATGTATTATATATTACACTACAACAATTGTTGTTACCATCTATTTACTTCAGTTTAGGATCTTGTTACTTAGCTTACTCTGTTTATATTTTAATGTACACACTGTTTATAATTTTAATAAGCTTATTCACGTTGTTTATATTTTTTTGTAGGGTTTTGACTACTGATGCCTGGGACAGAAATTCGGTGCTCCATGCGCAATAGCTTGCTCGAAATAAATGAAAAACATGTTTTTCTATAGACTGTAGCACAAAAACGGCTCTAACGATTTTGATGAAACTTTCCTATAATGCTCTGATCATTGTTCTTTCAATTTTCTTACATAGACTAAATTCCCGGAAAAAAAGTTAAAAAGAAAAGAAAAATGTTATGGGGCCTAACTCCGTAAATATATATTATACGGTAAAATAATAAACTTTTGAAATGTAATTAAATTTCCAACAAAACAAAAAAAAAAAAAAAAAAAATCATCGGAATCGAGCCAGTATTATTATGATACAGCTTATTCTATTTTGGACACATTTTTTTGTCATGATGAAGAGAAGAATAGTTGGGGTGGTCAGTCAAAAAGGAAGGCAAAAATAAATGATAATATTTATTTTTACATATTCCGACGTTTCGACCTGAAGTTCAGGCCTTCATCAGGGCTAAGAAAATAACCAGATAAAAAGGTATGAGAAACATAAGTAGAGATGGTAAAAAAAATAATAAAAATAAATAAATATAAAGTAAAATGAAATTGTTAGAATAATGACTAAGAACTAAGAGATAAATAATAACAACCGTTACAAAGTGTGGAATGATGAAGTAGGCATAATCAAAAAGGGTGACATAAGTGGTTTGATTATGCCTACTTCATCATTCCACACTTTGTAGCGGTTATTATTATTTATCTCTTAGTTCTTAGTCATTATTCTAACAATTTCATTTTACTTTATATTTATTTATTTTATTTTTTAAATTTTTTTTATTTATTTTTTTTACCATCTCTACTTATGTTTCTCATACCTTATTATCTGGTTATTTTCTTAGCCCTGATGAAGGCCTGAACTTCAGGTCGAAACGTCGGCATATGTAAAAATAAATATTATCATTTATTTTTGCCTTCCTTTTTGACTGACCACCCCAACTATTCTTCTCTTCATTATCCACGACAGTCAACCAATTACCAGTTATTGTTTTGTCATAATATTGTGTAACTTCCACAATTCTCTATCTTTTTATATCATGTCCGTTCTAGCTCTGAAGAAGACCTGCAAAGTCGGGTCGAAACCTTGGCTTTTAATAAAATAGTTTTGCCACTATTCAGCCTATTTATGACCGCCTACCCGGACCATCTCTTTCCTTCAAGAAAAATCTTATCTAGCAAAGGAGCAGCTAATGCCTAATACATCAAATTTCTTAGGTACGCTGCAGCGAAAACATAAAATGTTAAATAAATAGATTAATACATAAATAAATAAGTATATCTGACAAATTATTATTTGAAATTTCTAATTTAGATTTGATTAAATAATTTTTATTTAAATTAATATACAATAGGTATAAAATTAAGGTATACGAACCTGCAGTAGGATCCTTTAAAGTGTTCCTCACATGTTTTTTGACACTTTTTCCTAACTAATAACAAGCATAAAATTAGAGAAATTAAATCTTGGAGATTAAAATCTAAGTAATGTAATATAACTAACAAGCAAACGTGATGGAGGTGGGATCACCGATTTCACTGAAACTTATATTAGCTTACATTAAAGAGTAAAGAAACTTATATTAAAAATATTTTTCTCAAAATTTTGATAACTTCACCTATCCAAACTTAGCAGAGATTAATGTCCATATAAACTACAAGTAAGAGACCTTCTTTAACAAATTAAATTTGGAGATGATACAATAAAAAAACTTTTAAGGCGTTTTTCTATATTTATTCCTTATAAAGGCGTTAAATCTGAAAGTAATTGAAATGTGTTGGAAGAGGAATAATTAAGCTTTCCAACTTTTAGAATATGGAAACAATTCTAAAGAGTTTAGAATGCATCAGTGAGCAGCAGAAAAAAATTCTGAAATAAAATTACTAACTACAAAATATCTTCTTCTTCTTAATCATTTCCTCTTCTACCGCTGAGTGGTGTGAGGAGCCTCCTTGTAGAGCCGAATCCACAACTCTCCATCCTGAGCCAACTGCCGCCTCCTCCAGTCAATATCCGTTTTGTCAAAGGCCTCCTTGACACTGGCCTCTCAAGTCTTCCTGGGCCTTCCCTGAGGTCTTCTTCCCTCAACTTTGCTTCCCAACGCTATCCTGGCCATTCGATTCTCTGACATTCGAGAGAAATGACCAAACCATCTCAAACGATTTTCCTCCATCACCTTTTCGGCTGCTCTTACATTTAAATTTTTCCGTATTATGGAGTTTCTTATGCGATCTCTCTTTGTTTTTCCTTCGACTCTGCGCATCTCCATTGCCTTAATCTGACTGATGTGCTTTGTGGTGAGGGTCCATGACTCGCTGGAGTAGGTCATTATCGGAAGGAAAGTATTTTTGTACACGGTCATTTTGGTCTCTTTACTCACTTCTCTCTTGTTCAAGAATCCTTGCTTGATGGCGTTGAAGCACCTTCCTGCAGACTTCACTCTCTCCTTTATTTCTCCTTCGATCCATCCATGATCATTGATGTGGGCACCGAGGTATTTGAAAGTTTTCAGTTGTTCCAATGGAACTCCATTCTGTCTCCTCTTCCTTGTTTTCTTCCAATCCTCATTGTTTTGGTTTTTTCCACATTTATTTCCATATTTATTTTACTCAATTCTTCCTGGAGAATGCGGAGGTTGAATTGCAGGTTTCGTCCATTGCTTCCAAAAACCACCAAATCGTCTGCATAAGTGAACAGAGAGAAATATACAGGCTGTAGATTTCTGCATCCCATTTAATATGATTTCATATTTTGTTTTGCTATTTTTATTGCATTATCTAGCACTAGTGTAAATAGCAGAGGACTTAGACTGCACCCTTGCCTAATACATTGATTAGTTGTGAACTCTTCCGATATGTTATTGCATGTTCTCACAACATCTCTTTGGGTCTTATAGAGACTTAGAATTGCCTTACGGAGACCTGTTTCGATGCCTTTGTCTTCCAAGGCATTTGCTATATCTTGCTTCTTCACTCGGTCAAATGCCTCAGTGAGGTCTACAAAACAGGCATATATCTCTTTCTTGTCCCTTTCTATTAATTTTTCAGAAAGTTGTCTTAAGGTAAATATGAGATCCTGGGTACTTCTATTTGGCCTAAATCCATATTGTTCTTCACTCAGGGAGTATTCCACTGTTCTTCATAGGCGTTTCTATAAAATCTTTGAGTATATTTTACTCGGGACACGAAGAAGAACTACAAAATATCTTATATATTATTTGTCAAATATATCTCGCTTTTCCGGCTGTCAGGAGTGATGGATTTTGAAGAATGACGTATCAATAGAAAGGGAATATCGCGTAAAGTTGGAAAGCCCCAAAAAATCACTGGGTCAGAGCAGTTGAGATCTTTCCTCAAGAAGTGCTGCGTGCTGCTATTGATGACTGGCCACGGAGATTAAATACCTGTGTCAAGTCAAAAGAGGGACATTTTGAGGCATTTCTTTTTTGTTTTAATTGTTGTTGAAATCTATATATATTTCCTTGTAACAATATTTATGACAGGACTAGGTATATAGGCATAATTATGTTTTTTATGTTTCTAATTTACTTATTTTCAAGTTATTTCAGTTTTTATTATATATACTTTTTGATCATTGTTTAGTTGTCATTTTGCTGTTGTTGATTTTATTTTTTCTGCGTATTTGGAGTAAATTGGTTTATACCTCACTGTAATTATTATCTATGTGACAAATTAGTATATTACTGAATAAATAAACAAATAAAAAATCTGGTGAGGGCAACACACAACTTTCACTTACCACGCAACTTTGAATCGAAATTATGTTTTGGCCATGTTGGGCTATTAAAAAAAAATTGTAATTGCATTTTAACCGAGCTAAAGCTAACAAATTATAGCTAACAATTCATAATTTCAATTAAAATAACAAAAGTCCAATTTATTACATCACCGGTTGATTATGGATTGCACGATCCGTTGATAAGGATTGTACGAGTATTAGTTATTAAACTGTTATGTTCCACTGCAAAGTTTACTAAAACGGAATTAAAAGATTTGCATTGTCTGTCATAGACAGGTCAAAAGTTGTCACACTAATTGTAAGTGGATACTGTTGGAATATCATAAAACGAAATTTCACCAAACTATTCACTAATTTAATTTTGTAAAAGGTTTCATAATGATTTTACGGAATAAACGGACGATAAATACCTAAATATTTAAATATAATATCAGGTCAAGAGTTATTAAACTACAGTAAATATATTTGAGGTTATAAACATATCTATGAAATATTTTTCACACAATTACAATGGAATAGTAGTGGATACTGTTGGAATATCACAAAGGAAAGATTTATCAAATTATTCACAAATTTAATTTTCTAAAAAGTGACATGACAATATTTTGGAATAAACGGATGTTGATACCTAATTATTTAAATATAATATCAGATATAGAATTATTAAACTACAATGAATGTATTTAAGGTTATAAACATATGTATAAGGCTTTATACATCCATGAAATGATTTTATATTTTACTTCTTCTTTCACACAATCAGTATTTTTTTTGTAACTCTTAATAATGAGAGATAGTTAATTATTTAAAAGAAACCATATAAAAAATACTTTAGAGGATGACGCATATGAATATTTGGCATTTAAGCCGTGTAAAGTGACATCAAAGGGGATAACACCTAAATAATATTAAAGATCGCTTAATTATACAATGATACACCGAGTTTAATCAAAATCGTTAGAGCCGTTTTTGAGAAAAATGTGTTTCACCGTTGATATAAAGTGGCGGTGCCGATAAGCCGATTTAAAAGAAAATGTCGCTGTCACATCTAAGGCATATACCTATGTTAAATACGTAATATCAGTTTCGTACGACTTTGCGTTTTTGAGCTAGACTGCTAAAATACACACACACAGACGCAGACCATTTTTGGACTAGGTTATTTCGATTCAGGGCATCTAAACGTGTATTTCCGTTGAAAACTCAGATTCGAAAATTTTCACGATCGCAATACTTATCCTTACTACATATTACATATACAGGTAAGTGGAAGTAAAAAAAACGAACCACAAAAAAAGTTCCATTGAAATTGGTGATCCCATTATCTCCCACAATTACTACTTGTAAGATATATATATATATGGTATAAAAATATAGTAGTCGTATAGTAAAAAACATCATTCATACTTCCGCTTGTAGCATATGAGCCTTTTTCATTAAAACTTTGTCGAAAATCTTGTAAGTAAAGGTAAATAAAATGGCTACCAAGGGATTGGAAAATATCAGCGTTGCAAAATGTAAAATCCTGAAACAACAATTATATATATGTATATACACATAAAAGACCAGAAACTATATTTTTAATTTAATTGATATTATTTTAAGACTTCACAACATTAATTAGTCTGATAGAGCACTCACCAAATCCAAACTTTGAAAAATCGACCATCTTCATTCTTTTCAGCGTTTTCTACACCAAAATGTGTCTCTGAAAGAGTATTTAAATAATTAACACTTGCAAATAATAATGAGGTATATGCATATTTCACAAATTATAGTAAAAAACACTTTTGGACAATAGATTTGCTTTTAAAACAATGATTTCCAATATTTGAAATCCACTGGTTAAATTTTTTTAATAAGCTTTTTAACTTTTTAACTAAACAAAATTGTGTTGTCACTGCTTTGGTTATACCTGTTTCTAAAAGTTATTGGTAGTCCGTTATTTTAGTCCGTGGTACAGATTCCTTTTTATAAAATTATTAACTTCATTAACAAGTCCATCTCATCGTAACCTACGAATATTTTATTTACAAAATTTCTCGGAATGGAGGCGTATTCAATCTGGAAGTAGGCAAACATTGTCTATTTAATTAAGTACTAAAAACTCGTAAATACACATTTTATTTCCATTTGGACCGTATGATAATTTCATTATGAAATCGAGGAAACAGGTGACCTACAAAAATATTGAGCTGTTTGGACTATATAACCTCGTTATTTTGATAATTTGGAGGTGTATGTCAAGCCAAACCGCCCTTCTCGACTTTGTGCTCAAGTTATCTTAAGATCAAAGTAGAAAGCAAATGTGCATTTACGAGTTTTCAGTACCTAATTAAATAGATAAAGTTTGCCGACGTCTAGATTGAAAACGCCCTAATTTCCAGAATTTTTGTAAATAAAATATTTGCAGGTTACACTGAGACGAAGCTATCTACGAAGTTTCAGGCGGGTGTTAATCTATATATATAAAAATGAATGTATGTCTGTCTGCCTGTTTGTCCTTTGTGCATTGCTAAACCGTTCATCCGATCGCCATGAAATTTTGGGAAGTTGTTCCAAACACTCCTGGGAAGGTTTATGGCATAGTGCTTCTGTCTTACGATAATTTTATATATTTAAAAAAAAATAAAAATGTAAATGTTTTCTGTTCAAAGCCGCAAAAAATGTGTCGCTATAAACTGTAGCGCCAAAACGGCACTACCGATTTTAACGAAACTTCGCTAAAGTCTTTCCCTTGAAACCCTTTTAATTTATGTCTATATCATACTTTCCCGAAAATAAGCTGAAAAATGTTACGACTAATTCAATATTTTATTTGACGATAACTAAAAAAGCACGGGATAGTTGACTGACAATACCCATATTTATATGAAAGATTTCTTCATCGAAATAGGACGGTTCGTTGCAGAGTTATAGAGTTTTGAACCTTTATTGCTTTCTCTTCAGAAAAGGCCATTTTCTTTTGCTTCCTCGCTACCGAAGGTAGGCAAGCATTTTTTTTTTGTTTTTTTATTGATTAATCGGAAATTTTATAATTACTACAGTAATTGAAATTATCGTTTGAAGAAGTTATATGATTCTCCTTATGTAGATCAATACTATTATACGTTCTGTATATTAATTTTTTATTTTAGTTTTATAAGTTCAACTCAGACTGTTTCTGATGATTATGAATGACGGCGTATTCAATTAGATGATTATGAATGTCCAATTTGAATCATGAGAAAAAAATCATTAGAATTAGTTTAAATTGAAGCCATTTTACAGACAAATTTTTTTCCCAACTTTTTAAAAATTACAGATGTCCTTTGCTATTAATATACTCATTAATATGTGCCTTTTATTTTCTTTCTTTTTCATTTTGCCAGGCTAAGCCACAGCAGGGCATGGCCGGGTAAAGCTAGTAATTTGATAAAAATGGGTCTGTACCACTAAATATAATATTTTATATGTGTATATAATTTTGCAAGATATAATTAAACAGATTGGAAATTTGCTTAGTATCATTGTTTGAAATTTAATTTAATATCAACATATTGACGATCAAGTCTGTGTAACATTTAGATGTTAATAGATTTTTGTAGCTTCAATTGAGGTAAACAAAAAATTATAACATATATTAAAATTATTATAATATATATTTTAAAAATAAATGTATCATTAATATGTTCAATATAAATTAATTTAATGCTTTAAATTACTTTATAATTTTTTTTTCATTTAGTTGAATAGTTTTCCAGTATGACAGTTTATGTATTGAGCTTCTTAAGGCTCATAGCGATTGAACAAACGTTATTTAGGGAACTGGATACATTTATTAGAAACATATTCAATGCGTACCCTTGATAATGCTTAGTGCAGAATTGGTACAATAATAAACAAGATCCAAATTGTCTTTATTCTTTACGAAATCTTCTGTTAATTTTCTGCCAATTCTTTTAAATGTATTAGCGTATGGGCCGTCGATTAAGCTCTTAGTCAGGCTGTTGTTCACTTCTTTCCTTCGAAGTTTATATTCACTGTCATTGGCTGAAATTGTAAAACAGATAGATCATAATTATTTTAAATATTAATTAAAACGTATAATACTAGCTAATGTACTAGTCGTTGACGGTTGTATAGTTAAAATTTAAGAATCTTTTTTTGAGATGGATTTTGTATTACGGGGGGAGAGAGGGTCAAAATATACGGATCCTTCTTTTTTTTTTACGCCAGATCCCTAGACAAATAACACAATAATTCATAATTTCGGTTCTACTCAATATTTTGAGAGGGAGTTAATCGGGGGGTGCGGTCAAATAAATACTAAATTAAACAGATAGTAATTATTTAATTTTTGCCGACGTTTCGAACCACTTTGCAGATCGTCTTCAGGGCTACAAAAGGTACAAAACATGGTGAAAATAAAATAAATGAATATAAGTATAAATATAAAATAAGAAGAAGTTGTCAGATACAGAAATAAAAAGATGATATCAGAGATGTAGTGGGTGACAATGTAGTCAAAATATCAAGTATTATATATGTAGAAGATACAAACAAATGGAAAATAAGTATGAATAAAATAAAAAATAAAGGAGAATATAGCATTTAAGTTTAAAATAAACAGATTGTGATAAAAGATAAAGAATAAGTGTATAAAAAACTAAAATAGATTACATTTGATAACTGTGGGTTAACAGATAAAGAAAATGAATTTTAACGAATAAACAGATTGAAAATTGAATAAGTATTGTTACAGTAAAGTTAAAATAAGAATAAGATAACATAATAATAACATATCAGTGGATTACAAGCTAGTGGATACATAGGTACACTTATTCCTTATCTTTTATCACAATCTGTTTACTTTTAACTTACATGCTATATTCTCCTTTATTTTATATTTTTATTCATACTTATTTTATATTTTTGTTTGTATCTTCTACATATATAATACTTGATATTTTAACTACATTGTCACCCACTATATCTCTGATATCTTTTTATTTCTGTATCTGACAACTTCTTCTTATTTTATATTTATACTTATATGCATTTATTTTATTTTCACCATGTTTTGTATCTTTTGTAGCCCTGAAGACGATCTGCAAAGTGGGTTTGATTTGTTTAATTTAGTATTTATTTGACCACACCACCAGATTAACTCCTTCCCATATTATATCAACGGTCAACCATCTCTACATCATTATTCAATATTTTGTTTCTACTTAAAACCATTTAAGTCAAACAAACCTAAATATAATTTAAAAATTGCACATGTCTACCATTAGCTATTGCTGAGTTTATCGTTGGCAAAATAACCAAAATGAAATTGGACATTGAGTCACCTACATCCTTATAAAATTAGAACTTGATCTGAATATTTTAGCAGGCGGGATGAAATTTTTGGGATTTCTTTTTCCGATTTTCGGCTAATGCGTTTGGTTAATCTAAAAATGTATACGACAGTTTTTAGGCTCAGAAAGTTGATTCGAATGACACCTTGAACGGGAAGATAGGACAACGTTGAAAAATGAGTGTGTTTTAAGCGACAACGCGTTACAGATGTTCGGGATTTCGGATTTTTCCCGTTGATTTGTGGTTATTTTTGCCATCAGTTGAATAGTACAACTTTTAAATGTGACTCGCGGTTGAGGAAGTTGGGATGGGAAAGAAAGAACTCCAAAGCAAGAACTAATGGTGATTTTATGGTGATTTTTGAATTCAGTAGATGGAAATACCTGTGAATTAATTATTTTTGAGCCCGGAACATTTTCATTGTTGCCTAGTATTATTGGTATATTAGTTATTCCAACTAAATATTTTATTTTATAATATTTAATTTGATTTATCTTTATATACAATATGAAATCTAGTTAGGAAAAACAAATATTGTGATTTAAAAAATATCTAATCTGCACCTTACGTTTACTAACAGTTACGGAATGGACTTAATCCGTAACAACTATTAATATTAACTTTTATTTAATTTAATCATTTAATCATGCATTGACCTTTCTCATGACCTTTATCAAAGCCCTAGATAGCCAGGTCAAGCTATCTCTGATAGCTTAGAAATAGTTATCTAGAATGTACCGACTGGACAGAAGACACTTATCAAGACTTAGGGAACAATATCCGTTTTCAACAAACGAGCACTTTCTCACAGACTTCATATCAATTCTAAAAGATAAGGATATCAATTCTTAATAGTTATAACTTCATTCACACGCTTCCTAGACCGTCCAGAATTGATTAATCCCCCCTGCTATTCATGAGCATATAATCCTATGATCCTCACACCAAAATCACTCGTGCAGTTGCATTCTTGAGTCAGACTCTTCACTGTAGGAGACCTGGAATGAACTGATGTAGTCAACTCATATATCCATACTATATTACTTATATTATATTTTAGATGCCATTTGTAACATTATGAATAAAAACCATTATTTATAAAGTCTCCACTGTCTTCGATTCGTTAACTTAACGATTACATGCGACCTGATTAGGATTACGCCTTCGTTTATTGGACTCTTGACAGCCGCTTAACCTTCTCATATATTAACGGTTCAACATGAGGTATATAGGAAATTTAGTGCTCTTACAAATTGACTATAATGAATTTTATCCATACATGCATATATTATGAGTTTTGAGGAGAAAATCGACGAAAACAGCTATTTCATGTGAAACAAGCAAACAGTAAACTCTAATTCCCACAGGCGAATCTACGGGAAGCAGGATGAAGGGAGGGGCTTTCGGGCTAAAGCCTCCCCGCCCCCAAACGGGAAAATATAACCATGTTTTATGAAGGGTGACCTGGGGCCCACATGTCAAAATGAAACGAAAGACTTTGAACAAACAAAAATACTATACTCCCTTTTTTCCAAATCCTAATTGAAAATCAGACAAAAACTAAATACGCAAACTTACCTACTAAAACCCATATGGACATACGCCTCACAAATTTATGGTTCTGCAAAAACGACGCACTTACAAAAACTACAATAATTTCAATCCAAAATTTTAAGAGACTAATAACAACAGTTCCCTGGCACGTAAACAACATAACTTTACATACCGACTTACAACGATCAACTATCGACCAATACTTACGGATTCTCTACTCCCGATTTTATCTTAAACTACAAAGACATCACAACGGACTAATCAACAACATGGCCACATCTGACATGCCCATCAGGAGACGACTAAAGAGGAGGTGGATGAGAGATCTCTTTTCCTAAAAAATGAAGTAGACTATGACCAGGAAGATGTACTGGCTACTAATCTTCCTCATGCCTTAAATGCCAACTTTCTTTACAATGAGATCACATCTGCTTATTGTCAATATTATGATAAGTGTGGATAAAAGTATGAAGAGAGAAAAAAAAAGTATTATTGTTGGTCTTATGTCATTTAATAGGACTTAAAGAATCAGTTAAACACCATTTCATATAAGTACTTAGATTCTTTCTTCCGATGTAATTCTCGTAATACACAGAGTGTTTTAAGGTTAAGTGGCCAAACTGAACTAATGACCACAAAACAACCCCATACCAGACTGAAACGACTTGAAACCGCCCGACGTTTTCGACTACTGCAGCACTTACTAGACAAACGCTCTAAGCTCACAATCAATTACAAACGACTCATATATATGACAATAATAAGACCTATTTGGACTTACGGAACTGAGCTGTGGGGCTCCACTAAACCATCGAATTCCTCTCTTATCCAATCCTTACAATCCAAAATCCTTCGTAAAATCCTCAACGCTCCTTACTTTGTCACAAATAAAATCATCCATAAAGACCTTAATGTTCCGATTTGGCCCAATCCAGATATCTATCCTTCCATAAAAAACTGCAGAACCATCCGAATCCTCTCTTCTCAAACCTTGCTTCCTCCTCGATCCCTGATAATCCTCCGAGGCGTCTGAAAAGAAGATGGCCTCGGGACTTTCTAATATAAAACTTTAATTTGAGTTCTACTAATGGGTAGTTTCTCTTCATGTTGTACATGTCATGTTACCAATGTCACATTTACTTATTGTATTTTCCATGTAATACAGTTGTAAATCTTAATAAAATAAAATTAAAAAAAAAATACCACAAAACAAGAAAAAACTTTCCTCTGAAGGTATGTCCACAAACGCTTTGTTAAGAAGATATTCACACCTAAATATTTTCGATGTTATCAATCATTTACGTTATATGAAAAAAATAAAGCCTATTTATTAGTTCTAAATACTTTATTAATTAAATGTAAACATTAGAATTCATATTAAATGTTGTTCAAAGTGATTTTCTTGAGCATTGAGACAGGCTCGCTATATTTCTTCAACAGCAGCAGTGGCAGAACAGCATTGGATATGTGTTATTGTTATAATACTGGTCTGAAGGTAGGTTGTCTGTCCATCCTTTTCTTGTTAAAACTCTTAGGATAGCTGTTACCAGATCCAATGGGATATAACTATCATATTTGGTTTTCCTTGAATTGAATTTGGAATTAGGAGACCTCGAAACGTGATTTTCCGTTTAAGACTAAGATTCGAAATTTATCACAACATTTTGTATTACCCATATAAATTTTATATAGTAGAAGTAAAAACTACTCAGGAATAAAAATAACAGATTCGTAATGTACTCAGTTGGTATAATTAATACAACAAAAACCTTATAAAGATGAGTTATAGACATGAAAATGATTTGACATGTAACGAGCCTATATGATAAAATTTGGTTACTTACAGCAATAAGTAAATATTCCTTTAATGAGTGGATTTACTGTCCCGTAGGTGTTAGGGTCCTTCTCAGCTGCACTTTGGTTATAAGAGATTTTCTATTAAAAGAAATTAAATTATTAATAATTATTTTTTAATTCAATTAATTTTTAATTGAAAATAAGTTGGTTGGGGTGTCAGGCGCATGTAATAAAGTAATAAATCATATTAATTTTTATTTCTGCTAAGTTTTCGGCCCACTGTTTAGGCCTTCATCAGGGCAAAGGAAAGACAAGACATATGTACAACTAAATATAATTATAATTATTTATATTTTTTCCCTCTCTATACTTTTTAAGTAGTTCTGCAATGTATGGTGTCTTATTTATATTTTAATATAAATATATAAACTAAACTTCATATTCCTTTTCTATGTTTTACAATTTATTCTATGTTTATCTCACTTCCTTTTAACATACTAAGACATCATATTTCAGCAACTATTTGGCCACATTTATTTTATGTCTAACACTTACGTTTTTATTTCTTAACATTTCATTGTGTTATTATCGTTATTTTCTTATTGTTTACTTGTTTACTAACGGCGGACTAACCTCATTTTACAAATTAAAAAGATGTATGAAAGACAGAAATTTTTAATGAATAGAATACTTTAAAACTTACAGCCTAAAGAATTAAACAAATCTTATCTGAGATTAGGGCGCGGTTTCCGCAAACCCGCAAGGCAGTAATGCTTTGCGTGCATTGCGCCTTATGTGAAAAATAAAATATCCATCACTAAAAGCATTTTTATATAACAGATAGATTTCATAAGCTCCTAACTCTTTTGCTGTTATTATTTATATAATAAGTTCCTAACTTTGATAGCGTTATTATATATTTCTTTTATTTATGTGTCATATATCCTTATCCACATTCAAAACTCTCTTATTCCAATTCCTCTTCACAATCCAATCAGACGCCGGATAATAACCTTTTTTCTCTTTACATACACCATTATTTTATTTTATTTTATGTTTATTATTTATGAATTGGAAAAATTCAGTATCACTTTTGGCATAGCCCTGTGAGGTGATCCATAAAAAATAAGAGATTGTTTGTAGTTTTTATCCTTTTTTTTCCATCTACAAGATTGTATATATTTTAAACGTATTTCATTTCTTACATTCATCAATTTATATACATATATATCTTTTCCTTTCTTAATCTCCGTGTTTTTTTATAGTTTACAATACCATTGCGTATTGTATAATATATATAAATAATTTATTTTCTTTAAATAAGTTCTTTTTTTTTTGTCACAATTATTTTCTAATAAAATTAATTTAATGCTCCTTTCTAATTGTATTTATATATTTATTTTATATCTTTTATGCTGGGATAGTGCAATATAGTGATCCCGTCGCTCATGTTATGTCATTAATATATCTTTTATATATGTATATATTTTGCATGCTTTACTGGTTGGGTTTTAAAATACGTTAATTTTTTTTATTTACGCAATTTTCATATTTTTCTTTTCTGGAAGTTTTGCTTTTTCTTTCTATACATGTAATTCTTTTTTTTTTTTTTTCATTTTGTCATTTTTTCCAATGAAATTATAAGTATATTTGAGAAGATTTTATTTTATTTTTTTGTAATTTACATATTATTATTTAAGTTGCTGTATATATTGTTTGAATCTTTATTAAGTTTTTGGCCAGATATGTATTTTATCTTTTTTAACTGTTCATTATTGTTATTCTAAGGGGACATCGTCCCAGAATAAAGTTTATTTTCTATTTCTATATTTGCCTTTCCACATATTTATTAATGTTAAGTTTATTCTACCATATTACATATTATTAGACTCTAGATATTATTAATTTTGCCATCTACTAGTTTCTCATATCTATTATTTGTCTTGTCTTAGCCCTGACGAAAGCCTGAACTTTGGGCCGAAATTTCTTCAAAAATAAAAATTAATTTAATTTATTTTTAGTTTGTTATTTGTATGATTGGACACCCCAACCAACTTCTTTTCTTCAGTATATCTACGACACTCAATTATTAATCCAGAAAACAAATTTTAACTTTTTTCCCCAACCCTTCCTCTTCTTTACGGAGTTTTTTTGTCGGGTCAGGGTAGAGGTCGTTGTTGGTTAGGACAGAATTAATCATCTCACTAAGTTTTAGACGAGAGTTATTTGATAAAAATGGGTATGTAATGCGGTTAAAAAAAAACAAAAAAAAAACATTTTCCTGATAGACTGTTTCTTTAGAACTATTGAAGGTAAATTACGCTATCGGAGCTGGTTTAAGAGAACTTTCATTAATTCAAGATGTACAACTTCTTATGTTAGTACAACTAGGTTGTGATAAAATAGGGAGTGAAAAAACACTATCTAACATTTTTCCATCTTGGTCATATAATTAAAATTATTACTAATAGTAGGCAAGAGCGAAAAATTCGCACAGCATATTGTTATCAAATGCCAAATTAATCATAATAAACAAGGGGAAAGTGTGTAAATTTTTAGTTATTCGCAAACAAATAAAGTTTAACTTGTTTGCCTGAATTTTATGGGTGATTGGACTATTTTGCCCTCCTGAAGGAGAAGGAAGTCTTCGAAATTGGTAGCTCAATCTTGAGATTTGTTGAAGAATAAACGATGATATGGCTTGCCGATCAAAAACACCATCTATAAATAATATAAACTTCTCTCTCGATCATAGAGGGCTCAAGTCGACACATAAATCCTTAGGACCACCCTTATCGTCACAGCTGAAGTCAGCGCTCCAAAACTTGTATATATATCAGCCCTTCGGAGCATATGGCACCAGTTAGCAGAGAGACACCCCACCGGTTAACAGTGACACCCTCCGGTCAGTACACATACCTAGACCAACCGACTCCGACGTGACTTATAGTAACATTATATTGTCTCTATTTAATAACCTAGTGCATTTAAGAGCGAATATATTGTAAATTGTAATCTTTCATACCAATAAAGTTTTTTTTTGGGATTAGTGACGCGAGAATATTTATTTGACGAAATGAGACATGTATTCAATGACAGTACTACAATTATTGTGAGGTTGTGTGGATGCGAACCCTATGCCTTACGTTATCTCGAAAATAGTACGTTTTTCGGCTTGAAAACGCAGGATCCGATAGTTCCAAAGGAACTGTTCGGGTCTTGCTGTACGCATCAAAATCTTTAAGATCCAATTTGTCCCGTATCGATCTACAGACCTACCACCGTTCCAGTATCGAAGCCTAGCAAATGTTCGTATCGACCCAAATCGAATTCGTATCGACCCAAACCCCAGCCTGGAGGACCAGGAGCTATGGCTTAAGACAAGGGGTCACTCACCACCCTTGAATCTCATGGTGGGGATGTTACCGTCTACATGCGGGAATCGAACCCACACTGCAGTGGTATAAATAGTAGAGTAGGATCTGCGCTTAATTATTTTAATTCATTTTTCTTGGAACGGGATTGTAACACCCCGGCCCAAATTGTTAAGTCTTAACAATTTAAAATTATTCACTACGTATATCACTGATTGTTACCTCAATGATGTAAGGGCATGACAGGATAACAGATCTCCTTCCCTTGACGTATGCAAAATATAATCCATTTCCCACTCTGTCTGAAATATCTTTTAGATAATGGTATTCATCTGCAATCATACAAACATATATCTTACTCACCAAGTAATGTTAATATATAGTTAGTTATCAAGAGAGGGATGTTTAAAAACTTATATATATACATATATTTAGAATACAATTTGAAATTAATTTATTTTAATGAATTTTATTCTTCTTCATAATAATTTTTTTAATTATTGGTAATTTATAAATTTACAAGAAAAATGAATTTTAACTGAGGAAAAAAAAGAAAGATGAACTATTAAACAAACAGAATAAAAATAAATAAATAAATAGAATTAAACTATTATCATAGGGTAGTAAACTATCTATAAATTTTATTAAAAAAAAGGTTTTATTTTATATGACTATTGTTGTTTTTGCACTGTCTCAAAATGGCTAGTAGAGACAAAAAGTTATGTAATGAAATTTCTTGTTAAAAAGAGTCTTTAATAATGAAATAATGACTGATATTGCAGCTCGAATATACAGCCCAATGTAAAGAGGCTAATATAGAATAGAATAGAATAGAAGAATCAACTTTATTCTGGGACAAAGTCCCTTAAGAATAACAATTTCGTACAAAAAAATTACCATAACATCCATAAAGAAATGCCAAAATGCATATTACAATAAAAAATAAGTAATAACAGAAGTATTTACTTAACTATATAGATATATTAAATACATAATATGAATAATAAGGTACTGGTACTGCAAAATAGTTGCTACAAACAATAAAATTTGGAATTCTAAATGAAATTTGAAATGAACGACAAATTACTTTTGTTTTCATACCATTATATTAATGAAAAAAAAAAAAGAGTGGATAAATATTTACTTTAAATGATTTACATATGTTCAAAAAATACAATAATAGTATAGTAAATATTATACAAGTCCTATATAATCTAAATCCTAAGATGTAGATTGATCGGAGAAAATGATAAATAATATACATATATATAATATACATGATAAATGGCTACCCAGCGTCTGATTGAATTATAAGGAGGAATTGGAATAAGAGGATTTTAAATATGGATAAGTTATATAATAAATAATAAGGTATATAATAGCCTTGTATCTATATTCGAGCCAATTACGACTTATGCCTCGGAGACTTGGGTCATCAATGCAAGAAACCGAAACAGACAGCAGTAGAGATGGACTTTTGGAGAAGGGAAGCAAGAAAATCCAGAAGGGGATGGATCGAAAATGAAAGAATTCTCCAAATGATGGAGGAGGAAAAAAAAGCATTATAAAAAATATTGAAAAGAAAAGGTTATGCTGGTTTGGACATGTGAAAAGAATGAAGCCTGAAAGATTGCCAAAGATGTGTATGGAGCTGAAAGTAGAAGGGAGAAGGAAAAAGGGAAGACCAAGGGTAAAATGGAAAAACGCAGTGGAAGAAAGCCTGGCAGGCATCAGAGAAGAACAAGCTTTAAATAGAGAAGAATTTAAAAATATTTAGATCAAGGACAATCACAGTAGTGGAAAAGTCTCCTTAAAAAAAATATTGTGGGATTAATAAGGTATTTTTTGTAAATAACATTAATCGTATATTAATTAAATATTTTTATAATTTATTTTATTCTATTTATTGTATATACTTTTTGATTATTATTTAGTTATTTTGTTTCTGTTTATTTTATATTTTTTATACATATTGTGTAAATGTTATCTTACCTCCCTATAACCAATGTCTATGTGACAAAGGAACCACATGTCAGGGGTCAAAAAGTTACAGAGTGGGGCAGATGATCTGAATTAGTGACATAGATTATTATTACGAAATTTTACAACTAATTATCACTTAAATAATTTTAAGTGATAATTAGGTACAAGGGACCCAATATTTTTTTTAAGATCTTCATCTCAAAAACCCTTAACGAATATGCCATGGTGGCAGTAATCGTTCACGTTTCAGCCGCGTAAGTAAGTATGGGTGTTATTAATGTAGTATATAGATAGCATTATTTTAGTTTTCCTGGATATAAAGGATGATTTAAAAAGCTTTAAATTCGCGGAATACGCACAGTTAGCGGCCATTATCCTTCTGTGCACCATAATTCTGTTTTCAATATTTATTTCTGCCCCTAGATAGGTAAAGGTATTGACGTTTTCGAAAACGTGTCCTTCCACCACAAGATTATGGGAATTTCTTGAATTTTCTGAAGTAATGCACATATAATTTGTTGTTAAATCATTTATTTCAAGACTCATAATTTTACTTTCAGCATAAATAATATTAAAAATTTCAGTAAGGGTTTGAACATTTCTGGCCACAAGAGCTATGTCATCGGTATTTGAATGCTTCAATGAAATATATTTCCTTGCGTATTTATAAGTACTTGCGTATATTTTGTACCTTATGTAACGCTAGGTTGAAGAGAGTTGTGGACAAGACAGGACAAAAGTAATTAACACAGAAATGTTCAGTAATAATCCAGATCACGGCAACCGAGATGAAATTAGTAACATTACTAAACTGTTTTTCTGTGTCTTGCGAAATTCCATCATACTTATATTTAGTAGGATATAATGTCATATATATAATAAATACGTAATTATATTATATTATGTGTTTCAAAGTATCGTGCATCCATTTAATCAACTCGAGAACTTATTCAGTTTAGAGAACCACCATTTTTTTCTTTTTTTAAGCAATATACTCTCTGACTGGTTTACTGTCCCTTGTCACTTTTTAAATTTGGAAGGAAAGTTGATAATTTATGATAAAGACCTCAAAATTTATTTATGTGGCAGTTCACAGTTAGTTTTTTAAAGATATTTTAACTTTCTCGTAATTTTTTTTATTCGAAGACATTTGTATCATATAATTTCCGTCATGGTCTAAAAATAAATATAGTATTTGGAGAAACAACTAAAAAGATAAATCACTTGTTAATTGCATTTTAAAGAAAAGTTGTAAATAAAATTTAAAAATCGGAAGGGAACAAGTTCAGACGGATATTGTAAATATCATAAATAAATTATATCAAAAATAATGACCACTTTCAATATGAGATATTAACCACATTAGTTAGATTAAAAAATCACCAAACCTCTAATATTTGGAAGAACAATAAAATAGTACGGTTGAATGAACAATCTGAAAGTGAACTGTACAAGTTATGTACTGTACAAGTTCACTTAGGAGTGAACTTGTACAGTACATAACACGTTGAAGATCATTATTTGGAATTGCCAACTCGTTGTTCGGACTTCGTGTTCAGACATGAATAATTTTAAAAAATAAACATTCAACTTTTAGATTTATGTCATTTTTTAAGGAGTTCTGTCCCACTGTGCGTCAACAAGCCTAATAAAAACAATCTATAAAAATCCTAATTATTTATCATCCTCACCATAATTATTATTATATATATATATATATATATATATATATATATATATATATATATATTATTTTGGGTAGTTGAGATACTATGCAATACTAATTTGGTTGTCTGTAAAAATTGTATATAAGAATAATATAAGAAATAATAATATATACTCACTATGTAACGACATAAAACTTAATCCTTTGTAGAAGTCGTATAAGGTTCCAATCACAGGAAATCCAAAACTGTTTGGATAACGGTACACGTCTCTAACTTGATACCATAAGAATAAACCGAAAATAAGTTGTGAGAGGATGAGAAAAATGACGATTTCCAATATCATCTTGTTGCATCTGTAAAATGAAAAAAAAAAAAAAACATATATAAAAGGTCTATTTCTGTTTCAACTCCTCTCAGTTGTATAGCTATATTGGAGGAAGTGGCTGAGCTCCAGAGTTTTTGATTGTGCAGTAAAAATGCGTAGAATATGTCATAGAATATGTATGCAACAAAAACCGTAAAATATATATATTAAAAAAAAAAAAAAATATTACAGACAAAATCCAGATATTCGCAGTAAAACAGATAAAACATTGCAATATACAAATGTTTCTGAATTAAATAAGAATTAAAACAAGAAGAATTATTATTTATTTATTACACAGCTTCTTTACAAAATAAACCTCTCTTATTGTTAGAAGTAATAAAAATTCTTGTGCACGTATCACACGACTTTCACTTACTATCTTCTTCCTCTTACATTTCATTGTGGGTATTTTTATTTGTTTTATTTTAATTAATTTAATTTTAATTTTAATTTTATTTAATTTTAATTTTAAATTTTAATGTTTATATCACTGTATTCCATAAAATTAAATATTAAATAATACCAACGGTAGCATTTATGAAAATCGCACGTGTATATGTACATAATATTGTTGGAACCCGTATTATATTAAGCTCTCGTACTCCTTTGGTTCTTCTATTACAGTTATTGTCCGCTAGGATCTCTTATATCTCCTTCAGTTAATCATCTAATTCTTTCACATTTTATATTTAACTATTTTTTGTATTAAAGGTTAATGTGAAATGATTAATAATTTCAAATAAAAAAATTAAAGGTACTTTAGATCAAGCTAATATTGAAAATTAGCTATTTAAGCCCTGTTAGAGAACATCAACGAGAATAAAACCTACACTATATTAAAAACTGCGTAATAATACACTGATATACTGAGTTTAATCAAAATCGTTAGAGCCATTTTTGAGAAAGTGGTAAAAATGTGTTAAATCTATTATATAAAGTACCACTTCCGGTTAGCCGATTTTGAGGAAAATGTTACTGTAACATCTAAGGATTATAAAAAACTCAAATACGCAATTTCATTTTCGTGCGGCTTTTCGTTTTTGAGTTAGGCTGTTCACATACATACACATACATGTGATGAAAATATTATGATTCTAACACTGGTTATTTTCCGATGATTTTCCTTTTGTTTGGTAGAGAATTCGACTCCATTTCAAAAGATTCTACATTTTACCATGGAATGTATACTTTATGAGTTAGACTCCAACAGATTTTTATTTTCTTTATAATCTTTTTCTTGAATTTCCTCGGAAAGTCATTACATGTAAAAAGATTGAAAGGACTTTAAGTAAAACATTATGAAGTTTTATAAATGATTGAAAATTAGGAATTGAAAATTTCATCAAAATCGTTAGAGTCGTTTTTGCGCTACAATCCTATAGACGGTTTTCTATAAAAAAAAAAAAAAAAATATTTTCTCTTATCAGATACATAGACAAATGGCTGAAAATCTATTTTTCGGACTTAAAGGACTCTGAAACTTAAAGATCCTCTGAAAACAGCATATCTGAAAGTAGAAGAAATGTGGTACTTAAAGTGTATAACGAAATCTTTAAACTTCTTGCTTTTCTAAAAGAAAAATGGATTATAGTTTATATAAATTTATTTATAGCTCTTGAGGTCACCTTCAGCCCGATTTTAGAGTGATAACAAAAATCTGGTGTGTCCACTCACACGACTTTCCTACCTTTTTCAGAAAAGTTTTTATATCTTTACACATATCCATCAAGAAACAAAACAAATTGAACTAGATTTATCTTCCTGAAAATTGATCAAAGAAAAGATTTGAGTACGATTTATTTGATAAACTAAAGCAATGTAAACCGGCTTTAGGTAGTTCAGTGAAAAATTTCAATACCTTCTAATATTATAATAATAAAAAGGCTTAGCGAACCCGAAGGTTCGATGCCGACACCACCAATCGCTTATTGCACACCTCCCTCCATCGTTCGCCGTCCAAACCCAGTCCCTTCAGATCGGCTTTAATGCAATCTTCCCACCTTCGCTTCGGTCTACCCCTCGGACGCTTACCATTCGGCACAGTAAATATTAATCTTTTAGGAATTCTCTCATTACTAAGCCCAACAACTTTACAAGCCCATTTGATCCGCCGCGATGAAATTATCTCAATTATATTACTCGGATACAGTTCACGCAATTCGGCGTTGTGTAACCGTCTGAACTCTCCGGTTAACTCATCCTTCTTCGGTCCGAATATTCTACGCAATACTTTATTTTCAAATACCTTAAGACGCTGCTCATCCCTTAATGTAAGCGGCCAAGTTTCGCACCCATAAATAACTGTAGGCAAGATAATTGTTTTATAGATTCTAATTTTTAAGTTTCGGAACAAGAGGCGCGAACTAAGTAGTTTTGTCACAGAAAAATAACAAGCATTTCCCGCCTTCAGTCTAATCTTAATTTCTTCTTCAATTTCGTTTTTTCTAGTTATCGTAGAACCTAGATACCTAAACTTATCTACCTGTTCAAATATATTACCATCTATATCGATATCACCAGTAGTATTGCCATTTTTGCAGCTAACCATATATTTTGTTTTATCCACGTTTATTTCGAGTCCTAGTTCTTTACCGGCTTTCATTAACGTTGTCGTATTTAGTTTTATAGTTTCAAGGTCTTCGCTTAATAGTACCAGATCATCCGCATAGCCCAGCACGGATGTTGTCCCACCCAGATCCAACCCTTTCTCGGTACGCATTACCTCCCTAATGGCATGTTCTAATGCCAAATTGAACAGGACAGGCGAAAGGGAATCCCCCTGTTTTAAACCCGACCGAACCTCAAATTTTTCTGACAGATTATTACCGATTCTAACTTTATTGAGTGTCTCCGTCAAGCACATCCTGACTAGATTTACTAATTTTTTAGGAATCCCCTGCTCGATTAGAATATTATACAGTTTCTGGCGGTCAATAGAATCGTAAGCCTTTTTAAAATCTATATACAGCTGGTGAACAATACCGTTGTACTCCAATTTTTTCTCTAATATTTGCCGTAAAGAAAATATTTGATCAATAGTCGAACGATTCCGTCTAAATCCGCATTGGTATTCTCCGATAATTTCCTCGGCGTATTCCGTGATTCGACTGGTTAAGATTAAAGTAAATATTTTATAACATACCGGAAGGAGTGAAATTCCTCGATAGTTATTACAATCCGTCCTCGGACCCTTTTTGTGAATCGGAATAAGAATAGATTCTTTCCATTCTTCAGGTAATTTCTCATTCACCCAGATCTTTTTAACCAACCGATGTATTTTAGAAACTCCAGCTTCCCCGCATGCCTTAATTAGTTCAGTAGGAATATTGTCGGTTCCCGCTGCTTTATAAGATTTTAATTTTCCGATAGCTAATTCAACTTCCTCTTTACTCGGTCCTTCTATCAACGGTTCAGCACTCTGGTACTCAGAAGGAGGACACAGATCATAATTTCCCGTATTTAAAATATTGTCAAAGTGGTCCTTAAACTTATTCAATATGTCAACCGGATCGGTCAGAATATTGTTATTATCATCCCTAATTCCAGACGTTACGGGCCCTACATATTTACGTGATCTGTTTATACCTTTGTACATGTCTCTTACGTTATTTTCGATTCTATTAGTTTCTATTTCAATTATTTTATTTTTAAGATACTCCCTTTTTTTATTTTTGAGCAATTTTGTCGTTTCATTCTTTGAGGTTCGGAAGTATTCCAGATTTTCTTCGCTAGGATTATTTAGAGCTTTTAATTTAGCGGCTTTTCGTTTTTCGCACATGTTTAAGCAATCTTCATCAAACCACGGTTTGTTATTCTTATTTTCCTTTTTTTCCTAGACACGTGTTACCGACCGCTTTAATATTATCCCTGATCTCTACCCATAACTTGTCAATATCCTCGTGGTCCTCGTCAGGAAGCTCTAAAGCTTCAAACCTATTCTTAACATCTAGCTCGAATTGGGTTCTAATTGATGGATTTTTTAATTTGTCCAAATTAAAATTCTCAAAATCGAAACGGTTTTCTTTTCTCTTTTTTATATTAAGTTTTTGTCGAAGTTTTGCGATTACTAATTCATGATCCGACCCACATTCTGCTCCGCGATAAGACCGTACATTAATTATACTGCTTTGCCAGCTATGTTGTATCAAGACATGATCGATTTGATTTCGTGTTTGCGAATCCGGTGAAGTCCAAGTATATTTATGAATATCCTTATGTTTAAACGTCGTACTTTTAATTATCAGGTTTTTCGAGATGGCAAAGTTTATCAGACGGATCCCATTATCATTACTATATTCGTGCAAACTTTCTTTACCAATCGTCGGAATATAAACTTCTTCCCTTCCTACCTTTGCGTTCGCGTCACCTATAATTATTTTCATGTAGTTTCGCGGTAGTTTATCATAAACCCATTCGAGTTTATCGTAAAATTCACTTTTGACTTCATCGTCACTGTCTTCGGTCGGACAATGTATGTTTATTAATGCGATTTTAAACCAACGTCCCTGAAATGTAGCTACCGAAATTCTATCACTAAAGAATTGTACGTCCTTCAAAGCGGATAGTAATCTACTCCTAATTAGAAACCCGGTACCCAAACAATGATTCCCGCTTCCTCCGTACCAAATAGTGTACCTTCCTTCCCTCATCGAGCCCTCTCCTGGCCAGCGAACCTCTTGCAGAGCCACGACATCCAAATTGTACCCATTCACCTCATTCGCGACCGATTTTAGCCCCCCTGCTGTGTTTAAACTCCTTACGTTCCACGTACCAATATTTAAATCCCTATATTTCAACTTGCGCCATGAATCCCCTAAAGCAGTCCCCACCCGGAGACCCGAACGGGGGACTAGTTTACTTCCGGATAATGAGCGTTTTACCTTAGGGATATCCATGACTATTTGTGGTGTTTGGTGAACTAAAGATATGTGAGTAGGGCGTTCAATCCTACGTCACACCCTCCAGCAAGTCTGGTGGGCCCCTACCTCCAGCAAGTCTGGAGGTCCCCTCCCTCCAGCAAGTCTGGAGGGCCCCTCTCATTGTTGGTCAGCGAGTCCATCGGACTTAGCCGGGAGGAACTTCCAAGGAATTTCCACCGACCATCCCCACATCCGCCACCCGTGGGACGCTCCCCATACGCGGTAATGAGCCCGCGCGAGGACCTTCTAATATTATTGATCAAATACTTTTTGTCAAACAATAATTTCTGTTAAAAGTAGAGGTAATAGTGAAGCTTTTTTGATATTTCTTGACACCAGAATATGTACCAGTAATCCTACATTGGAAATTGAATAGCTGTAACTTGTTTAATAGTTGTCCGATATGAACGATTTTTGAAACGTACACATATATTAAAACATGTGAAGGTGATAGGATACGCTGTATCATCGCTAATACTGGTTCGATTCCTTGGAGTTTTCCATGTAAAAAAATCGAAAAGACCATTATTGGAACATTATATCAAAGTTTCATCAAAATGGTTAGAGCCGTTTTCGCGCAACAGTCTATAGAAGAACATGCTTTTAATTTATTGCGCAGCAGCTATTGCGCATGGAGCACCCAATTTCTCTCAAAGGCATCAGTAGTCAAAACCTTACAAAATAGAAAAAGAAGCAACAAAATCGGTTCAGTAGTTCCCGAGAAAATCTTGGCACAGACAGACCAATGGCTAAAAATGAGTTTTTTGGACCCAAGGAGCTCTGAAAAGTACAGATTATATATTAAAACATGTGAAGAAAATAGAATACGCTGTATTATCGCTAATACTGGTTCGATTCCGATAATTTTTTTTTTTGTTTTGGTAATTTAATTACCTTCCAAAAGTTTTCTTATAAATTTTACCATATAATATATATTTGGTGAGTTAGGCCCAAAAACATTTTTCTTTTCTTTATAACATTTTTTCCTGAATTTAATCAAGTGTGTACAGTGTAAAAAAATCGAAAAGACAATTATTGGAACATTATATCAAAGTTTCATCAAAATAGTTAGAGCCGTTTTCGCGCAACAGTCTATAGAAGAACATGCTTTTAATTTATTGCGCAGCAGCTATTGCGCACGGAACACCCAATTTCTGTCAAAGGCATCAGTAGTCAAAACTCTACAAAATAAAAAAAGAAACAACAAAATCGGTTCAGTAGTTCCCGAGAAAATCTTGGCACAGACAGACCAATGGCTAAAAATGAGTTTTTTGGACTGAGAGAGCTCTGAAACGTATAGATCCGTGGAAAAAAACACATATCGGAAATTTGACTCGAATACTTTCCTTACCTAGTCTAGTATAGGTAACAAAGTAAAAACATTACGCAATCGGACACACTGCGCATCGTTGTTAAGTTTGAACCTTCACCAATGTGTGTTGAATAGAGTTTCTAGATAAAGTTATATTGTATACACTAAGAAACGTGATTAGATGACATCGCTTATACGTCGAATACACCAGAGAGAAGAATAGCTAATTTGATAGTTCTCGCTGGGATATAATAAGAACTATAAATAGGATTATATATAGTTACTGAATAATATCGAAAGTTACTATTAATCGATAGTTACCTGAAGATGGTTACTGAGAGTGCTGCTGGTAGGTACTGATAAGCCGTTCTGAAAGGAGTCACTCATGACTCTATAAGATTTTCTCTCTTAATATGGTGATTTAATCCAATGATAATCACAGCAAAGACGCAATAATTTTTACATAAATTTTAAGGAAATCTCTAGTCACCGAATTACACATTCATGCCTACTGTAACAATGACCTCTTATACGGGATGACTATTATCATGATTTTTTTTTTTATTGAAAAATATTACACTCTGTCTCAAGGAGAATTATAAGTGTTCTGAGATCACATTCACACTCAATGTACAATAAATAAAATAAAGTATATAGAAAAATAATATATATACTATAAATAAGAATAAAATAACCTAAAAATAAAGAAATAAAAAGAACACATACATACCTATGTACAATATTTACAATCTGGCGAGAGAACTCCAAACCAGACTTGTCCCTCCAACTGTGGTGGGTAAATCATGACTCCAGGAGAGCACTTCTCTCTCAACCGCGTCACTGGGGCTAAACCTAGTGGAGAATGAGCAAGAGTGCTTAACCCCATCATGTCGTGAGTGGAGAATCTGGCCATTGCCAGAACTCCAATATTAACAAACTATAAAAGGTCGCTGGACCACTGCTGTTTTAACCTTCTTGGAGGATTATAGGGATGGGTGGTAGGGAAATTAAAATCTACTTTTCTATTTTTGAAAATTTACAACTTTAAAAAAAATTTATGTACTGAATAGTATAACATTCTGTCAGTGGACAATGGTTATAGTCAGGTCTATAACTATAACAATGTCTATAACATGACTACATTCACACACTATATATATATATATATATATATATATATATATATATATATATATATATATATATATATATATATATATATATATATATTAGGAGGTCGGAATGTAATGTCGTTTTCTTATATTAAATTCAAACACATAAATTTCACATAAAAAAAAAATAAAAAAAGCCGCGAATTTTCCCTTACTCGTCTTTCTGTGCGCCGTGAGCTGGTAAGGCTTGTGTTTCTGTATCAGTTTATTCCTACTGACTACTAACTAGCAGGTGGAATACATGATGCAGGAAAATTTGGTCCCATACTAGTACACGGGTCATTTTAAAAAGGAAGTGATAATTGAAACGCTGCAAATTATTACACAATGATTTATTTATTATTTTCCAACAATTATACTTCTAAAGTAACATTATCTTTCTAGTGACAAATTAAAAGAAATAAAAAGTTAATTACAATTATTTGCTTAAACATTTTTTTCATCATTAGTAATTTGCTATAAAAAAAAAAAAAAAGCATTACTTCAGTAACACATTCAAAAATCAAAATCCAAAACAAAGGATTTGCAGTAGAACATAAAAAACATCTAGAAACCATATCTTTGCTCCTAATTGTCCAATTTTAACTATTTATTATTTTTTTAAAGGAAATTTCGTAAAATTAAACTATCGACAACAGGTGTATTGTATACTCTCGTATCTTTTTTCCAGCTTCTTTCCGTTGAAGTATGTTATAATAGATAAATTTAAAGGGCACCAAGAAGAAGACGTTAGTCAAGTTTCATTAGTTACGGAATGGACTTAATCCATAACAAATAATAATAATAATAATATTAATTTAACTTTTATTTTGTTAAATATCCTAATTAGTGAATCATGTCTTATCTTTTAGTTTCTCACATAAAAGAACAAAGCCCTAGATAGCCAGGTCAAGCTATCTCTGATAGCTTAGAAATAGTTATCTAGAATGTACTGACGGGACAGAAGACCCATTATCAAGAGGAAAAAATAACCGATTTCAGCAAAAGGGCACTTTCCCACAGACATCTTAAGAATATTAACTATTGATAACTTCCTTTGCCGTCCTCTTCCGACTTCTCCCACTCTTCCCTTCATCCCCTCGCTATTCTTGGGTACATAAATCCCATGCTCCTACAACAACAAATTACTCACGTAGTTACATTCTTGAAGTCACACTCTTCACTGTAGGAGAGCTGGAGTGAACTCATGTAGTCAACCCATTATATACTTAAGAGAAATATCTAAGCACCCCCAGAGACTATCTCAATTTATTTAGGTTATTTTAGTTTCTCATATATATGTACAATTTTCATCAATATAGCGATAACAATATGAAGGATCAATGTGGATGAAGGAGGATCATCCTCAGGTGACCTCTGATTATAAATTCAAATTAAAAAAAAATCGGTCCAGTAATTTTAGAGAAAATGGACGGCGGACGTACAAAAAATATTTTATTCATTTTTCAAATTCTACGTATCCTGAAACGTAAAACCTCAAATTTTGAGAGTTGGTTAAGGTTTTGAATTTTTTTTCCGATTACAATGTTTCATTATTGAAAATAATAAACCAAAAATTATTTAATTTAAGTAATTAACAATTGCTTCCCGAAATATTAGACATAATTTTCTTGAAATAAAAATAGAGTTTGCTAGTTGTTAAAACCATTTAAAGAGGATTTTGAGTAGCTAAACTCAGCCAAGTTGTAGGGGGGAGATTGGTAAGAGTGGGGGGATCACCTCCTACAGAAATGAGCCTCCCCCCTAAGAAAATACCTCATACCTTAAATAGCACAGGTAGGTACAGTAATATGTGAGAAACTAAACGGCTGCTAAAGCACATGGAATTGAAGTCAAATCATAAATTTCAATTGAATGTCTAGTTATGTAATCATGAATGCAAATATAATCATGGCTCCGATGGAAAATAAAAACCAGTGCTACTCGAACATTTTTTATTGAGATATATTACAATCTGTTACAACTATGGACAATAGTAATAGTTATAAAAGAGTAGCTAATTCACACTATGTACAATAAATAAACAGCAAAATGTATATTAACTAAAAGAAACTAAACTAATCATAATATAAATAGGCAAACACAAAACGGTTCAGCCTCTTTTACTCCTCTATTATTCAACCGATTTTTTTCCTTCTTTTTTTGTTTAATAGATATAGACGAGCTTTAGTGTTATCAATAAATAAAAATATGAAATAGTTTGTAAATAAAAATATAAATGGTAGTTTGTTCAAAACGGCTAATCTCTGAAAGTTCTTCACCGATTTCTTTTAAATTTAGACACAACGTCGCAATAATATTTAGAAATCTTTTGTATGCGTTTTAGTATGATCAGGCCTTTTCTTTCGAAATGGCTGCCGAAAAAATGATTCGCATTAGACTGTAGCGCCAATACGGCTTCGACGATTTCAATGAAACTTGGCTAAAGTATTCCTCTTAAAACATTTATAATTTATGTATATAAAATACTTTCCCGAAAACAAGCTTCATAATTTTTTATGATGAATTAAGTATTTTATGTAAGTCAAAAAGTACACATTTTTTTATTGATAATACCAATATTTATTTGAAAGCTTTCTGAATTCCCTACAAAATAATAAAAATCATCGAAATCAAACTATTTGTTGCAGAGATATATCATTCTAAACATTTAGTATGCTTTATTTTGCAAAGTCGATTTCCATTATTTTTTTTTTTTGATAAATCGAAAATTTTACATTTAATAAAGTAATCTGGACTATTATTTGAAGATATGATACCATTGAATGTTATTGGAATGTTCTTAGTAAATTGTGCTCATTCTTAACTTGAATACTGCACAAGCATTAATTAATGAAACACGAATGAGAGAGAAGTACTAACGTGGGCTATTTTAAAGTAAAGAATTTTAATTCCAGGAATCAATTCAATATTTTCTGACTCAATACTTTCATTCGACTTTCAAAGAGCAACGTTCTTATTAATAGCTGTATTTACTATGACCATAATCAAATCGCAGGGTAAAAGTTTTGGAAAAATGTGTGTATTATTGCGACATCCAGTAATTACGCGTGAACAATTACATGTGGCAGCAATTAAAGCACGTTCAATTAAAATATTGAAATTCATATTTTCAATGGCAATGGACAAGGGTGTGAACTAAATAATAAAAGAATATTAAAAAAGAACACATCGTTTACAGAGAAGTTCTGAATAAAAATGGATTTAAAGTGAATTGAAATTGCTAATTTAAATTTATTTTTTACTTGCTTAATCATAACATTAATTTATTGTGATAACAACGCACATAAATTAAATATTTTTGAATGAGTCTATTTTGTATTACTTATAAATAATTTTAAGTAGTTCAAGCTCGGTTTTTAATTTAAATTGAAATTTTGTTTATATTAATAAATGAGGATTTTTGAATCTTGGTTTACTCTTTATTTATTTTTTATTTAATTATATGTTTTCCTCAAATTTGTAATGACTATGGTCGAATTTCGACCAATGGACGAACATTAGTCTTCTTAAATACATACATGCTTTTATACAATAATTATCGGTGTGGACTCCAGTACCTCTCATTCTCAAACACCTGATAAGGATTGTGTGTAAAAAATTCTTCAGTTGTCTCTTGTGTACCTGGTTCTTCAATGTTCTTTTGTGGTGATGTACCGGGCTGGATTTGACGATCTTCGGAGGTAACAGGTACCATTGGAGGCCTTTTGTTTGACAGAAGAAGATCGAGGTGTCGAGCGTACAGTGATGGACATTTTTATATTAAAAAATATAAATACAAATACCATTTATATTTATAGTAGTAATGAATATAAATATGAATATAATAAGAAATATGAATACAGAAAATACGTATTCACGGCAGTATTCACATTAACTAAAATGAATACGCTTAAATTTGAAATAGTAATAGAAATAGAAAATAACTTTATTCTGGGGCAAAGTCCCTTTAGAATAACAAAATAGAACATAATTAAAATACTACTTCTGGCCAAAATAAAACAATAATAAAAAAAGAGAAATTATATACAAAAAAACAAGCTATATACAAAAAAAAAAATAAAAAAATCTATATACAAAAACTTAAAACTATGATACAACACTTAAGACTATGTACAGTAAGAAAAATTATAATAATACTCTTTTAAAATGAGGTGGGTTTCTGCTAACAAAGAAAAGACAAAGCTGACAATATAAAATATCAGTGTCTTTAAATAATGATTAATATGTAGACTCATCATTGTCAAATGCTAGAGGTACAGATTTAATTATATACCAATAAAAAATAATAATAAAAATAAAAAAAGCAAACAATAGATGCGGTCAGTGGCATTAAGAGCCGGAAAATATTGTAACATCCCTAGTGAAGTTCACAATATAGAATAGCACTATCGTTTGATGATGACTAGAAATGTATAATATCGAAAGTTTAGCAAGTATCTGACTGTTTTTGGGATAGGAATTAAAATAGGAGGGATTTGAATGTGGACATGGAGGGGGAATGCCGAATTTTGATAGGTAGAGAATTCCAGAAATTGACAGCGCGAGCTATAAAGGAATTCTGAAATGAGGCAGATCTGTTCGAAGGGATGTCAGAAGGTCGATTTCTTGTTGAAAGGGAATGGACTGAGGACTTGAATTGGAGAAGGTTGTAGGCGTAAGAAGGACGATGGTTGTTGATGATTTGATAGAGGAACGTTCCAAGGAAATATTGTCTTCTACAGGAGGGTAAGAGCCACCTAAACTCAGTGTAGTGGTGAGAGACATGGGAGTACCTCGGGAATCTTTTCAGTCTATCACGGAGCTCCACCGAGAGGCCATCATACACCACACAGCTGTAGTCAAAGTGGGGGAAGATGAGAGAGGAAATTAGGAGTCTACGGGTATGTTGAGGTAGGAGATGGTGGAAGCGATCAAATAGTTTAAGGGTAGAAATTGTCCTACGGGAAATATGGTAGTTCCAGGAGAGGGTTTGATCTATGAATAATCCTAAATTTTTAACAGAGGAGTAGAAGGAAATTGGCTGATCATTAAGGTGTAATATGGAATTAAGGTATAAAATTACAGAAGTGAATGGACATATTTTCACACAAACTAATTAATGAATAAATACTCTTATTTATATAAAAAATTATTTATTTAAAAAAATATTTACTATATATACCTATATTCTATTTTTATATACATTATTATGTTCTTCGGGCATCGCCTCCCTCCCTCCCCCCAATAAAAATTCTGAGCAGGTGAGAATATTGAAATTTCTTAAAGAGTTGATTAAGTTCTGTCGTTTAATTTTGACGTGTGGACCCCAGGGCATCCTTCTGTCGAATATTAGTCCAAGGTAACGTACTGCGTTTGTCTGAGGAATTTAGTTCCCTCCTATATAAACTGGTGGGCACGTTTCTCATCGAAGTGTATGTTATATAACTTGTCATGATATAATCTTATTTTCTAAAGTGAGTACCACTTATGTAAAGTCAATAAATTATTTTATAAATTTATTGAGGCTGGTCTGGGAATATGGTGTTTTGTTAAAATTGTTGTATCATCAGCGTAGGTTGCGGTCAATGTTTCGGAGTTGATAGGTATGTCGTGCGCAAATATAATGTAGAGTAAATGAGCCAGTATTGATCCTTGAGGTACTCCTGGCAACACTGGTCGAATTGAGGAAATTTCTAGGCCTTGTCGGGCAGAGAAAAATCTTTCGAAAAGGAAAGATCGGAGAATGAGGTGGTAGTGTTTTGAGTTTAAAGAGAAGTCCCTGGGGCCAAAATTTATCGAATGCTTCGACAAAAAAAAAAAAAAAATAAATAAATTACAAAGTTAGTTATTCTGCATTCAACCTATATGATCACTAGTTACGTTTTCAATTATCACTCAGATTATTTATGTGTTTTTTTGTTTATGAACATCTAAGTTAATGTTACAAACACCTTTCTCATCATAATATCCAACTTTATTTTCAGATTTTTGTTCTGCTAGATTCTCAATCGGTTACACTATGTATTTGTACAAGTCCAAACAACTACTGTAAGATGAAAATAGAACACTCTATTGGGATCATTCTATAGTTACAGATTACACGGCTAGTAAACCGGACATTGTGTTATAAATAATATAAAATAGATCATAACATATAACATTCTTGATTTATAGTAAAAGGAAGAAGCCAGGATCTGCTTAAGGTATGATAATGAAATATACATAATTGTTAATAATAAATTATTTTGTATTTTATAAAAAAAAAATTGTGCTTTATGAAATTATATTCATTTTTCATTATTTACAATTAAAATATATCATGCCCTTCTTTCAACGTGTAACTTAGGGTGATTAGCTATTTCCGTTAAAAGACTGCTTCTATATTTCAAACTTTCAAAACGGAAATCTTTGTCAACTGGTCTAAGCTTTACTGTTCTTAATATTTTTGACAACGTGATTTTTATCAAAGTTGTTGCAAAATACATACCTGAAAAATAAACGAGTTTCAATTAGGTTTTAATAGCTAAAGTAAAAATTGTATTTATATAGAACTCTAACAAACCTGTATATCATTAAACATTTACTCAAACCTATAAAACATTATAAGAAACATTTCATTCACAAATAATACTGCTTTCTAAAGGCATGAACCTCCAGGCATCTTCAGACTCCTTTCGGGCTGATTTTTTTTCGAAATATATCATAACTTCAATACGACTTTAGCTATCTACAAGAAATTTATCAGGAATTCAGGTATAAACTATAAAAAATGACATCAACAAGATCTTCGTAAAAAAACTACAAATGGAGATAAAAAATAAAAACCTATAAGAAGTTTATGTTTATTTATTCTTTATGTAGGTATTAAATCAAAGAACCATTCGTACTGTTTGAATAGCAACAATTCAGCTTTCCAGCGGATATAATAACATCGAATTCGGCGAACATCCTCAAGAGTTATGAATGATCGGAAGGGTGTTCCACCCTGTTGTGTTCCACCAACCCAATGGCCCCACACATCATTGGTCAATCAATAATTGAGCCTTGGATAGAACCTTTTGCCCTCTCTATTCATCAGACCTAGCTCTGACTGACTACCACTTATTCCGGTCTCTGCAGAACTCCACGAATGGAAAGAGTTTGCTATGACACTATATGTATCACACCCAAGCGTAGAAAACCATTTGAAAAAGCTCGGTTATGTTTCCAGGCTTAATTTTTGGGTTCCTCACTCACTAACCGAAGTCAAGAACTGGCAACTCGGAAGGGTAATTGTGTTTCACCAACACAACGTTCCACACCTCATTGGTCACTTGCAATAAATTATTGAGCATTTTATGGGACCTTTTGCCCCTCCCTTTCTATTCACTAGTTTTAGCTCCGAGTGACTACCACTTATTTCGGTCTCTGCAGAACTCCACGATTGGAAAGAAATTCCAAAATTAAGAGGATATCAAAAACAACTTGCATCAGTTTTTTATCAATATGCTCCAGACATTATATGAACATGGCTTTATGCAGTTAGAGAAAAGAAGTGAAAAAGTCATATTAAATAACGGTCTATATACTGTAGATTAAAATTAATTTTATGTCTATAGTAGATTGAGTTTTATTTCACCCTGAAAAATCGAAAGGACTTATTTGTCAACTAAATAAATGTTGAGGGCTTTCATGCCTACGAAATATATACAAACTATATAATTTATTTGTATATTATATTTTTGTTATAAATATAGTTAAATTAGCCGAATCAAAAGCAATGAAAAGATAGTAAGCCCTTAAGTTGAATGCTACAGATACTACGAGTGAAAAATACGCCTTCGATTCCGTGAGCTTTAAAAGTCGCTTAACCTTCTCACATATTAACGGATAAACATAAAGTATATAGGAAATTTAATGGTCTTAAAAATTGAATAGAATGGATTTTATCCATACATACATATATTATGAGTTTTGGAGAGAAAACCGGCGAAAACCGCTAGTTCATGTGAAATAAGCGAATAGTAAACTTACTGTAACTCCCGCAGGCGGATCTACGGGGAGAGGGAAGATGGAAAGGGGGCTTTCGGGCTGAAGCCTCCCCCCCAAAAAATATTAAATCCTTCCAGTTTTTTAATAATAATTTCCAGATATTCTATGAACATGACATTATGCAGTTGAAGGAAACATGGGAAAAAGTCATATTATATAATGGTCAATATATTGTAGATTAAAATAAATTTTATGCCTATAGTAAATTGAGTTTTATTTCACCCTGAAAAACCGAAAGAAATTATTTGCTAACCCAATATGTCTCCCTTAAAAAGTTTGATGGCGCAGCTTGTGCCACAAAACCCCTTTTTGGGCACCCCTTCACTTTATATATATATATATATATATATAAATATTATTTACTTATCATATATTTATTAACATATTTACCTGGGCAGCTCCTGACACCTACTCCAAATGGTGTAAAAGTGTACTTCATTAAATCGCTTTCTTCAAGAAAGCGATCTGGTTCAAAAACGTTTGGATTCTGCCAGTATTTTGAGTCCATTGTAATAGAATTGAAGAGGTACACTACAATGGATCCCTTTGGTATTATCGTGCCATCTGAAAATAAAAGTATTGTTATTATAATCCCTTTTTTTAATTTATATTTTTAAAATATAATACATGAGATATTAAGCTGAATATTTAAACAATTACATTCTATCCTCTTTTCAAATTACAGTTGCAAGACTGAAAGGCTTATAATTGTATTAACTGCTAGAAGCTGTATAATATTCTAATCTGAGATCTTAAAAAAATGAGTATATCCAGTTAAGATGTGCTTGACCGAAACACTCAATAAAGTTAGAATAGGTTATTATTTATCCGACAAAATTGAGATTCGTTCTGGCTTAAAACAAGGTGATTCTCTTTCACCTGTCCTATTTAATTTGGCATTAGAACATGCCGTTAGAGAAGTGCCAAAAAAGGTTTGAACGTGGGTGGAACGATATCTTGCTTGTGTATGCTGATGATTTGATAGTGTTAATAGAAGACATTGAAACAATAAAACTAAATACAACAATGTTGATGGAAGCTGGTGAAGAACTAGGGCTCGAGATAAATGAGGATAAGACAGAATATATAGTTAGCTGCAAAAGCAGCGACAATTCGATGATATCGATATAGAAGGGAGTGTATTTGAACAAGTACAGAAAAAAGGAAATTGAAGAGAATTTTAAGGTTAGGTTGAAGGCGGGAAATGCTTGTTATTTTTCTTTGACAAAAACTATTTCGTTCTCGCCTCCTGTCCCGAAACCTAAAAAATAGAATTTACAAAATTATTATCCTTCCTACGGTTCTTCATGGATAAGAAACATGGCCGCTTAAATTAAGGGATGAGCAACGTCTGAAGATTTTTTAACATAAAGTATTGCGTAGAATATTCGGACCGAAAAAGGACGAGTCGACCGGAGAATTTAGGCAGCTAAACAACGCTGAATTGCGTGAATTGTATCCGGTTAATATAGTTGAGATGATTAATGGGCATGTGAACTCGCTGGGCTTAGTAACGAAAGAATTCCTAAATAGTTAATATGCGCTGAACCGACTGGCAAGCGTCCGTGGGGTCGACCAAAGTCAAGGTGGAAGATTGCGTTAAGGCAGGCTTAGACGGAGCCCGATTGGTGGTATCGGCATCGAACCTTCGGGTTCGCTTGGCCTTATTATTGTTTTGTAAGACTACCTAAACATGTTCTGTCAACTTTAAAAAAATAGCTAATCTAAAGAAAAATATTATAACAACAAAATAAATGACGTTTTAATTTAAATACTAGTATATAAAATTATATATATATAGTGTATAAAATTAATTTCAATTATAAATTATAATTATAGTATTTATGTTGTGGCTGTCTAATAGTTCATCTGCCTGCCCGCCACACCTATTACTCGTTTCCTCATTGATTTTCCCCTACTTTGACTATGGCTGTGTGGTATACGGTGGCCTCTCGTTGGAGCTTGAGGACAGACTGAAGAGAATCATGAACTGTTTTTTAAGATTCGTCTTCGGCACTTCGAGATGGTCTCATGTGTCCCACCTATATGCCGAGTCAAAGTGGCTCTTCCCATCTTCCCGCCGCCTATACTTCCTTGGAAATTTCTTATACCAAACGATCAACTCCCAGCACCCTTCCTATATCTGTTGTCTCCTCCAGCCTAAACCCTTAGTCCACTCAATAAAAACGAGATCCCGTGTTTCTGACCTCTATATTCCATTCCACAGGACAAAAACCTATGAACATTCCTTCTTAGCCCGTTCCGTCTCCTACTGGAATTCTTTGCCACATAACATCCGTCATGCCTCTTCCCTGTCAACATTCAAATACCTCCTTTTCCAATATCTCCTTACATCCCAAACAGAAGATTTACCACCATAAATTTCATTTTATGAACTGAATTTGCGTGAAGTAAATGGTGGTGCCTACTGTTTAAGTTTTAACATAAAACAGCAATGATCTTTGTCACTTAGTTTGACTATTATTTTTACTATTTATTTATTTTTCTCTTCTCCTCAGGTTGTGCTTTTTTTCGGATATATATGTTTATATTTTATATCTTTGTCTTTATGTGTGCCAATATGAGAATGTACGTATAAATAGTTCCTTTTATTTATTTATTTTTTTTTTCCATTACACCACAAGTATCGTAAGATTTTATTTTATCTTAGTGTCTTCATATTATTATATAAACCACTGTAGATATTATTACATTTTGTATTAAGTTAATTTTCTATTAGATAGCCTATTGTTTATAAATTGTGTAGTTATGTATATATATATATGTAATTCTCTTCTTTTTTTTTCATCACAATTAAGTAATTTTGAGAAGATTTTATGTTCATTTGTATATATATTTTATTTTTTATTTTTTACTGATTACATACTTTTTAAATAATGTATATAATATTAAAAAAATTTTAAGTTAGTTTTTGGCCAGATTTGTACTTTACTTTGTATTAACTCATCATTGTTATTCTAAAGGGACTTAGTCCCAGAATAAAGTTTAATTTTCTATTCTATTCTATTCTATTCTACTAAGGCCGGTCTATTAGTACACCTGCCCGCTACGTGGTAGCGCCATATGTACACACTAATTCATTATATCCAAAACATTTATTTTTATTTCTTATTATTTTGATGTAAAAAAAACTGAAGATCTATCTCATAAATATTTATAAAAATTGTGAATACATTTTACTAATAAATTTAAGTAGTAATAAAGTATGCTTTAAGATCAAAGCTTTTAAATTACAGCAACTGTAACGATTCTTGTAAGCCGATTCATTAATGCCGGAATGATTACCGCAGTCCTCAAAATGTTAGTTCAGATATTGGACTTGCATCCTTAGGGATATAGCAATAATTCATACATTATAGTGGATTGGAGGTTGACTGTAGTGAATAATTTAAAAGAAGTTTGGTGAGGATATTTAGTAAAAAAAAGTTATATTCATTTTTACCGACTTTTTGGCCTAAAGTTCAGGCTTTCTTCAAGGCTGGTCTAACGAAATGGTCTTAACGGATATCCATGGCCTTAGTGATGTCTATGTTCTTATGGAAATCTTTCGTTAGAAACAGCCTAAACGTTGGGTCGAACGTCGGTTTTTTTTTTTTTTATTGAGTATTATAACAATCTGTCAGTTCGACATTGGTTATAGTGAGGTAGGATGACATTCACACCATATGTACAAAAAAATAAAATAAATAGAACAAAATAATAATCAAAAGTATATACAATAGACAATAAAATAAAATAACCTAAAAAATAAGAAAATTAAAACTAAGGAAAAAAAAAAAAATAACATGCATACCTATATACAATCAGGCGAGGGAACTCCAGGAGAACCCTGCGCTACTCTTCCAACCGCGTCACTGGTACTAAAGCCAGCGGAGATTGGTCGAGAGCACTTTAGCCACATACACACATGTCTTGAGTGAAGAATCTGGCCATTGCCAGAACTCCAATTTATATAATTTACAAAAGGTCGCGAGGCCACTGCCGTTTCAACCTTCTTGGAGGATTATAGGGATGGGAGATGCTTGATAGGGATTGTGCAAGAGGATTTGGGTGGTAAGTAAGGTTCTGGTGAAATTTAGAGAACTTTTCTGGGATAAGGTCTAGGACAAATGGGATGTTAAGGTCATGATGTAGGGTTTTGTTGGATACATAGAAAGGAGCATCGACTATTGTTCGAAGGACTTTAGACTGGAAGGATTGGATGCGCTTGATGTTAGAAAATTTTGCTGATCCCCACAGTTCTAGTCCGTAAGTCCAAATAGGTTTCAGTATTGTCTTGTAGATCAGTAGCTTGTTTTCAATGGAAAGTTTAGATTTTCTGCTTAGTAGTCGGTATAGTTGGCCGTATCGTCGGTTGAGTTCTTGTCTTTTGAGTCTAGTATGCGGGTTCCAAGTTAGTCTTCGGTCTAAATGAAAGCCAAGATACCGGATTGTGTCTGAATAAGGAAGCTGGATGGAATTAAAGAGTACTGGTGGACAGGAATTGCGTCGGAGTGTAAAAGTAATGTGTTGGCATTTAGATTCATTAACTTTAATGCGCCAGTTATTACACCAGTGCTCAATCAAGGTGAGATGACTTTGGAGATTTAAGGATGCTATTTCGGGATCAGAGTTGGATGATAAGATTGCGGTGTCGTCAGCGAATGTTGCAAGAAAAGTATCGGGATGAACAGGGATGTCAGCAGTAAAGAGGATGTAAAGCACGGGACCCAAGACGCTGCCTTGGGGAACACCGGCTTTAACGGAGTAGATATTGGAAAATTCTGTTCCACAGCGAACTCGAAAGGAGCGGTCAGAGAGGTAGGATCGGAGGACTAGGTACAAGGACTGAGGTAAATGTATTTTAAGCTTGGAGAGCAGTCCGGAGTACCATACCCGGTCAAATGCCTGTGCAATGTCCAGAAAGGCTCCCGAACAGTATTCCTTGTTTTCTAGGGCTGAGGAAATATGATCAACGACTCGGAGTCCTTGTTGAACAGTAGAATGTTGAGAGCGAAAACCAAACTGATGGGAAGGGATATTTTGGGATTCTATAATGGGTAGGATTCGTTTCAAAAGGATCTTTTCAAAAATTTTTGAAAGGATTGGGAGTAGGCTGATTGGTCTATAGGATGTTGAGCTATTGAGAGGTTTTCCTGGTTTTGGGAAAAGGATAATAGTGGAGTGTTTCCATAACAGAGGGAAGTGGGTGGTGCGTAGGATACAATTGTAGATATATGTAAGGAATATGACTGCTTTGGATGGAAGTTGTCGAAGGATTTGAGGTGTAAGGAGATCATGTCCAGGAGCTTTACGGAGGATTAGTTTTTTTAATTGAAATTTTACTTCGGAAGGATGAATAGCTTTTGGGGGCAAGGAAAGTGGGATTGGTGATGTAAGGAGTTCTTCTACTGTTACGGTGTGGGCAGGATGGGATTCCGGATGTGAAATAAATGTATTGGATAGGTGAATGGCGAACTCCTCAGCTTTATCTTCGTCAGATGCTGCCCAGGAGCCATCACCTCGTCGGAGAGGATGGGAAATGCGGTGAGGATTTAGGATTTTTGTTGTGGTTTTCCAAAGGGAATTGTCGCGAGAAGAGAGGGAGGATAGGTAGGAGTTGAAGGATTGTGATCTGAAGGTGGCTAATTCCAGTTTCAATTGTTTGCAGTAGTAATTATAGGAGCAGCGGTCGGTAGGATGTCGGGATCGTTGCCATAATAATCTGGCACGGCGTTTGGTGCGGATTAGGTTAAGGAGGTGTTGGGGTAGAATGGTCTTTAAAGGAATTCTGGAGGAGTCTTTTGGAAAGGAGGCAGTCCAGGCGGCTTGTTGGATTGTGGTAGTAAAGGAATTTACGGCACTATCAAGGTCATCGGGAGTTTTGAGGGATATGTTGAGATCAATATTATCGGAGATTATTTGGCGGAAAAGGTCCCAGTTTACTGGGCCCCTAATGAATGACGGTGGAGAAGGTTTGGGAACAGGTTCAAGTGAAACATTAAGGATTAGAGGACTATGGTCAGAGGAAAGTTCATTTAGACGTGTAATGGAACAATTGAGGGGACTTAAGCCGCTGTGGATAAAGAAATCTAGAAGATCAGGATTACGGTTGGGATCTGTGGGCCAGTAGGTAGGAGAGTTGGGGGAAAGGAGGTGAAAACGTTGGGAATTGAGTGCAGACAGCAGGGTTCGGCCACGAGAATTCGTGGTTCTGGAACCCCATTGTTGGTGCTTGGCATTTAGGTCTGCACCCAAGATGAAGTGATGTCCTAAGGAGTCGAGGAGAGAACTGAATTGGGCATTGGATATGGATCGGTTAGGAGGGCAATACGCTGATGCAAGAGTGACCGGAAAGGAGAAGGTTTTTATCACGATAGCGGTGGACTGTAGGAAATCATGTATTGGTAATGGGAGTAGGTGATGGGAGAGGGATTGGTGTACAATTACAGCAGTACCGGCATGTGCTTTTCCGTCAGGGTGGTCAGTACGATATGTCAGGTATTGTGGTATATTGAAGTGCTGTTTAGTGGTTAGTCGAGTTTCAGTAATTAGTGCCACATCAATGTTCTTGTCAAGTAGTAAAGTAGATAGTTCGTCTGTATGATTTCTAACACCATTCGCATTCCAAAGGAGAATGGATATGGGTTTAGGGATGTGAGTCATTTAAGGATTTTTTCAAAGGAGGGATGAGGTGAGATACGAGATTCGTGAGGAGTGATATCAGTGGAGTAACAAGGGATTTGAAATCGGTGAGGAAAGATGCTAACAAACTTGTGAGATCTGTTGCATTTGAAGGAGGAGGAATATGAGGAATTTGTTGTTGGTGGTTAGGTATATTAGGATGAAGAGGATTTTGAGGTTGGGTTTGAGGTTGTTGTTGTGGCAGGGCTTGACATTTATCGGTTAAAGTCTTACCTCTAAGTAGTTGGGAGAATGATACATCATTGTTTACAATTCTGGAAGGCTCTCTCTCTCTTCTTGTTCTTAGTGCTTCATCTTGAATCCGGTTTTTCTGGTGTCTGGTTTTGAGATTCTTGTAAATTTGGCAGCCTTTGTAGTTGGCCGGGTGTCCCTCCAAGCATAGGGCACATACTGCTGGATCTTGTATAGGTTTGGTGCACTCTACAGATTTGTGCTGTTCACCGCACTTCACGCAACGCGGCAGATGGTGGCAATATGTCTTCGTGTGGCCATAGGTCTGACAATTATGGCACTGCACGATGTCTCTCTTGGGATATGGCTTCTCAACTTTCACCATTGTATAGTATATTCTTGTGATATCATATATTTTTTCGATACCTGGTGATGGCTCCAAGTCCACGAAAAACAATGGTAGTGGGATCCTATTTCGTAATCCTGGCTGTTCCCTGTCCTCCTTCAAAACGTTTGTTACCTGGCGTACGTTGAAACCAAGCGTCGTTAGTTCTTCTTTAATAACTTCTGTGGGGGTTGAGGAATGTAAATTTCTTATCACCACTCGTAAAGCTCTTTCCTGCCTCAGCTGGTAAGTGTGAAAATTCGCATTTGTTTCTGATAAGTACTTCACTATTTTTCGGTAGGCTTCTGCAGAATCAGGTGTTATCTTGGTGTCATTGGTCCTGTTAAGGCATGAATAACTGCCAGAGCAGATTTTATTTAGTTGGGTGCAGAACATCTGGAAATTTTTTATATTTTTCACAAATATCGGAGGAGGCTTTGGTTCTCTGGGTATTGCTGCAGACTCCATTACTTCTTTGTCATTTTGAAGCACTTGGTAGGGGTTTGGAGTAAAGAAAGGTGATTCTTCAATCGTTTCTTGTGCAGACGTACCTGGTTGGGGCTGAGGTTCTGGTTCTGAAGTGTTCATTTTGGTCACTGGAGGTATTTCTCGTAGGCAGCGACGAGTCCTTTGTTTGGCTGGTGAGCTAACTCCGTCTGACCGAGACCTCTTGGGCACCTTACTGGCCATCACTTGCTGATCATACCGCATATCATAAGAGAAAAATAAATAAATAAATAAAAAAGAAAAGAAAAAAAAAAATTTTTTTTTTTTTTTTTTTTTTTTTTTCCTTAAAATAACAAAAAAAAAGATGCCAACAGTAAATATCAACTGCTCTGATATACACTTTAACTGTATCACGTGAATAATCAGAGAGATTCCGCTATAAAATTGGTAAAAACTGAGAGAGGAGTTGAGGAGACAACCCTCTCATCATCTGATTTGTGAATCACGAACGTCGGTAAAAATTAATATTATTTATCAATAAAAATAAAAACCCTGTACCACTAACAACCCATGAAGGAATATATGGGTTCAGTACAATGTGTGGAAGTACTGTTACCAATCGATTATAACTTTATTGCAAAAATATTACACACTTTTTTTTTTAATGTTAGAGGACATTATTGTTTTTATTAAAACAATTTTTTTTTTCAAACATTAAACCGTCACAAAATAAGTGGAATATTTGTAACTATTTATGTTAATGGACTTATTAATTTAAACCTGGAATTATATTAAAAAATATATTTATTGATATTTAATATTTAGCTTTATTATAAGAGGTATCAAAGAAATTTACTCACCTAAATTTATGTCAGCAGTTGCCTTCCTTCCACTGAATGGAGGACCAAGAAATCTTAAGCATTCTTTTATAAACCTTAAACAAAATTTATACTTAAATAATTTTGATTGATAAATAAGTAAATATGTATTAGTAAATAAATAAACATTTATTTAAAAATTAATAAATCTCCATTTCAACTCTAAAGGTGACCTGATTATATAAAAAGATAGAGGTTATGAATTATCATGATAGCAATAATTTAGCCTCAATTCTTCCATGTAGTTATTGAGAATGTTATCTTGATCAATACGTAGTAAATGACCCAATGATTAGATTTAAATATGTGTTCCACAAATTCATGAAACTAGATATCAATGAGAATGTAATTTTGTACTTATATAGTACTCTTTGTTAAATCATGGCTAGAGGCGGCCTAGTGGAGATGAGTGAAAAGCTATAGCCCTGGAGCCATGGCCCAAAAATCGACCTGATCGTCAGATAATTTCGCTATTTTTTTTGTTTTTTCATCTATAACTCGAGTTAGAGTGGCTCTTCTCCTCCATTCGAAGACAATATTTCCTAGGTACTTCCCTCTATCATATCATCAACAATCATCGTCCTTTCTACGCCTACAACCTTCTCCAATTCAAGTCCTCAGCCCACTCCCTCTCCACAAGATCTCGACCTTCCGACCTTTACATCCCTTCTCACAGATCTGCCTCGTTCCAAAACTCCTTTATTGCCCGTTCTGTTAGTTTCTGGAATTCCCTTCCTATCGAAATTCGACATTCTTCATCCTTATCTACATTCAAAACCCTCCTATTATAATTCCTGTCCCAAAAACAGTCAGATACCAGATAACCTTTTATGTAAAATTACATATTATTTATAATAATATATTCACATATAGCTCATAACCTAAATACTTATTATAGATTCGACTTTCTTTTTTTCTTTTTTTTTTCAACAGAAACAGATTTTACTGTTAAGAAGAATTTACATTTATTTTTTCTGTATTTTTTTATTTTTTCTAAAAGGGTTTATTTATATTTTAACATAGTACATAGTTTTAATTATCTTAGTATCGTTTTAAGAGTTTTTTATATAGATTTTTTTTTAATTTTATTTTGTATATAGTATGTATAACCAATATTTTTTTTTCTTAATGATATATCTTTATCTTAACTTTTTATGTTTGTTTTTATCTGGCCAGATATAAAATTTTAATTTCTGTACTTTTTTGTTATTCTGAAGGGATTTCGTCTCAGAATAAAATTATTTTTCTATTCTATTTCTATTCTATTCTATAACTCCTCAACTATGCATCGAACCGAAAAATGTACTTGTTAATAGATTAAAGAAGGTTAAATTGTGCGTCGAAGGCTTACCTAAATAATTTGGTAAAGTAGTATGGTAGAAAACCACGGGCAACCAACGTTGTAAAAAACCGAGTCAAATTACTATAAATGGCCCTATAGCTTGGAAATGAGTTCTCTAAGAGGAATAATCCATATAATCAAAGTTGTAGAGCATCAAATTGTGCGTTCAATGAGTACCAAACTCGAAGCCACTCGTGAAATGATTAAATATGAAAGGGAAGGTGTCCTTTACCAGAGCACTGGGCGACGTTTGTTTGAAAAATCTAGCAGTGGAGATACGACTATGGAAAGAAAGAAAGGCTCCGGTCGACTATTAATGGATATTGATGAGGTTTGCAGGAAGCTGTTGAGTAAAATCCCTCCACGAGTACTTGGAACTAGCCAGGGAATGTGGTGTGTCAAAAGATACTGTTGGTAGCCGTGTACTCTCTATCAGAAAGGGAAAAAAGTTCAGTAGATGAGTCCCATTCGGCCACCCCGTCCAATGAGTACTCGAGAACTTGCCAGGGAGTGTGTTTTGTCGAAAGATCCTGTTAGTCGCCATCAACCATCCATGGGGAAGATGGAAAAGAGCAGTGGACTTGTCCCTTACGAACTCATTCCTCAGCAATTCGCGAAGAGATTAAAACTTTGTGAATGTACTTTGTGAACTTTATACCGTATACCGTATATGGTACTCCAAAAGACATAAGACAAAGAGGCACCGATGGTTGGATGATCGAGGAGGATTGAGATCGGAAATTGGAAGAACATTGGTATGACCTGCGAGGAGTACAGAAAATTGGTGGCAGAGACCCAGGTACTACAAGGACTGTAGCAACCATTAAATAATTTTTTTTTTAAATTTATATTATTATAACCTTAAATCAATTTATTTTTTTTAAAAACATGAAATGAGCATATTAACACATATAAGTATTTTTTAACCATTAAATATCGCCATAAATTACAGAATGGAGTTGCAATACTTCTATCGTTAGCTTATTGCAAAAAAATACAACTATATTTTCCAACTTCTGTTTTCACAAAGACAAAATTCATTAATGTTCTAAGTTATTTAAGGCAATGAAAAGTCACTTAACAACTTTTTGTTTAAAATTAAATCGACGATATATTTCTTAAGTACCTCAACAATTTCATTTTGGTATCGATTTCATTTGATATAGGCGATATCGATATTTTTGATCAGGTAATATATTAATATCGATATCAAAGACTGATATCGATATTTATAAGGAATATAAGCAGCCTTGTTAAAAATAGTAGAAAAGAGTATAGCATTACTTAGTTCGTAAATACTCCAATTGTTATGTTGACAAAGACCCCTACTCTAAATTATTGGTCTTTAATTTTTGGCCCTAATTTAAATTCTTGATAACCATGAAAAAGACCTATAAATTTTAACCCTTGTTACAGATAAACATATTGAATAAATACCCCTAAGTAATGTACATTGGGATATACCTGCCAAGAAACTCCATGCGTTCTACGTCGTCAATTGTTGGATCTCTGCTATCATTACCAAATATTTCACATTGCTCCTTAAAAGCTCTTTCTTGCATATCAGGTTGAACTGCTAAAAGAATTATAGTGTTTGATAAAGCAGAAGCAACAGTGTGGGCAGACTGAAAAAAAAAATTAAAATAAAATGCATTAATAAAAATTGATTTGCACACATTTCAAAATGGCGACATCAGGACTTTAAAAGATATAATATTTGTGATTATTATTCAGTTTTATTTCGGTTCTATTTTATTTTATTTATTCATTTATTCTGTAAATATGGTGTGATGTATTCTCCAGATTGAATACTCCTCAATTCCATCATAATTCGATGAAAAGGGAGCTTTAGCCCGGACTATCAATGTAACCTGAAAGTAACATCATTCTGACTGACATTCATGTTAGTGATTCGCATAACTTTTTATTCGGATTCTAATTTTACAATTTAGGATCCAGATAGATAAAACTTATAAGTTACATTATTTTATTTCCTTTTACCAGATAAATAAAAAATATGTTAAGGAAACACTTTAACATTCTCGAGTCTAGCGTCGCATGTTCGAATCCGGCCTGAGCCATGGGAAATTGAATTTGTTTTGTGGTAGGCCTTTGATTAGTATAGGAACCCATCCCGTACCCATATACCATAAATGGTGAGGTAGGGGATAAATTAAAAAAAATTTTTTTTTAAATAAATCTTTTTTTAGCATTATAGTGTATGAATATTTTATATTTCTTCGTCGTATTCAAGCCTCTATCTTAACAGATAAGATGATTATCTATTATATACTAGCTGATTTACCCATCGTTGACAGGTGTATAGTTAAAATTTGAGAAACTTTTTTTGAGGTGGATATTGTATTATGGGGGGAGAAGGAGGTTAATTTCATAACATTGGGTGAGGGGAGAAAGGTAATTTTAATTTTCAGAAGTTTTTCTTCCGATTTCCGGCTAATCCATTTGGTTAATCCTAAAAATGTATACGACAACATTTGTTAGGCTCGAGACGTTGAATCGAATGTTAGGTATTTCGGATTTTTCTCGTTGAGTTGTGATAATTTTTTCTATCAGTTAAAATAGTACAACTGTTAAATATGGCTCGCGGTAGAGTAGGTTGGGATGAGAATCGAAGTAACTGCCTAACCGGGATCTCTAGACAAATTACCCAAGAATTCAAAACTCTGGTTCTATTCAATATTTTGTTTTCATTTAAAGCCTATGTTTTAAGTCAAGTAAACCTTAATATAATGTCAACATTTCAAAAGTCAACAATAAGCCATTGCTGAGCTTACCCTTGACAAAATTTCGTTGCAATGCGGACATACAGACAGACAAAAAAATGTTTTGAAAGTGGATTTGGTTTCTGTAATGTATGAAACGGAAAGATATCATGAAACGGGTTGATTCAATTCAATGTACAGACAAAACCTTTATTTCATTTATATAGATGTTCTTTAACCAACAAACATATGTTTATTATTAACATTAACCGAGATCTCTAGACATATTACTGAAGAATTCATAACTTTGGTTATACTGAATATTTTGTTTTCATTTAAAGCCTATGTTGTAAGTCGAGTATACCTTAATATAATGTCAAAATTTGAAAAGTTTACAATAAGTCATTGTTAAGCTTCCCACTGACAAAATTTCGTTGGAATGCGGACATACAGACAGACAAAAGTTTTTTTTAAAAGTGGATTTGGTGTCTGCAATGTATGATTCGGAAAGATGTCATAAAACGGGTTGATTCTATTCAATGTACAGACAAAATCTTTATTTTATTTACATAAATTATTTTTATAAGTATTAATAATATCCAAATTTAGATACATACTGTAAAGAGCACTTCCTGCATAAGCTGTAGTAGTGTTCTTTTACTCTCATTAGATTCTATACTTTTTGCTGCTACATTCATTGCTAATCTTGGTTCTTAAAAAATATATATATTACTAACAGAAATTATAAAAGTTCTCAATATTATAAGGAATACGAAAAAGAATGACTACTCTTACCTGAAAGAGGTTCCTTTTTCGATACTATCGTTTTATATATCTTTTGGAATATCTAAAGCAATATAGAATTATATTAGATAAAGGCACCTTATAGACTTTTCTGAATATATAATTAAGAATAATTTAATTACCGTTTTCCGAATTACTACTGCTTTCCCACTGACTTTTTCTGCTATTGGTCGCACTATGGGAGCTATCGCTCTCGCTATATTTGTGTTGGCTCCAAGCATTGCTCCCATTTCGATCAATCTAAAAGATTCTCATATTATTTGCGGTTTATTGGATCTGGTTTGTAAGTTTTCAATTAATCTCATCATAATACAAAGCTTCATGTATACTATTCGATATGTTTGTAGATTGAGAAGTCTCCGTTCATGTTTTTGATAACAACATAACCTTTACAGACAGTCAGAGTTTTTTTTGATAAGAGCTCTGTCATTTGTTTATACAATTTTATACCTCAAACACAACTGAAGGGATAGGGTGAATGCACCAGTGATGAACAAGGGATCCAGTTATGGACAAGTTGGACTTCAAATGTAAATAATAAGCTTCATTGTCTATTTAAAGGTTTAATTTTTTTTTTATATTGAAGAACAATTCCTTCTATTGACAACTGTATGAACAAAGTTCCCAAAAGTAAATTTTAGAGTGCCTATCACTGTTGTTTCTGTAGTGCTGTTGAGATAAGTATGTTTCATACTTTCCTACTAACAGTTTTGCTAAGAATAAGTTGAATATTTACGTTATGTTATCATTATCTTTATCTTCATAGTTAAATAAAGATTTTAGATTTTTCTGATGTATGTCCATTACCGGTACCGAACAATCCATTACTAGAAGAATTGAATTACTGTGTGTCGCATTAATAGTGCGAAAAAGTGTTTTTCTAAAATGTTGATTATACTTGAATAACTGAATATGTTTTCAATTTTAAAGTGTTAAATAGAAAAAGAAATCCTAGAGATTCTAAATGTCTAACAGAGAAGCTTATAACTATAATAATTACGTTGTCATAAGCCAACAAAGACAAAACATTCCTTACTCATATCCTTTACTGGTGCGCTTACCATAAAGGGTAGATGTAAAAAAAACTTATGTAGAAAAAAATACCAAACAAGAGAATGACAATTTGCACTTTGGGTCTCGATATATAATTAAATATATAGACAGATATATTAGATGGATGTCATACTCCGTTGTTGGTTTCTTGATTTAGTATAAAACACGTTCAGGTTAGGAGATACAGCCGATAATAGTTTCAGCAGATCACTGCATACTTCAGAGCTCAGCTCAGAAGAAATAGAAACTGAAATCGGGGAGGGGAAAGTGGGTGTCGGCTCGTTGCCAATCCCCAAGCTTAGTAAGGTAGCATTACAATTATTACCACAGTGCAATAATTGCGAAATAGCCGGTAATGAACTGGCTGATCGAGCATCCAAAAAATCCATTAGTGATGGAATACCTTATCGGGGAGTACCTGCAGAGGATTTTATAACCGACATCAAACAGAAAATGAAGACAAAATAGGAACATAATTAGTCGAATGTAACCGAAAATAAATTGAGGAAGTAATTCTTACGCGCCTGCGTATAGGTCATACACGCCTTACTCATGGATACCTGATAGCCCCTGATTCTTCGCCAACAAACCAAAATTGTGGGACTCCTCTGAAAGTAAAATACATTTTAACAGAATGCAGAGCTTACGAAACATTTAGACTATCTTATGAATTGACAAACGAGCTACACTTCATTTTACAGGACAATACCAATGAAATTGATATATTATTTCTTTTTTGAAATGTTCTAAACTTGAAAATGCAATCTAATTCTCAATGAAAATAAGTCAATAATGACCCTAGTGGTTGAAGTCTTAAAATAAAAAAGAATAAAAAAAAAAGACTACAACACAGTGAAGAGGCTATCTCTCCGTCCATTTTTAGCTTCGGCACCATTAGTGGTCACCATTCCTAACCTAAAACGTGTTTTATATAAAACCGAGGATCGAATCACCGAGTATGACATCCTTGGTTTGTATCAAATACTAAATATACGCACAAAGCGCAGAGCATCTTCTCTGGCGTGGCAACCGTTTAGCTTCCAATCATCATAAGGCTTACAGCCCAAGTATGTATTGATCTTTTTTGAATAGTTAGTGGTTGTCATTCCTAACCTGAACGCATTTTATACAAATTCGCGGAGCGAAGAACCTAGTATGATATCAATGCTTTTCAAAATATAATAAATCTAGGAGTAAAGCCTCCTTTCCTGGCGTGGCAACCTTTTCTATATCATTTATTATTTTTACTCTTTTCACCATTGTTAAAGTTTTTACAACGCAGTTTATTAAAATTATAATGCTCATTATAAATCTAGAGAATAAGCGGTTTTTGGATTAATGACTAATAAATACAAAATTTAAGTGAAAGAAGTTAACGATATTTAATCATATCGGTATTGGATTAGGTCAACCCTTACAATTCCTGAATATTTCATCAAATCGAATTAAAGTTTAACATTAACTTTTCCTATTTATTTCACAGCCACATAAATAGAAATATAATTGAAGGCTTTAAACGTTAAACGTTAATCGAATGTTACTGTTAGATCGGGTACAATATATCTTGAATATATTAAATAAGTCACATATCGCGAAAATCTACATACAAAATTTGTCTTAAGACAAGATGAATATCGACTTTATACGACTTGACCAAGCGATGTGATATAAAAAATGAGGTTTCGTGTCAATTAATCGTGAGTTAGTCATCAAGTAAGGCGCAAGATATAACTAAATAAATGCAAAACAAAGATTTATCTTAGTTACAAGATAGTTCACAAAAAGTTTTAAGATACTCAAACTAGACTAACTATTTTCGTAACAGAAAAATTGCTTATTGCTCGGAGGTATTTAGAATTAAAACCTGTTTAATCGCAAAATCTTATTAGATTGATGGTGCAGACAAGGTTGGTATTTCGGTATATACAAGTATCTCAATAAAAATTTAATATTAATTGGGTGAATTAATTTTATCGTCCCCTACCTAATGGACTCATACGATGCGAGCCTTATAAGACAATTATAATATGTCACTTATTTTTTTTTTTACTTCATTTATTTACCCACACGTATAAGCAATGACAATTAGCAGGTCTGCTGTCGGTAAGTGTACAGGTATTGGCTTGAACGGCGTGATGGAGAGGAGTGCCCAGCGACATCCCGTTCTGTCTTGATTTTAGCATATTTTTAAGCGAGGAAATCTCTCATCCAGCTCCTTTTGAGCATGTTAAATGTAGCCATTTACACTTTGTATAAGTGTGTTAGTATGTCCATGTAAGTTATTGTGAAATCGCTTGTAGTGTGTCCGTATGTGATCGTTAACTGTTGGCATGTGAAGGTCTTTATGTAATGTAATGTAATGTTTGTGACGTACCATGGAGCTTTGGTTATGGTTCTGAAAGTTTTAGACTGAAAAGTTTGTAGTTTTCGTATGTGAGTCGTTTTGGCTGTTTCGTAAATTTATGAAGCGTAGGTCCATATGGGCTTAAGTAGATAATTGTATGTGTTCAGTTTTTGTTTTAAGTTTAATTTAAAGCTTCTTGAGAGAAGTGAGTATAACAGTCATAGTCTGAGGTTTAAAGTTTTTCTTTTTTTGTTAATATGTGGACCCCATATCCTTCATCTTTCGAATGTCAGTCCAAGATATTGTATTTTATCTGTTTGAGGAAATTCGGCATTGTCTAGGTAAATAGGATGGCATGTTCCATGTCGAAGAGTGAAAGTCACTTATGACTTCAGATAATTATCTCATTGCTCTAATGTAAACCCAGCCTTAGAAAATTCAATTCAAACATTACAATGACGGTGAAAATAAAGAATCATCGTTTCTTATTAATTATATATCATACCTGGTCAATACTTTTATAATCTCTTTATTATATACTAAATCTGTCTCAACACCAAACAAGGTTCCTGCAAAAGAGACAATACAATTAACAAATTTAACATAATGTCTTTACTACATTGATCTATATGTTGTTACTTACTCATGGTAACGTTCTGTGTTAAAGCTATGGATGCACCATATGCACTGGTAGAATCCAACATCATATTAACTAGTGTTTCGGCAGATGTAATATAAGTATTAAAATAATCGTTGTCTACACATGACCTCTTCAAAAAAATGTTGTATTCCTTTCTCCACATTTTCCATTTTTCGTCTGAACCTACAAAGATAAGTTAAAAGTTTAAAAAAAGTTAAAAGTAAACAGATTGAGATAAAAGAAATTAACTTACGTGCTATATTCTCCTCTATTTTCTATTTTTATTTATACTTATTTAACATTTTTGTTTGTACCTTCTACATATAATACTTGATATTTTAACTAAATTGTCACCCACTATATCTCTGATATAATCTTTTTATTTCTGTATCAGACAACTTATTCTTATTTTATATCTACTTATATTAATTTATTTTATTTTCACCATGTTTTGCATCTTTTGTAGCTCTGATGAAGACCTGCAAAGTTGGTCGAAACGTCGGCAAAAATTAAATAATTCTACTTGTTTAATTTAGTATTAATTTGAACCCACCCCCCGATCAACTCCTTCTCACAATAATTTTTCAAAACTTATTTGCTATGTTCAATACATAGCAGTTTAAAACATAGATTTTAAAAAACTGGACCGTTCACTGAGGTGAAACATATATAGCAATTTTCAATAATAAAATGTGATCTGTTCTCAATTTTATTGTGATAATATTAGTTTGTTTTATTATAAACGATGATTAAAACAATAAAATAAAGAAAATTTATTTTTAAAAAATCCATCTGCTACTTACGTGGTCTGCTAAAAGGTCCTCTCATATAATCGAGAAATCCTCCGTACATTTCATAAGACTTATCGATCAGGTTTGGATGAAATGATATTTTCTGAATAATGAAAAAAAATAAAAATATTAATATTACATCACTGTTAGTTATCGGAGTTATATTAAATAAAAATAATTAAATATAGGTCCATATATCTTATCATACTTTATTTTGAGAAAAAATAAAAGAAACTTTGCTAATATCATGTGTATTAACAGTCCATTTTTCAATCCAGTTTTTCAAGCAAGAACACAATTTTCTAGCTGATTTTTTTGTCTTGGTGGTGCCGATTCTTTGTTGAGGTGAAGTTAAGGTTATCCTGAATGCCTGATAGTATATCACAGCAGGTGGTATGTGTTATCAATCCTTATTTATTTATATTAAATGTATAGTTTGTATATTTTTAAATACATCAGTCAACTTATGGAATCTATTGAAATTAAAATGTGTATAGTAGCTGTATGTGAACTAGGACTCGAATTAAATAAAATATATGGTTAGCTGCAAAAATGGTGATACTACTGGTGATATCGATTTAGATGGTAATATGTTTGAACAGGTAGAGAAATTTAGGTATCTAGGGTCTACGATAACTAGAAAAAACGAAATTGAAGAAGAGATTAAGCTTAGACTGAAGGCGGGAAATGCTTGTTATTTTTCTGTGACAAAACTACTTAGCTCGCGCCTCTTGTCCCGAAACTTAAAAATTAGAATCTATAAAACCATTATCTTACCAAGAGTTCTTTATGGATGCGAAACTTGGCCGCTTACATTAAGGGATGAGCAGCTTAAGATTTTTAAGCTTTTTCTAACAGCTTAAGATTTTTGAAAATAATGTATTGAGTAGAATATTCGGACCGAAGAAGGATGAGTTAACTCGGGAGTTCAGACGGTTACACAACGTCGAATTACGTGAACTGTATCCGGGTTCGCTAAGCCTTTTATTATTACAATTATTACTATAGTAAAAGTATATTAACTCAATGTAGATAAACGGATAATCAGAAAGGTAAAACATCCTCTTCCCTCCTTAAATCCTTCCCAGGATAACCTTACCTTACCTTGAACAACACTTCAATCTCATTTCATACCTCTGTTACAAACCTTGGAATCACCTTTGGCCAAACCCTCTCATAGAAACAAAAAATCTCCCACCGCACCATATCAACCCTCAAACAATTCACCTACGTTATCTCCTCCTTCGACACACCCTACAACTCCTAGCTTCGACCTTTGTGTTCCTCACTTTTACTAAGGCTGTATGGTGTACGGCGGACTCTATGGCGAACTTGAATCAAGACAAGACTTAAACAGCTTATTAATTGCTTAGTTAGATTTTTTTCGGGATCGCCAGAAGTACGCGAATTATCCAGTATTATATCGAGCTAAAGGGGCACTTAAGGTAGCCAAATAATGGTATATCCCTAGAGTCAGCATATTTCCCCTGACTCTGTATAAATACCCCTCCCTTACCCGCCTAGCAAGTAGTCAGACATTGTCACTCATAGTGGATAGTTAGATACCATAGTTAGTGTAGTTGTAACATATATATTTTGTTCATTGTATACTTTTTGCCAAATAAACTTTTTTTTTAAGTCCGAGTGAGTATCGAAGATTTAATTGGCGCCCGAATGTAGGGACCTGTGTTAACTTGAAGAAAGAAGAGTGAAGAAATTACTTTAAAGTAACAGCTCTAAGTGTCAGGTCAAGAAGATTCGAAGAAATAGTCATTGGACAACAGAATCTGGAACTGGCTGCTTCAAGGTGTGTTCAACACTTCAAACAGGTTCAAGAACTTACATTGGATCGGAGGTACTTCGGAAGGACTTAAAAGAATACTTGAGGTACAAATCTGTAATTTTTTTTTTTTGTTTTGTTAAATTTTTTTTTTGTATAACAATTTTAGCTTTGAAATTTATATAATTTTGTTTTATGCCATTAAAATTAAGACATAGTAAATTAACAGTATATAAACCAAAAATGTCTGATTCAGAATTAGAAATTGAACAAACACAACAACAACATCTTCAACAAGCACAATAACAACATCTTCAACAAGCACAACAACAACAACAACAAATTCAACAACAACAACAAATTCAACAACAACAACAAATACAACAAGTAACACAACAACCACAAATGATTACTTATAAAATGACTACTATGGACTATGACCATATTCAAGATTTTTACGGTGACTCTAGGGAAGTTTACGAATTTTTATCTGAAGTTAGGGATGTTTTCCATTATGTTTGCAAAGCTAATAATACTTTAGCACTAGAAAATCACGCAGCTCTTTTAAATAAAGTAAAATCAAAAATTAAGGGAGAAGCGAAAAATCACATCCGAACTCAACATTTCGTGAATTTAGATGACCTATTAATTTTTATTGAAAATAATTATAGGGACCAGAAGACTATATGTCAACTAGACCATGAACTTATGTCTATGCGTCCATTTAAGTACGAAAACCCTATAGAGTTCATTAATAGAGTAGAATCCGCACTATCAGTATTAATTTCGAGAATAAGGATTGATAGTGATATTACATTTCAAGATGGTCATATCAAATACATTAAAGAAAGAATTACACATCATGTAATTAGTTGCTTGCCAATAGAATTGGGAAATTACATGAGAATTTTTGATCCTAAGGACCTTATTAGGTTAAGGATTAAGTTACAAAATGAAGGTTTACCTTTATTACAACAACTTTTTCCTAAAAAAGGTTATAATAATCATAATAAAAATGATAAAAATCCTCATAAGCAAGACTATAATAAAAATGATAAGCCACATTATAACCAAAAATCAGATTATAACAGGTATGAAGAAAGAAATTATAATAAATACCAAAATGACAGACAAAGATACGAACAGCAAAAAAAACACTACCAAGACGAAGGTAGATATAGAGAAAATAAGCCACAAGCATGGCATGAAAAAGACAATTGGAAACAAAACGACAAAACAAATAATGAAGAATTCCCCTCAAGACCGTTTAAACCAGATTCCCAAAATACGGTTTCTATGAAATCAGTGGATAATGTTAGATGTTTTCAAGAACATTCTACTGAAGACTTACTTGAAAAAAATAAGAAATTAGAAAAAGAGGTAGAAGAAATAAAAATTAAGTTAGATCGTTTTTTAGTACTTGGCGAGGGTTCCCCAAATATAACTTAAATTTATTAAATAATAAAAAGGATGCCTACTTTACGGACAAACGCGGCAAGAAATGGCTTATTGACACCGGAGCAGAAATCAATTGTATAAATCCAAATTCTTTACCCGAGGGAATTAAAATACAATCGGAAGAATTCATTATTTCAACACCAGCCGGCAACAAGAGAGGTCATGGAAATGTAACCTTGGATATAGGACCGAAGCTTGGATTGAAAGATGAAATATTTGTTACTTTTAAAATTTATGATTTTTGCGAAGGATATGATTTTTTATTAGGTATGAATTCTATGAAAAAAATAGGCGTAAACATAGATATTGGGGAAGATATTGAATTAAAAATAGGAGGAAAACTAATTATCAATGGAAAAATAATCGAAGATGATTATAATATAAACTTAATAAAGGATATAAGTGTTATTGATGATATGGTAAGAACAAACCATATTGACGAAAAAACAAAGGAAAACTTATTAACTTTAATTGGAAAATATCCTAAAATAATTAAAACCAGTGAAGAAAAACTACCTTCTACAAATTTATTAAAATGCAACGTTAATTTAAAAACAGATAAACCTGTTTATTCAAGAAGTTATAGAGTAGCACCTCAACTTAGAGAGGAAATGAATAATCAAATTAAAAAGTTGTTAAATCAAAACATAATAAGGGAAAGCAATTCACCATATAATTCACCGTCAATGTTAGTGCCAAAAAAACTAGATGCTAGCGGCCAGAGGAAATATAGATTGGTGATAGATTATAGAAAATTAAATGACCAAACAATTAAAGATAAATTTCCTCTCCCTAACATTGAAGATTTACTGAATAAATTACAAGGTTCTAAAATATTTTCTACAATCGATTTAGACTCACGGTTTCACCAGATAGAGATGGCAAATGATTCCATAGAGAAGACTGCATTCTCAACAGAAAACGGACACTATGAGTACGTCAGAATGCCCTTCGGTCTTTGCAATGCTCCACCGACATTTCAAAGAGCGATGAATTCAATGATTGCTAATATTCCGAATACCTTAGTCTACGTTGATGATATTATAATATATTCAAAAACCGTTGAAGAACATCTACAACATTTAGAAAATATTTTTGAAACCCTTTCTAAACACAACCTTGTTATTCAGTTAGATAAAACGGAATTTTTTAAGAGTGAGCTTCCATTTTTAGGTTATATTTTAACTCCAGATGGTATAAAAACGGATCCATCAAAATTAGAGGCAATTTCTAAATTCCCCTTACCAACGACAGAAAAAGAAATTAGGCAATTTCTTGGTTTAACGGGATACTATAGAAAATTTATCCACAATTATGCAAATATAGCAAAACCTTTAACACAGCAACTTAAAGATAAAGAAAACATTATACCAGAAAATTATAAGCATGCCTTTGAAAAATTAAAGATTCATTTAATGAATGCACCCATATTAACATATCCAAATTTCGAAATACCAATGATAGTCACAACAGATGCAAGTAATGTAGCAATTGGAGCTGTACTTTCCCAAGTTACAGAAGGGAGGGAACACCCCATAGCGTTCGCCTCAAGAACTCTAAATGCCACGGAACAACAATATTCCACCATCGAAAAGGAGCTTTTGGCAGTCGTATACGCTACAAAACATTTTAGACCCTACTTATATGGAGCAAAATTTACAATTCAGACGGACCATAAACCCTTGCAGTGGCTATTCAATATGAAAAATAATAATACCAGGATAATGAAATGGATATTTTTTTTACATGAATACGATTTTGAAATAAAATATATTGAAGGCAAAACTAACTTCGTTGCAGACGCTCTCAGCAGAATAACGATTAACGCAATGACAAATCTTGATTTAGATGAAGATTCAGCATCGCAACTTGATAGAATACTCGGAGAAACCTCTGAAATGCCATTGACATCTCCAGATGTTTTTGATTTTGATGAAAATATGTTAGAAGACAACAACATGGAAATAGAAGAAGAAAATATCATTGACTTAGAAAATAATAATGCTCAATTAGAAAATGAATTAAATAATCCCAACTTCGATAATGAAAGTTTAAATACCCAACATTCTCAAGAAAGCAGTAATGAACAAATATTTATTGTTGATGAATCAAAACCGATCAACATAGAAAAAAATCAAATTTTTTTCCAAAGAGGAAAAAACCAAATACGACTAGAAAAAACATTCGGTAAAAATATATATTTTATAGACACCGCATACCCTTGGAGTAATGACTTAGAAGAATCTTTAATTGAAATACTAAAACCGAACAAAATTTATGGAATCTATTGTGAACCTAACGTAGAAACGGTTAGAAGTGATTATGAAGGAATATTCCTAAAGATATCTTCAATAATTATGGAGAAATTCCCTAATGTCAAATTTAAAAGGTATAAAACCAAAGTGTTAAATGTAGAAACAAAAGAAGAACAAACAGAATTGATAAATAATTATCATACAGGTAAATCATTCCACAGAGGAGTTTTAGAAACTTTCGAAAAAATGAAAAGGACTTATTATTTTCCTAGGATGAAAGAAGAAATTAACCAGTTTATAAATTTATGTAATATCTGCAGAAAGACTAAATATGATAGGAAACCTATCAAATCAAAATTTCAAGTAACACCAACACCTCTGAGACCATTCGAAGAGTTGATGATAGATACTCTACACTTCGAGCAGAAGTATATTGTAACTATTATAGATACTTTTTCAAAAAAAATGTATGCTGAACTCACCACAGCATGTAATGCTATTAATATATTTAAAATAATTACAAAATATTTAAGTTTATTCCCAAATCCAATAAGAATAAAAATGGACAATGGAAAAGAATATAAAAACAACTTAGTTCAAAACTTATTAGAAAGCTTAGGAATCGAAGCTTATTATACAACTCCTAATCATCCTAATTCTCTTGGACTCATGAACAGAGCTCATTCTACATTGATAGAAATCATTAGAACTTACAAAAATAATGATGAAAAACGAGATTTAAACACAAATTTAAATTTAGCCCTAATCACTTATAATAATTCTTTAAATCAAAAACTGAAATTATCGCCAAATGAAATCACCTTTGGTGCTATAAAAGACCCTGAAAAGAAATTATCAATCATTCACGAAGACTTAATCAATCAATATCATACAGAATTAAATTTAGTTCATGAGCAAATAAAGAATAAAATTGAAAAAGAAAAAGAAGTACGAACTGAATCCTTAAATAAGGACAGAGAAAATGAAGTGATTGAAGATGAACCTTATATAAAGGTTAGAACTAGAAATAAACATGAAAATCCATTTAGACAAGTGTATAAATTTAAGAATAAAAATAAAAACCTTAAGGTGCATGCAGATAATATCCAAAGAAAACGAAAAACTAAAAGAAACTATCATATTCCAGATGATGAAGATAATTTGGATATTGATTCTGATGATTCAGACATCGCGACAATATGAAATAATCAATCCAGAACATTCTTCAGGACTGGTTACGTTTAAATTATCTGATTCCAAGGTAATACAAAAATACAAAACAATCATACATTATTTAAATTTTTCTAATTTCATAAATGAAATATCCGTATTAGAAAGAGATTTAAGTAATTTTAAGCAACATAGCCAATATGATTTAATTTCCAAACAGTTAATATTTCTAAAAGATAAAGTTGGTTATATTATTGATGCTCCACGTAATAGAAGAAAAAGAGGCCTGATAAACGGCATAGGAAGTGCAATCAACTGGCTTACTGGAAACCTAGACTCTGATGTGATGACAAGGCGCATTATGATAAGGTCATTACTACTCTAGAAGAAAACAACTATCGTATGGAACACAATATAGCTCAAGAAATTCAAATTAATAAAGATTTAGTAAAAACGTTTCAAAAAGACATTAGATTAATTAATACTAATAGTAATAAATTAGCCAATTTAATAAATACTGTCGACAAGACCACATTAACAAACCACTTAAATGAATTATACGACATTCTAAATTATATCACTATTGTAATCATGGACATTGAAAATTCATTAGAAATGTGTAAACTTGGAATAACACATTCCAGTATTTTAAAAAATATTGATATAAATAATAATTCAGAATTTGTTAGCTCTGATCTTGAGACATTATGGCTCACAAGTAAAATATCTTGTATGATTAAAAATAATATTATCCATTATATGATACAGTTATCTACTAAAGCTAAAACTTTTAGTACTTTGTATTTATTATCTGTTCCAGTCAGAAAGAATAATCATATTATAACAACTATTGTAAATAACCAAATCGTATTATATAATAACGCAGAAGTGTATAAAGGAGAGTGTAATCTTATAAAAACTAATTATTATTGTAATAAAATTTATAAAATTAATGATACATGTATAAATAATTCTATTCACAATAATTTAAGTAATTGTTTAACCACAACTATTAGCAATTTAGAACCTTATATATCTTATGTAGAAACTATTGATGTTTTTGTTAGTTTTAAGATTAAACATATTACTATACAAAATAATTCATCCTATCCAGTAATTTTACCAGAAACAGCTATTATTAAATTAAGTGATAAGGAAGAAATTTTTAACCATACTAGAGATAATTATGTATTTACGGAGGTATTGTCTTCATTTCATGTAATTTCTGATTATAAACATTTGAATTTAACTTTTAATCAACTAAACATACCTACTTTCAGCAATGAAATGTTTGAAAGTCTTAATTATGAAAATGATTTTAACATTAATTATTATTTACTAGCATTAACTATTATTGTTTTATATCTGTTATTTGTTAACTTTTATAATTGTTATACAATGTTTAAACCCTCAAGTATTCTTAGCCAACAAAGGCAAGTAGATAGTACATCAAGTCCGAAGGAAGAACTTGTACTCCAGCCATCTACATCTGCCAACACTGTTCATCCACTTCTTCTCTCACGGAGCTCGAGAACTTCAGAAGGGAGGACTTAAGGTAGCCAAATAATGGTATATCCCTAGAGTCAGCATATTTCTCCTGACTCTGTATAAATACCCCTCCCTTACCCGCCTAGCAAGTAGTCAGACATTGTCACTCATAGTAGATAGTTAGATACCATAGTTAGTGTAGTTGTTGTAACATATATATTTTGTTCATTGTATACTTTTTGCCAAATAAACTTTTTTTTTAAGTCCGAGTGAGTATCGAAGATTTAATTGGCTATAACCATCTCACAAGTGGCGATATTTCCTTGCTCCCCTCTTCAATATTTCCTTGAGTTCCTTTGGTTGTCAGAAATTAGTGTCCATCCAACATACTGTAGAGCCTGCGATTTAATCCTTATATCAAATCCAGACTCTGCCCATCCGATCTCGTTCTTCTGACTTCTACTCTCCTCCACAACGAGATACAAATCCTTGTGTTTGACAAATCTTCCTCTAGCTGTTTTCTTTGGAAACTCCATCACGCATATCATCTACCATGCTTCGACGGTCTCCTCTTCAACGACCTTCTTCTCGCCCAATCTAATTTATATAATTTTAAGCTAAACCACTTTTTCTGATATTTCTAATATTTCCCATGGTTCATTTTAGTGTTATTCTCCACATACTTATTATCGTTATCATTTTCGTTAATTTAATTTTTTTTTTTATTCATTTTATTTAATGGAGTTTTTTTTTTTTTATAAATTTCCTTTTCCTTTGCGAAGTGTTTTCAATTATTTTATATTTATTTTTCATTTAATATTTTTTTATAAATTTGACGTTGATTGGAGCGCTCTTTCTCCATATTTCCTGTCATTCCTTGTTAGAATTTTCTTTCAACGGACGTGAAAGAATTTATGGTATCCCTTTTGTTGTTCATCGGCCTTTTCCATCCTCTTGTTACTGTTATGATCAGGTACCTATATGTAATCATCTGACTTCTCATCATCATTCTTAGATTTCCCTATGTCCATAATTCATTAGATTTCAAGATTTTTAACTCCTTTAAATCACTTAAGAAGTCTGGAAAAATTACTGCTTTCCTGATATATTCGGATGATGTTAGTAAAACAATTAAACACTTGATGTTAGTAAAACAGTTAAAAATTTAATGTTAAATGAAACGGTTAACAATTACATATTTTTTATTGGAATTTAATATATTGTATCCGAGGCGTCTGAAAAGAAGATGGCCCCGTGATCTCCTAATGTAGTCATATCATTAGAGTGCTACCATTGGGTAGTTACTCAGCAAGTGTATTCATGTCATTATATCAATTATGTCCAAATTTACTTGATTTATTTATGTAATACAGTTGTAAATGTCATAAAGAAATAAAAAAAAATATATATATATTGTAGTTTAACAAGGAGTACTTCTTAATGTAAACAAGAGTGTTCAAAAACATTTTAAAAGTAAAAAAAAAAAAAATCAACATAATTTTAATTAAATAATTACAAATATATTACCTTAATAATCTCAGGATTTGTTATTATCGCTGTTATCTTGTAACCATAACTTATATGGAAGCAAAACCCGTTCTTTCCATGTTTTTCAGTAACTTCCTTCAAATGGTTTTCCAGACCTGAACAAAAAAATATTTTTCTTTATGTATTAGAATAGAGTATTCACTTCCAAAACCAGCCATGTCCATTTTACAGGCACTTTTCGAAAAATAAATATAATTTATGTTTTCTATTATAAATAAATATAAATTATACTTTTCTAGAATGGAAGATAGGAATATCTGTTACATGAAATCCTCAAGCAAGATTTTGAAAAAAATTCTCACTCTTTGATTTAGACAATTCCAATATTCACTTACAGGATGTATCAAACATTAAATTTATAACAAAAAGTTTACACATATTTCCATTTCACATATCAAGTCTATTTGCTAAGTTGGGCTTTGGGATTCCTTAGATACATCTGAATCCTTCTATATCCAATCCTTGAAATCTCAAATCTTTCGAAGTATTCTTCTTTCTACTTATTAGTGTTGCCCAAAATAGGTCTTGCTCTTGCAAAGTGCCTAATTATTGCAAGACCAAAACTGATAAAAAAAAAATTGTTTGTGAATAAAAATTAAGGCAAAATAGTTATTAATACTAGACCATTTTAGTAAATCTATGTAAAGAATTGGTAGAACTAATATACTTTTGTATTTAATTCTACAAATTTTTCATTAATATATGTTATTTTGAAGGAATGTATTCAAAATTGCAAAAAAAAAAAAAAAAAAAAAATGCTTAAAATCGGTATCTTTCTTGACACTGCTTTTAACTTATTGACAAGTTAATTTTAGTCGTTTGGATTTTCCTGTGTTTATGTCCATATCTAAATGTACATATTATATAGTGTTTTTTAAGATCAAAAGTAACATGTTTTATAAATATTTATGAGAAGGAGTTAGTCGAGGGTGCAGTCAAATAAATAAAAAAAAATTAAAATATATAAATTATTTTAATTTTTGCCGACGTTTCGACCCACTTTGCAGGTCGTCTTCAGGGCTACAAAAGATACAAAACATGTTGAAAATAAAAAATAAATATAAGTATATATAAAATACGAAGAAGTTGTCAGATACAGAAATAAAAGATGCTATCAGAGATATAGTGGGTGACAATGTATCTTTCTGTATCTGACAACTTCTTCGTATTTTATATATACTTATATTTATTTTTATTTTCAACATGTTTTGTATCTTTTGCAGCCCTGAAGACGACCTGCAAAGCGGGTCGAAACGTCGACAAAAATTAAAATAATTTATATATTTTAATTTTTTTTATTTATTTGACCGCACCCTCGACTAACTCCTTCTCATATTATATCAACGGTCAACCATCTCTACATCATTATAAATATTTATGTTTTATAAGACTTGAACTCTTGCGCAAGACACAGATCAAGACTGAGTGTGCAAGACCAAGATTCGTCTTTGTCTTGTATTTAGGCATCACTAATTCTTATTTTGTAACAAATCTAATTGTCCATGTAGATCTCAATATTTCATTTGTTTCAGATTTGGCCTAGATAGTTATCTCTAACCTTCCATTCAAATAATTAAATAAATACCTAATTCTAATCTCGACAAATCTCTGAGTCGCCTGAAGATGTCTACTAGACTTCCTATCCTCGGCTTAATATTAAAGTCCTAACAGTAGATAGCTTACCAACAGCAATACTCTTTTTCATACCGAATATGGTTGCATTCTTCTGTTTTCTTCCAGCTGGTAATGATCAACAATCTTATGTTTTTGTTTTATGATTATTATAAAATAAGATATTTAATTATTCTTATTAAAATTGTCATTAAAATTTATATTATTGATATTAATCTCTTATACTTACTATCAGCGGTGATCAAAAATAGTGTTTTGTAGAAGTAAAAGAGATTTCCGATAACAGGTACTCCCAAGAATCCAGGAAAAGAACATAGCTTCCGCACACGAAGCCAAAGAATCACACCAAAGACGAGATTCGCCAACAAAATTGTCAGAAGAACTTTATAAATCCCATCCATTTTCCTAAAAATATAATAATAATATAAACAATCAGCAATTAGATGTCAATTGAGGCTCCTAGAAGCAAAGAGTCCAAGCGACAAAAACTATGTTCGAGCAAACGATGGTTAAATTTAAGCCTCTCCTCTAATAGTGATTTTTCTTTTTCTTACTCTAACAGTTGAAAAAGATTTTTATCACAATTGAAAGTGTTTTAAATAGTTTTAGAATTATTACCAGTTGTGGACAGGGGCTCCTGTGATGAAGAGGTTGTGCTTTAAATGTGAATAATAAGCTTCCTTGTTCATTCAAAGGTTACAGTTTTTTTTTAAGTTAAAGCACAATGCCCTCTATTGACAACTGTATGAACGAAGTTCCAAAAAGAAAATTTTAATATGTCTATTATTTTTGTTACTATAGTGCTCTTGAGATATGTGTGTTTTATACCTTCCTACTAACAATTTTGCTAAGAGTAAGTTGAACATTTATGTTATCTTTATATATGTCCATCAAGCGACCCTTACACGATCTTTCGTAAATAAAAGTCACAAGAAAGGCAAAGATTGCTCAGGATCGCTTTGATCATGAAGACCCCTACACGTTCAATTATTACTGACCGTTTTAGCTCAGTCGACATTGAGATAACAGGCAGAATGGATCTGCTGGATTGTCCACTTATAACAATGTGTTTAATTTGGACATTGTCCTCTACAGTATTGGTCATCAAGAGAAAAAATGGAGATATAATAATTACTTCCTAGTGTCTGAAAATGGTTTAGACCAAAGTTAGAAAAAATTTAGTCAACTACTTATAACAATCTAGGAAAAGTATTGCGAAAATAATCAATTTGTTAAGAAAATGGAAAAATTAATGACAAATAAACACAACAGTTAAAGATTTTTTTTTTCCTATAAGTAAATTATGAACTTTTTTTTTAATTTATTACCCACTTGACTATTTACAGAAAAAATAGTTGAAAATGGTTTATAAAAATATAAACTAGACAAATGTATACTGACAAATATACACAACAATTAAAGCTTTTTTTTTTTCTTTAAGTAAATTAAGAAGTTTTCACTTTTTTTTTTTTTAATTTGTTGTCCACTTGACTATAAAAAAAAAATTAGTTGAAGATAGTTTATAAAATATAAACAAGGGATATGAAAAACTATTTAATTATTAACTTTTAATGAAAATCAGGAATTTATAATGGTTGTGAGGCCTAGGTAAAAACTAACCTATCTAGTATAATGGTTAGTCTCCCCACTAATTTTAACTCAGTCTCCCCTCCACTTCTCGTGAATGAATCTTTGATTTCCGTCCATCAGTACCTCGGAATGCAATTCCGAATGACCGTATAGGGCTCGCTTTACTGGTACCGACCCCCTATCCTTTACTAAAACCAGAGGTGCCCATCTCCACCAATGTCGATGATGCAAGAATCTACTCCCAATCCCCCTCCCAAAATATTTTATTGCTCATCTTTTCTTAAAAACAGAGCAAGATATATTAAAAAAACCGATAATATGCAATCACACTCATTGGGTTATGTTAAATGTTTTCCGCCTCGTCTCTTAGTTTGAAAATTAATAATTCCATCGAAATTTGGCACCATAAAAAATTCAAAAACTCGTAAAATATGCCCTCCCCAAAAATTTTGAATGAAATGAAATGAAATGAAATTTAGGCACCCCTGACTAAAACAATTGAAGATCGGGGTGTCCATCACTAGTACAAAAAGTTTTTTTTTTTTTAAATGGATATTATGTGTGCACTGCTGAATATTTTTTTCAATTTCAAAGTGCTAAATAGAAAGAGGAGAACCTACAGATTCTAAATGTCCAACGGAGAAGTTTATATTATGGCGGCCCCTTAACCTAGTTTCACTAAAATATCCACGACGGTGTAAAGTAATCACCAGCTTATCGGATTTCTTCAGAAGTGAGGTTCTTTATTTGGTTATCGAAGGAGCTTTTTAAGAAAAATACTATCGATGTTTAAATATCTTCAATGTCAATCGATTTATTGTTACTTTTAAGATTTATTTGTTATGAGAGTCCATGATTATATTATTGGAGGCGCTTTTTACTAGAATACTGAAGATTTCAAGAATAAACATTTACACGCAATCTTTCTATTGACTTTCAAATATATTCTGCCTCATTGAATATTCAATAGTTGACCGTTGCATTATAAAGGAAGGAGATGGTCCGGGGTGGCGGTCATAAATAGGCTAAATAGTGGCAAAACTATTTCATTAAAAGCCAACGTTTCGACCCGACTTTGCAGGTCTTCTTCAGTGAGGTGTGTTCAGCTAGGAGTTTCATTTAGAACTCTAAGTGAATCTCTAACCCTAGTTCTAAATCATTTGATTATCGACACTATATTTTTCCTTTTTGCCTCTCCAATATGGCGTCACGTTACAATAAAATTTTTAATAATAGCTCATTACAAAGAGGATGAAACGATGAACATTTCCTTTGCTTAAAGTATGCATGTCCGATTTTTAGTTTCTGAGATATTTCAATCCATATCTTCAATAAAACTCGTTATAATTTGGTTTTCGACACTATTATTTTTCTTTTCGCCTCTCTAACACAGTTAAGGTACAATTTTGAATAATTGCTCATTACAAAGAGGATGAAATGATGAACATCTACCTTACTGGCAATATGCAGGCCCGATTTTTAGTTTTTGAGATATTTTAATTCTTATACAAAAATACTTCAATTATTTGATGTCACCCGAGCGTTACATATCGAAAATATGACGGCTCGATCTAATTTACTCTCCACAAAAATGTCCAAAGCGCGCCTAAAGAAATTTTCACTTAAAAAATTGTAGTTTACGATAAGATGAAGTTTTAGATTATGTTAATAATTTTATAAAAAGGTTTCGTGTACCGCGACCTATTTCATAACACATTTTTCTTTGTCGCCACTCTATAAATATTTAATTAAATACAACAACTAAGATTAATTTAATCATGTCCCTAGAATAATTCAAAGACTCATTGATGAGATAGTCTTTTCCAAACAACCTTTAACCTTAAATTATAATTTTTAATTTGTTTTTAACAGTCTTATATGGATCTGATTAACGTTTGCGAATTTGTGGATGACCAGTAGAAATTAGTTGGGAGTTCCTCTTGGATTCGATGGTCTCGCTGACCAATCAGTCAATAGACATACTATTATTTTTAGTTTAAAAATTACCAAATACGTGGTACGGTTATTAAATAACGAGACTGATCCTGTAAATCATTTAGTCCTGGTTTCATACATATTTACTTATTATCTCTTGTAATTTACCCCGTTCCTCTGTCCCCATGCAAATCTTCTATTGTCTGGAAGAATGCTGGAAGTCTTCTTCTCTCAACTCCTTCAAGACGCTTTCTCATTCAGTAGGAATGTGAATGTAGTAAGATTGATTAATAATTTGATCTTCAGGAACCCACGGACGGTGCATAATCCAATGAATATCGAAAAATCAGCATTGTTTTGAATTTTGATTTTCTCATTTCAGCTTTTTCTTGGACCTCGGTAAAGTTTTGGCGCTTCGTTTAAAGATTGTAAATAAAAAAATCTGGTGTGCACAACACACAACTTTCATTCACCGTTCCACTTTGAATAAAAATTCTTTTCTATTAATTTTGAGTTGTTATACATTTTTTGCAGTGCATTTTTAACGGAGCTACAGCTTAAAGCTTACAGATAACAAATCATTTGAGCATTAATTTCAGCACAAAATACTTAAAGCATATTATATTAAGTGTGCCCTTTAGTAGTTATTTACTACTGATTAGTAATTATTTATATTTATATTTAGTTATATTTCATTGTGGGTATTTTTATTTGTTTAAGTATCCTTATATATAAAAGTTTTAAGGAAGATATGGATTAAAATATTTAAAAAACTAAAAATCGGACCTGTGTACAGTAAGCGAGGAAAATATTCAGCATTTTATTCTCTTTATAATGAGCTATTATTTATAATTTATATTACATATTACTAATCTCACATTATTGATGTTTTCACTTATATTGTGTGGTCTAAAGCACACACCTTATTTTTTTATATTTACGAAATCTCTCGGAAATGGGGCGTTTTAAATATGGAGATTGGTAAACTTTATCAATTTAACGAGTTATTAAAAACTCATGAACACTCATTTGCTTTTCACTTTAATCGTAAGTTAATTTGATAAAAAAAAAATCGAGAAAAATGTGGATCATAAAAATATTTGACCGTTTTGCGTGACCTCCGCCCAATATATTTGCAAGCTATCATTTTTTACTTTTACTTACTTATATGTGAAATATATAGTAAGGAACAGTATTGCGATCCTGAAAATTTTCGAATCTGAGTTTTCAACGGAAATACATGTTTTGAGGTGTCCTGAGACTCAGGACCTGAATCCAAATAACCGCAAATAATCCAAATAAGTCCCGTAAAATGGTCTGTGTGTATGTATGTGACAGATCTAGCTCGAACGAAAAGTCGTATGAAAGTGAAATTGCATATTAAAGATTTGTATATACCAAATCTTACAATATGCAATTTCAACTCAAATGTTACAGCAACTTTTTCGTCAAAATCGGCTTACCGAAAATACTTTATATCATCGCTCAAACACATTTTTTTATTTTCTCGAAAATGGTTGCAACGATTTTGATTAAATTCATTATACTAGTGTTAAATTAAGCAGTTTTTAATATTATGTAGGTTTTATTCTGATTAATGTTCTATAACAGGGCTTAAATGGCTAATTTTCAAAATTAGCTTCTTTTAAAATACCTTTAATTTTGTATATGAAACAATTAACCATTTCACATTGATCTATAATATAAAAAAAAATATTTAAATATAAAATATGAAACAATTCTATAATTAACTATAGGAGAAATAAGATATCTTAACGGATAATAGTTGTAATGAAGGAACCAAAGAAATACGAGCGCGCCCGAGCTCACCCGAGCTGGCCCGAAGATTAGAACAGGCTTCCATGCGTTAAGTATGGAGATATGAATGGCATATTTATATTTATGGCACTTTTGAATATAAATATGAATATATTTAATAGGACACAGAGCGTGATAAAATACATATATATATATATATGTATGTACTATACATATTATATATATATATATATATATATATATATATATATATATATATATATATATATATATATATATATATATGTACTAGACATTAGCTAAATCATCTAGTTGACTTTTCATTAATCGACTTTAGTTTACATAACTAAGATCCTCGTAAGACCTTAACATATTCATAATTATAATTTATGTTTAATAAAATTAAATGTTTATGTATACATCATTTCGAGTTAGCAAATACCAACTTTTTAAAATTATTCCAACATTTTTTAAGAGATTTATTTAATCAACCCCTTACTATCCAGAACTTTATTTTAATTTTTTTGTTTTATTTTGGAAAATATTTAAAGTAAGAAATAAATTAATATTTATTGTATAAATAAGATATATTTATAACTTTTTTAGAGTTTTCATTCATAAGGTTGTGTGAAAATATTTTCATTCACTTCTGCCAATTTAAGCATATTTATTTTAATAAACGTGAATACAGCGTATTCACTTTTAATGTGGTGAATACGGTCGTATTCATATTTACAACTGTGAATATTTTTCTTTATGAATATAAATATATTCATATTTGTATTCAAAAGTGCCATAAATATAAATATTATTCGTATTTATATTTATGAATATAAATATGCCCATTTCATATGATACATAACATAATAAAATATGGACTCCGACAATATTATGTACATATACATTACGGTTTTCCTAAGTGTTTTCGTGGATATTATTTAATATTCAATTGATTACAGCGATATAAATATTACAATTTGTATATATAAGGGTACTTAAACAAATAAAAATTCCCACAATATTCAATTATTGAAATATAAATCAATATAGAGTTTATAATTTTTACTTTAACTTCCCCTTTGTCTGAAAATACTTATTTCTGATAAAAAGAGGGTGGTAAGTGAAAATTTTGTGATTTCTGTTCACCGCACCAGGTTTGTTTATCTATTACAGTAAATGGACCTAATCAAAATTAATTTTAAAAAAAGTTTTAAGAAAATATAATAAGTGACATTTTAGTCAAAATTTTATTCTTTTTATAATAATCAGTTATTTTGAAAATATTTCTTAATATGTCATATAAATTCTTGTTTTAGTTTTTGTTCTGACAGATTGCTAAAACAGCCCACTTTGCGTTGGATTTAAAAGAGTTGTAACTAATTTTAAAAAATAATAATTAATTTCAGAATATATTAACTTTATGTTTTTAAATCATTGAATATGACTATTTTTAACAGAGAAAGTAATCTATTGTTTCTTGCCAAGACATGCGTATTACCTATTAGCTTCAGTTTTTGACTTAATCGCTTTTGAATTTGATGCCTCATTTAATTATTTAATCGCGGCTAAAGCAATCAAAGAGAATTTTTTTTTCAATTCTCAAAAACTTAATATTTTGAGCGAAATGCAATACTTCACGCATTCTCACGAAAGCAGGATAAGATAATTTTCGAAAAACATAACTTCGGATAAGTCAAACGAAAAATAATTGTAAAAGTTTCCATGGAAAAATTTAGTTTCCATTAAATAATTTAGTTTTCAGAAACTATTAGTCATAAGTTTTTCGTCAATTTCATTGCTTTTTAAGACATTATACCTTATATAATTAATTCTCCAAAAAAAAAAATTAATTTTCTTTCAATATATAATACTAGTCTTATTTCCATAATTTTTTTTTTTTATCTTTTATTATGATATTTACAACTGTATTAGTATGAATACATCAAATAAATTTGTACAGAGAAATATTATTACATGAAACACGCTTGTTGAGAAACTACCCACTGGTAGCACTCTAATAATTTGTCTACATGAGAAGATCACGAGGCCATCTTCTTTTCAGACGCCTCGGAGGGTTATCAGGAATCGAAGAGGAAGCAAGGTTAGAAACAAGAGGATTCGGATGGTTATGAAGTTTATTATGGAAGGATAGGTATCTGGATTTGGCCAAATCGGAAACATATGGAACATTGAGGTCTTTATGGATTATTTTATTAGTGACAAAGTAAGGAGCATTGAGGATTTTACGAAGGATTATGGATTGTAAGGATTGGATGCGAGAGGTTTTCCATAAATTATTTTTCAATCTACAAAAATATTTTCTCCTCGAGTTAATTATTAATTTCTTAATATTTTAGAACTGATTCATTTAAAATTATTTCTAATAAAAAGAGACGGTTAAATATTTCAAATAAATCATATTAAAGTTATTTTTAGTGTTGCCCAAATGCGAGATCGAGAGGAGTCTTGGTCTTGCAAACTCAGTCTTGGTCATGGTCTTGGTCTTGCGAAAGAGTCTCAGAACACTCTTGCAGTTACTTATTAACTTGTTACAGTAGAGATATTACTGTCATTTTTTAGATAGGAGAAACCTAACTAAGCCCGATCCGATGAAAAATTAGAGGATTTAAATGCAAAAGTATATTGGTTATACCAATTATTTACAAATAGTAACTAAGATTTTCAAGTATTAGTAACTATTTCGCCTTAATTTTTATTTAAAAAATCGATTTTTTTTTACCAGTCCTGGTCTTAGTCTTGCAACGGTTAGTCGGCCTTGGTCTTGGTCTTGCAAAGTGCTAAACCATGACCGATTTTGGGCAACACTAGGTATTTTATTCAAAATAATTTTTAAAATTAGTTTTTTGTAATGTTTTTATGCCCTGTCAGAAGGTTTCACTGAGAAAGAGACTTACCGAACATTAAATCATTCAAATGTGTAAAATCGATAGTGTCACTTCCAGTATGTCGATTTTAATCAAAAGTTGCTTTAACATCCCTGTTAACTATTTCAACTGTAATAACTACCTTAAATATGCAATTTAAATTCCGAAATACATAGTCCGTGGTTCAGACCCCTTTTTATCAAATTATTAACATCCCCTGAAACTTCGTAAATAGTTTCATCTCATCGTAACCTACAAATATTTTATTTACGAAAATTCTCGGTATTGAAACGTTTTCAATCTGGAGGTCGGAAAACTTTGTATGTTTAATAAGGCAATAAAAACTCGTAAATACCCATTTGCTTTCTACTTGGATCGTAAGATAATTTGATCACAAAGTCGAAAAAAAATGTGGCCTTCAAAAATACCAAGCCGTTTGGCGTGACCTACACTCATAAATTGTCAAAATAATGAGATTATATAGGTCAAACGGTCCAAAGTTTTTGTAGGCCACCTTTTTTATCAATTTTGTGATTAAATCATCTTCAGATCCAAATGGACAACAAATGGGTATTTACGAGTTTTTATTACCTAATTAAATAGACAAAGTTTGGTGAACTCCAGATTGAATATTCAATATCTCCAATTCCGAGAATATTCGCGAATAAATAAATATTTTTAGGTTGCGATGAGATGAAGCTATTTACGAAGTTTCAGGCAGATGTTAATAATTTGATAAAAAACGGACTAATAACTTTTCTTTTTCGAGCTATATTGTTTACACAGAAACACTCAGAACGTTTTACGAGCCATGGTTATTTAGACTACAGCTGTTAAAAACATAGATCTAAAACTCATCAGTTTATAAGAAAAAAAAAAAGAATTTATTAGAAAAAAAGTATTTAAAACTTACCCAACCAATTGTTGACGCCGATAATGTAATTGAGGTGGGATTTATTGTATCAATTTCGAAAATCAAACTTAAACAGCTTAAGAGCCTACAGTTTAGCATTCATATTTAAACTAAACCGTTGTCACTAGCAATGTAATATAATATAGGTGATAATGCTTTCTATGTTAATTAACTGATTTAATGAAACTAGATGGCGCTCGAGAATGATTCGCATAGTATATCGGTCATTGGTCAGCGAACGAATGACAAAAAATATAAAAATAAGTTGATGGAATTTACTATAGGCTGTATATTTACTAATAGTGCCCTATAGTTAATAATGCCTTTTTTTGAATTATAGTTCTTAAGAACTGGGTAATAATGTCCGCGTCAAAATATTTAAAATACAATTCGATCCTTTGACTTTTGAAACCATCTATTTTGAAAGCTCCTAAATTTTTTTAAATAACTTTTTTGTAATTCCAGTATTGTTTTAAATTTTGGAATAATGATAATGTCATTTATCCATGATGTTCCCCTTTGATTGATCATAAATAGAAATATTTTAACTATTTACTCAAGATATTTACAACTGTATCACAATATAAATACATCAAGTAAATGTATCAAGTAAATCTGAAAAGATTAATGAATAGCTGCGTAAGATTTGTTATCGGTGCCCCGAGGTACTCCCATGTCTCTCACCACAACACTGAGTTAATGTGGCTCTTCCCCTCCTTTAGAAGACAATATTTCCTAGGTACGTTCCTTTATCAAATCATTAATAACCATCGTCCTTCTTACGCCTACAACCTTCTCCAATTCAAGTCCTCAGTCCATTCCCTTTCAACAAGATCTCGACCTTCTGACCTCTACATCCCTTCGCACAGATCTCCCTCATTTCAGAATTCCTTTATAGCTCCCGCTGTCAATTTCTGGAATTCTCTACCTATCAAAATTCGGCATTCCTCCTCCATATCCACATTCAAATCCCTCCTATTCCAATTCCTATCCCAAAAATAGTCAGATACTTGCTAAACTTTCGATATTATACATTTCTATTCATCATCAAACGACAGTGCTATTCTATACTGACAACTTCACTAGGGATATTACAATATTTTCCGGCTCTTAATGCCACTGACCGCATCTATTGTTTCCTTTTTTTATTTATTTTTTTATTTTATTTTTTTTAATTTATTTTTTATTTATTTATTTTTTTTTTTATTTTTTTTTTTTTTTATTGGTGGGAGTGGGGTAGCTCAGTGGTAGGGCACTGAGCTTCCAATGCAAAGGTCCCGAGTTCGAACCCCGGCTCATGGCAGAAAATTTATTTATCTGTTTCATTGGCCGTGGGGCGACCTTGGGTCAAAAGTCCCTCCTGGGGCACACCCAGCCTCTATAAAGTGGGTACCCTTAATTAAATAATTAATTAAGGGGAAAAACCTGGCGGTTGAGCGTGATCTCGGTCAAATCACCTCCTTGCACAACCGTTGACCTAGAAACACTGCTTTCCCTAAATAGTACTGAACCCCAGACCCTTCATGGGTTGTAGTGGTACAGGTTTTTTTTTTTTTTTTTTTTTTTTTTATTGGTATATAATTAAACCTGTACCTCTAGCATGTGACAATGACGAGTCTACATAGTAATCATTATTTAAAGACACTGATATTTTATATTGTCAGCTTTGTTTTTTCTTTGTTAGCAGAAACACACATCATTTTAAAGAAGAACTCAATATATTTTTTATTATTTTATTTTTTAAAAGAGTATAATTATATCTTTCCTACTGTACATAGTCTTAAGTGTTTTATCATAGTTTTAAGTGTTTTGTATATAGATTTTTTTTTTATATATATAGCTTGTTTAACTAATATTTTCTTTACTTTCTCTTTTTTATTATTGTTTTATTTTGGCCAGATGTAGTATTTTAATTATGTTCTATTTTGTTATTCTAAAGGGACTTTGTCCCAGAATAAAGTTATTTTCTATTTCTATTTCTATTTCTATAAATGTGTACACAGGAATATAATCACATGAAAACGCTTGTTGAGAAACTAACCACTGGAAGCACTCTAATAATATGTATATATTAGGAGATCATGATGCCATCTTCTTTTCAGACGCCTCGAAGGGTTATCAGGAATCAAAGAGGGAGCAAGGGTAGTAACAAGAGGATCCGGATGGTTATAAAGTGTATTATGGAAGGGTAGGTATCTGGATTGGGCCTAAACGGAAATATATGGAACATTCATGTCATTATGGATTATTTTATTTTTTACAAAGTAAGTAGCGTTGAGGATATTACGAAGGATTTTGGATTGTAAAGATTGGATACGAGAGGAAATCTTGTCGTTTCAGTCTTGTATAAGGATTTCAAGTGAGACGTTTGTACAGGTGGAGTCCTAGATATCCGATTTGTTCAACAGGGATAAGTGGTTATCTGTTAGATAACTTTTAGATGTATTTTAGACATTGATGCTGCGTGGCTAAGCCGCTTAAACACGTTTATAATAATTTTAACAAAAAACAATTCAACTTGTGCTTGAAGGAAATTTAGTCAGTTTACTATGAACTATTGTTAATTACCTTATTTTTCTTTAGCTATCTCTTCCTTTTCAACAAATATTCAACTTACTTTAAAAAAATATAGTAAATTTCCCGATTTTACCGGTGGAAAATCTGACCTAAATCTAATTATATCTTAACTAATTCTAAAATGATGCACGTGTTGTGACTTAGCATCACAAGGAGGAAAAGTGACAAGAACAATGAAATGAGAATGAATTCTTTGAATGATCAATGACTTGAAAATAATATTATTTATATATATATATATATATATATATATATATATATATATATATATATATATATATATATATAAATTATATCTATTAAAAATATATAAATATAATTAAACACACACACACATAAATATATATATATATATATATATATATATATATATATATATATATATATATATATATAGAGAGAGAGAGAGAGAGAGAGATTTATAATTATATCTATAGTCTATAACAAATATATATAATTAAAACATATAGATATTTATATATATTTATATTTACTCTCAATCCTTTAAATATTGCTTTAATTGTTACTTTGTATTTGCTTAGTGATATGCTATTCGTATTTTACACATTTGCTGAGAACATCAATTTTGTACATTGAAGCAATTCTTCCAAAGGTTGAAATACAATAAATATATTCTCAAAAATATCTCCATAACCATTGATTTTTGTTTTAAAAAAATGTATAGGGTCATTTTTATAAAGATTTTAAGGCATGTTAATATTTTACTGAACAATCTTTGCTGAAAACCTCATATTTTTTAAAATATTCTCAGAAAATAACATTTTTCTGTTCCGCTCTCCTCATGAAAACGCGACGCAGGATTCTTCAGGACTTTTTACCAGTTATTATGATTAGGGTAATAAACAATTTTTCTCAAATTTCATCTTTATTTTATGAATGTTTGGGTCCATTCCTAATTATACTGGACTATTAGTGTAGTATACATTCCCCTCTTGAATTTCTACCATCACCAAACTTTAGATACCCTCCTGTATCTGATGAACTGTCTTCCAAACGGTTCTATTCTAGTAAGTGGCATTTTTGACTTATTCGTAATAATGTACCCTATGCATCCTTACTTCTTATGTAAAAATATTTCTATTATTTCAATAGTTCAATATTATTTTATTTGTTTTTATAAATTTTAATTTTACTTCACAAATGACCAGAAGTTGATATTTACTACTCTTGAAGAGGTTTTTGAAGAAATGCACTGCCAAGAAGAGGAATCTGATGGCACAGGGAATGCATTTTTTTATGGTTTTGGGCTTAGAGAAAGAAGAATGGTCCGTACCAAATGATGAATTATTTGAAGTAGACTAATAAGAAGAAATAAAACACAAAAAGAAAGAGCATACCCCAAGGAGTTTGAATGTTATGTACAACTTTGTCATAATGTAACAAAAAAAGAAAAACTCGCTGGTGGTTCATGCTGTATTTTTTTGCTGTTCTTGATATTACTGTTGTGAACAGTTTTGTCTTATTCAATTGGAATAAAAATGAACTTACTTATTCAAACAGAGCCAAATCTCAGTTTCTAAAATACCTAGCGTTTTCGATTACAAAATAGTTATTTATCTATACATTTATGGCCAAGAAGCTCTTTCGTAAATTTCTCCCAACAGAGCTTCTGAGTACCATTATGAAACTATCGAGTACAGAACTACTTTTGAAAGAACTGCCACTAGGAAAAAGCTAAGGAGGTGACAACCTTTGTGACAAGAATTGAGAAAGGCAAGCCATTTTGAAAAAAAAAAAAAAAATACCACAGATAAATATGTAGAGAGCAAAAAATGTTTGTATGCACATATTATTATTACAAAGAATAAATTATGTGATATTTTATTATTCCGTTATATATTTTTTATGATTGTTTCATTAGTATATTATGTTAATATTTATATATGTTGTACTACAAAATTTTTGTTATTGTTCAGAAATGTTTTCAGAACATTACTTAAGTAATAAATGTTATAGGATATATATTATGATGTTATTTATCCCAAAAATTATAAAATAGCACAAATATGAAAGGCAATTATTGCCGGGTCAGATTAACCCAGCGTTACTGTTACTGTTTCACTATCAAGCGTTACTATTACAGGTTTAAGAAAAATACCAACCGAGTATACACACCAGGGAGAACTCTTCCATTAAAGAGATGGCTATCCGTCTCAGTAGTTTATTTAATGTACAGCCAACATCAGTAAAACATGTTAATTCCTATATACAATTAATAATTTATGGAATATTTTCATGTACCTATTATCACATATACCATTATCCTCATATAGAATGGAATATAAAAGAAAAATAATTTTATTCTTGGAAAATGTCCGTTAAGAATAACAGCTGTGCACAGGAAAATAAATTTTATTTCTGGTCAAAAGAGCTATAATATAGAATAAATAAAAAAAAAAAAAGATTATAAAAATATTTAGAATAAAATAGAATGGTAAATAAAAATGCATATATTTGCTCAAAAAAAAAAAAAATAATAAAAAATAATAACAATAATAAGTTTCCTCTATTAGGTAGGTTGGAAAAACCTGTTGTTAAAAAAATAATAATAATAAACAAATAGTAATAATACCAAAAAGTTAGAATTATTTTGATTATTTAAATAAATAAACATAATCGTACATTAAAAAGAAGAAATAAAAAAAAAATGTTCATTAGAAATAAGTAAAACGTGCATCATATTT